TCGCTTGCCCGGCAATGAAGCTTTCACCGATTGGGTCCATGGCATGGAACCTGTCTCTACCGGACGTCTTGTTCCCATGGACAGCCCGGTAAGCTTCATGAACGCAATCATGCAGGCAATTTCCGGACAAGCGACTCCGGGCTTCGGCGTGATAACTCGTCCAGACGGGATACATGTCCACGTCGATAGGCGGGCAATTCTGCCAAACCGTAGTATTCAAGACATCTTCGGCCTTGGCAGACCACAGGCTCCTCCGGCTCGGACCCGCGACGATCCTTCTCAAGCCGTAAGCTTCGCTTTGGCCACCACTAGAAGTCGCTGGCAAGAGGAGGCTCGCATCCTGTTCAGCAGCACTTACGTCGAGAAGACACAGCGTGTCGTGAATTCTCTGCTGAAGATCCTTGTTCCGCCCGCAATTGAGGAAGAGAAGCAACGTGAAAAACAGATGGAAGAGGAGCGCAAGCGACGAGAGGAAGAGCGGGCCGAGCGTGAACGTCAAGAACGCATCGCTAGAGAAGAAGAGGAAAAGGAGCGTAAACGAAAGGAGGAGGAAGAAAACGCTCGACGTCAGCAAGAGAGGGAGCAGCAAGAGGCAGAGCGTCAAGCCGCAGGGATCGTCTCGGAGCCGATGGACGACGTTCAAGAAACAGCTATCGAAGAGGCTGCGGAACCACCATCAACCCAGGGTGAAGTTGGCCCGTCCGAGCCTGCTCGTCGAGTGCACACAACAATCCGCGGCCGTCAGCTTGATATTACCGGCATGGAAATAGATCCTGAGTATCTCGAGGCACTGCCTGAAGAACTTCGAGAAGAGGTTATCATGCAACAACTAGCGGAACAGCGTTCGCAGGCCGCCGCAGCTGGCGAGGAGCCCAGCGAAATTAACCAGGAGTTCTTGGAGGCGTTGCCTCCGGACATTCGCGAAGAACTTTTACAGCAAGAAGCAGCTGACCGTCGCCGCCGAGAGCGCGAGAGCGCGCGCAGGCAAGCGGCGGCTGCCAATGCCCAAGCCCCAGCTCACGCCGAAGATATGGACGCTGCCAGCTTCCTTGCTACCCTGGATCCTTCCTTGCGACAAGCTGTACTTGCGGACCAACCCGAGGAAATTCTTGCTACTCTAGGTCCGGAATTTGTTACTGAGGCACGCGCTTTGCCAGGAAGACGATTGGCTCAATTTGGCGATATTACCCGAGCTGATCGTCCTAGAAATGAACCAGCTGAGGATCAAGAGACCAAGAAGCCACAACGACGCCAGATTGTCCAAATGCTCGATAAAGCTGGCGTTGCTACTCTGCTCCGTCTGATGTTCATGCCTCTTCAAGGAAATGCGCGCCATCAGTTGAACGACATCCTTCACAACGTGTGTGAAAATCGTCAAAATCGCATTGAGGTCATTAGCCTTCTTCTGTCTATCCTCCAAGATGGGAGTGTAGATGTCCCGGCGATTGAACGCAGTTTCGCTCATCTTTCGCTACGTGCAAAGCCTTCTTCGGTGCAAAAGACTCCTCAGTCCGTCAAGCGTAACATGGCTTTCCACACTTCATCGAGTGTCAGCAGCGAAGTTACTCCAACTATGGTTGTGCAGCAGTGCCTTGGCACTCTTTCTTTCTTATCCCAGTATAATCCCCAAATTGCGTGGTTCTTCCTTACGGAGCATGATCCTGCTTCCACGTTGAAATTGAAGACATCCCGCAAAGGCAAAGGCAAGGAAATCAAAGCAAACAAATTTGCCCTGAATGCTCTTCTCAATCTACTTGACCGCAGCTTGATCATGGAGAACCCGAACTGCATGGAACAGCTTTCTAGTCTACTGAATAGCATTACGCAGCCACTGACCTTACTTCTTCGTCGTGAGAAGGAAAAACAACAAGAAGAAGACAAAGGCAAAACACCGGAGCAGGCGCAGGTGGCGGAACCAAGCGCTGACCAGGAGCATGCAGTACAACCAAGTGAAACTACGGAACCGGCAGCTGGCACCGATGCAACCATGACTGATGCACCCGCCGCTACTGTTGAGGGTGCAGAGCCGCAAGCTGCTCAGACAACGGCACAAGAAGACGCTGCGCCGGTCGAGGCAGACAAGCCCGAGGCAACAAAAGAGACGGTGGAAGATGAGAAGCCGAAGAGAAAGACTATTGAACCTCCTGTTGTTCCTGATCAAAATCTTCGCTTGGTTGTCCAAATTTTGGCTGCTCGAGAGTGCAACGGGAAGACTTTCAGAGAAACGCTGTCGACTATCAACAATCTTTCAGCTATTCCGGGCGCTAGGGACGTCATTGGCAACGAACTTGTCAACCAGGCCCTGAGTCTCTGCACCACGATTCTGACTGATTTGGACGAACTTCTATCTCATATCCACCAAGCCCGAACAGGCACAGACATGCAGGGCTTGGCTCTGGCGAAGTTTTCACCAGCCAGTTCAGACCAAGCCAAATTGTTGCGTGTCTTGACGGCACTAGACTATCTGTTCGATCCCAACCGTGCGGATAAGGTTAAGGCGCCTGAACCTGACTCTGCGGCTAAGGAAGATGTCCTGCAAACGTTGTACGAGAGCTCGACTTTCGGACCTCTGTGGACTAAGCTCAGCGAATGCCTGGCTGTCATCCGTCAAAAAGAAAATATGCTGAACGTGGCTACTATCCTCTTACCTTTGATTGAGGCGTTGATGGTTGTGTGCAAGAACACGACATTGAAAGACACGTCCATCGCTCGCAACAGCCGAGAACTGTCTGTGTCTACCACTTCGGCGGACGCCGGCTTGAATATGGAAGGCTTGTTTTTCAGATTCACGGAAGATCATCGCAAGATTTTGAACGAACTTGTTCGTCAGAATCCTAGACTGATGAGTGGGAGCTTCTCTCTGTTGGTCAAAAATCCCAAGGTTCTGGAGTTTGACAACAAGCGCAATTACTTTACTCGCAAGCTTCATTCTCGTGGTGCTGAGCCTCGCCACCCTCATCCGCCTCTTCAACTTTCTGTCAGGAGAGACCAAGTCTTCCTTGATTCTTTCAAGTCTCTGTACTTTAAGTCGGCGGATGAACTGAAGTACGGCAAGTTGAACGTGCGCTTCCATGGTGAGGAAGGCGTCGATGCCGGAGGTGTGACCAGAGAATGGTTCCAGGTTCTTGCTCGTGGCATGTTCAATCCCAACTACGCCTTGTTCATCCCCGTTGCTGCTGATCGTACCACCTTCCATCCGAATCGCCTGAGTGGCGTCAACTCGGAGCACCTGATGTTTTTCAAGTTCATTGGGCGCATCATTGGCAAAGCTCTCTACGAAGGGCGCGTTCTCGACTGCCACTTCAGCCGAGCGGTCTACAAATGCATTCTCGGCCGATCGGTCTCCATCAAGGACATGGAAACGCTTGACCTTGATTATTACAAGTCTTTGCTCTGGATGCTCGAGAACGATATTACCGACATCATCACTGAGACTTTCGCCGTCGAAACTGATGACTTTGGCGAGAAGCAGGTGATTGATCTCATAGAGAATGGCCGCAACATCCCGGTGACTCAGGAGAATAAGGAGGAATACGTTCAACGTGTGGTGGATTACCGTTTGGTCAAATCAGTCAAGGACCAGCTTGACAATTTCCTGAAAGGTATGCCGCTTTCCTTTCTTTTCTCTTTGCTCAATTCAATCATGACAACAAATACTCATTATCTTTACAGGCTTCCACGAAATCATTCCTCCTGATCTGATTTCCATCTTCAACGAACAAGAGCTTGAACTTCTAATCTCTGGTCTTCCTGAGATTGAGGTGGACGACTGGAAAGCCAATACCGAGTATCATAACTATTCTGCCTCGTCACCGCAAATCCAGTGGTTCTGGCGTGCTGTCCGCTCGTTTGACAAGGAGGAACGTGCCAAACTCCTGCAGTTCGTTACAGGAACAAGCAAAGTGCCACTCAACGGTTTCAAGGAGCTTGAAGGCATGAACGGGGTCAGCAAGTTCAATATTCATCGCGACTATGGCAACAAGGATCGTCTTCCAAGCTCGCACACATGCTTCAACCGTAAGTCTTCGCTACGAAATTGTGATTATGGAATTCAGGGACTAACTTGAGCAATCAGAACTTGATCTTCCAGAATATGACAGCTACGAGACTTTGAGACACCGTCTGTATACTGCAATGACGGCTGGCAGTGATTATTTCGGATTCGCATAGACTGGTGGTTCTTCTTTTCATGCCCTCTTCGTCGAATGATGGCTTCTGGTTCTCTACAAGTTCTCTTTTTCCTCTCTAATTCTCTCTGATGCTCGAGCATTTGACGGCGTTCAAGATATTTTTTCTTTCCTTTTCTTTGCTCGTGTGTATCATTTATTCTGGTCAAATTCTTCAGGACGGCACTGCAGGGGGAAACGACCTGAGACTCGGACGGTCTCTTATCAGGACACTGGTTGAAGTGCAGGTCAACCAGATCTCTGTTAAGGGACAGAAAAGCCCATCTCTTGATGGTTATCCATGCGCTCTGTTACCTTTCTTCCGAGTTGTTTTTCATGTATGTAGTTCCGGATCTTTTAGAATAAACAAAAGCAGTTTCGTCCCACTCATTCATTGTAATACTTGAAGTCCCTCCAAGGCTTTTCTGCGTAACGAGATTATATTCTTGTTCTTGGTCTCAGGATAGGATCAGTGCTTGTCATCAAGACCCTTCGAAATTATATAAATAATCTTATCTCCTCTTATCGGGCGCTTATCGACCGCTATTATCAGGCGAATGGCGTAGCGCTCTCGCATTTTCTTTGTGAGTATGTCTTTCTATTCTCACATCATCCGTCTTCTAGCTGATATAATACGAAGGATGCCATGCGTAGCTCTTGTTTCCAGCCTCCAGTCAATCTGGGTATTGATTTTCTCCTCGCAATGTTTCGTTTACCTAGGACAAGGCGGTGAGTCGGGGTGGGACAGCAGGCAGAAGTCACGGGACGGCAATGGTTTGATTGGGGAAAAAAGTTCGATCAAAGTTGCCCGCGGGCTTCATCTAGATCTTCATCCTTGAATTTACCGAAATTTAGATTGTTCCCTAGCATGACTCTACGTCTTTTCTTCTGAATATACGTTGCTATTGTTATTAACTCTATCTCCCAGCTGCTGTCCGCAGCTGAACCCGAATCTAATTGAATCCTTTTCTTTTCGTCGCCGTTTCCAGTCACATTGAGCCTTCGACGCCATGGCCACGAATTCGATCAAACTTCTGACTGGTAACAGTCACCCTGAACTTGCGAACCTCGTTGCTGCTCGGTATGCGCTTTCACGGTCCAGATTTACCTTGCGGGGCGGCGACTGACAGCGTTTCTTCATCGCAGGCTCGGCATCGAGTTGACCAAGATCATGGTCCTGCAGTATTCGAATTCGGAAACAAGTGTCACAATTGGTGAAAGTGTACGAGACGAGGATGGTACTGTCTCCCACTCCTATTGTCCGGTGGTACAGCAGCGATGGTATCGGGACATTGAATTAACCTGCTCATTTGCTCCCTGCAGTGTTCATCTTGCAGTCCACGAAACCCAACGATATCAATGACGGATTGATGGAGCTTCTTATCATGATCAATGCTTGCAAGACTGCCTCGGCCCGTCGCATCACGGCTGTCATCCCCAACTTTCCCTACGCGCGTCAAGATAAGAAAGACAAGAGCCGTGCGCCGATCACCGCGAAGCTGATGGCGAACATGCTCCAAACCGCCGGCTGCAACCATGTTATTACGATGGATCTCCACGCCAGTCAGATCCAGGGTTTCTTTAATGTCCCTGTTGATAACTTGTATGCCGAGCCTAGCATGTTGAAGTGGATCCGGGAACACTTGGATGTGAAGAACTGCGTCATCGTCAGTCCCGATGCCGGTGGTGCGAAGCGGTAAGCACGATTATTTTACCCCGCGTGTGTGATTCAAAGGTGTTGACTGTGTCTTCGATAGTGCTACGGGGATTGCGGACCGTCTTGACCTGCAATTCGCTCTGATTCACAAGGAACGCCCTCGTCCCAACGAGGTCTCGCGCATGGTTCTCGTTGGAAACGTCAAGGACAAGATTGCGATCATCGTTGACGACATGGCTGATACATGTGGTACTCTCGTCAAGGCCGCCGACACTGTCATGCAGCACGGTGCCAAGGAAGTCAACGCCATTGTCGTACACGGCATTCTCTCCGGAAACGCCATTGAGAACATCAACAACAGTTGCTTAAACCGTCTCGTCGTGACCAACACAGTGCCCCACAAGGAGAAGAAGGAGATGTGCGACAAGATTGACACCATTGATATCAGCCCTACGCTGGCAGAGGCTTGCAGACGCACACACAATGGTGAATCTGTCAGTTTCCTGTTTTCGCACGCTGTTGCGTAGAATTGTGCAGAATCGGGGAATTTTGATGTCATCGGAGAGGTACTCCAGACCCGTTCAATATGACGGGTCGAAGGTGGCTTCTTGTTCTTGACTGCTCTGTTCTACCGCTGCATTTGTGTTTTCTTCTACGGAAGTTGTCAATCAGCTTGCTCTGTTTTTTCTTTGTCGAGCTTTGTAGGGCATGTTAACCTCGGCTTTTCCTCGTTTCTTTTCTATTTATAACATGAATACTGGACATGATGCATGAGACACAAGTGAATGGATGGAGGGAAAAGTAGGCACTTTGCTTCTGAATTTGAAATCTATACCTTTGTACATATTTAGAGTACTGAATGGCTGCCGGCTGCATTTTTGATTGCTTTGATGCCTGTACACGGCGCGGCACCGACGATATGGAGTTTGTTGCTTAGAGCTCAATGGCTAATCAAATCGATACCTATTTGGATAAGAATTTCTTCCAGTAATGCTTGGATGCTTAGCCTAGGACTCATGCAAACATGCAATGTCAGTCGGCGCGTGGCACGCCGAGGCCACCATGGTTGATGCACTACCTTATAAGACCAGAATTGTGTTATGAAGCTGGAAAAAAATCAGATTGCCAAGGGAATACAGACATTCTAGGCGAGAGAAAAACCAGAGAAAGAAAAGAGCTTCGTTTCATTCAGGTAAGCAGTGCTAAGCAACCCGCGGAACCGTTACCATGCCATGCCGAGTGATGAGAAAGAGGGGGAAAAACGACCTTTCGTCGATGGTTGAGAAGAGGCAACCCAAGGAAGTAGGAACAAGAACTCTTTAACATTTTTTCCCATTCACTCCGTGAAATTGAATTCTTAGAATTGAGTTTTAGTTTTGCACACCAAAGTGGCCCGGTTCCGCAGACGCTCTTCCCCCAAGGGCCTTCTTTTTCACTTGGGTCGCCCCTGCGTTGAACTCAAAACCCCTCTTCCCTAGCCATAATAGAGACGTAACCCGACCATTAACCCCCGGAGAAAAAACATTTACTTTCTCATCGAAGACGCTCTCCGCTTGCGGAGCTCGTCACGCTTGGCCTTCTCCTCGTGGACACGGGTGGCCAGAAGCTTGGCGTAGTCGTTACTGTTTGGAGAATGTCAGCGAGAGCGGATTCCCAACGAGCGTCAGGGCTGAAGGGAAATAGGGGGGGAGCTTACGCAGCCTCCTTGGCAGCCTCAGCGCGGCGGCGCTTGAGGGCAATCCTGTGACGCTTGCGCTGGAGACGCTGGGGAGTAACCAGACGCTGGATCTTGGGGGCCTTGGTGTAGTCGGGCTTGCCCTCACGGGTGACGGTACGACGGATGACGAACTTGCGGACGTCGTCCTTCTTGTCGAGACCGAAGAAGCGGCGGATCTTGGTGGCACGCTTGGGACCGAGTCTCTTGGGGACAACGGTGTCGGTGAGACCGGGGAGCTCACCCTCACCCTGCTTGACGATGCTCAGGGCAAGAACGGCGAGGTCGAAGTTGGTGATGGCTGTAATGACAAGTGTCAACTATGCGTTCCCTTCTCTCTGGGTGTTTCTGTTTGTAGGACGGTTCGAGACATACCACCACGGACACTCTTGCGCTTTCTCTCACCAGTGCGGCGGGGGCGGTAGCAGCTGCAATTGACTCGTCAGCGACGCATTCTCCGGACACATTTCAATATTGGCAAGTGCGTAATTACCTGTGGCCGTCGGAAAGCAGGAGTCTGGTACGAGTGGGAAGGAGAACTGGTGATATCCGTAAGTTTTCTGACTCGTCTCTGATGTCGATTCCTGCAGTCGTTACGTACCACCCTGCTTCATGGGGAAACCTAGAGTTATAGCGTCAGCAAACTGATTCCTTCTGTCGCCATTTCACAATTGCTTGCTTGCGGGCAAACAAAATTCTCGAATCGTACCTTGCTTGTCGTTACCACCGGTAATCTTGAAGATGTAACCCTTGAATTCATCACCGAGGGAGTCGCCGGGAATCTAGTGAGAAAAACAACCCGAATCAGTCTTCTGTTCTCCATTCAATATCCAATTCTACTCCGGCTGAAAAAGTTCTCTTGTGTGGTTTCGAGGTGCCGGATACGTAAAGCAAAATAGGTCTGGGGGTGCTAACTTCGGTTCCCATGCGCTTCTCCATGAAGGGACGAAGCTTGCGCTCATCGTCAACCTCGATGATTTTCTGCGACCCATTGGCCGGGTAGGAGATGTTGAGCTTCATCTTGACGGGTGTGCGCGGTCAAGACGGAGGCGCGGGTTTGTCGACAGGTCGAGGAGGTTCAGGTCGTCGGAGGTTCGTTCTTCGTGGGATTTTTTGCTGTGGTGTAGCGAGATTTCCCTGTGTGGGCGGATGACTAAGGTGCACTAGCCGAGTCGGGTACAGCGCGTCTCGGTAGGGCTTCTTATGTCAGCCCCTCCCCATTTCCGACCCCATTGTTGTCAGTTAGTTTTCTTCGTCCTCGTAGAAGAGATTAATCTTATTGCAAGGATAATCTGAATGGCTCTTTGGCCCGTTAATGAACTAATCACTCCATTCTATTACCCCATTTTTCTGCTCTCAGATGGTGATGAGAAAATTACAGATTGTGGTCGCAACTTTACCGACAAACGGTGTATGATTCCTTCGGCATCCACTTAGAGTCATGGTAGTTTCACCTATTGACTGATATCTATGAAATGAACAATGTAGATATAGGGCGTGAAATCTTATTTTCCGGGAAGATGCATTGTCTGCCATGGCCTTGGGGCGTACATTGAACCATATCGAATGAACCAATGGCTTGTATATCGAAGGTCTGTCGAACCTTGGTATGGCCGATCCCAAATGGTAGCCATAGAGATTGAACTGCTTTCCTTGACTATATAAACCTGGTTTTGTCGCATGAGCTGATGTTAATCTCCGGGGCCTGTCCTCTTGTACATATTGTGGATGGACTCTTATGTAGCAATATCAGACTAATATTGTGCCATCGTTTCGGTACCTGAGCTGTCTCAATAGTACCTAGGTTTAAGAATTCTGGATTTTTGCATATGCAAAAGAACTTGAAAGCATTAATCTGATAGACTTTGGTCTAGAGTAGCATTAACTGAGTGCATCCCCATGTTCATCGCTATACTTGGAGAAATATTTATGCTCCTCAGACCACAATAGCGTGCATACCAGCTCCTTCACTCGACGAAGGATTTATCAGCGAATTAGATTGCAGACAAGTAACCAAATCTCAAAACGGATCTGATCCTCTTCCTACGTGATATACGATCTAACACGAATAAGGCCTCCTGTGGATAAATGCGAGATGTGAAAAGTATATCCAGCGGAGTCTTCAAGGGCCGAGACAGCCGAAGCGCAAGAATAAAATAACAAAACCAGAAACGTAAGTTAGCGACTTGGTGGCGCAGGACGCAAACCACGAGTCGTCATCGTCCCTTTTTTTGCATCCATGAAATCGTTTTCAGAGAAGAAAACAAAATTGAAGCTGAGGAGACTTGAATCCCTGGCCTCTATTGGTATTTCATAGGTTTGAAGATATGACAAATGCATCGCTGTCTACACATGCGGACCTGCAGAAAAAGGAGGTTGTGGTTGTGCACGCGACAGGTTACTACGTACTACTGTAACCACTGCCGCGCGGCCAGCCTTACGGAGGCGCAGGCTGTCACTTGTATCCAACATCGAACGATGTCCGCCTGCGATAGTTGTCATGGAGTTGGTTGGATGATTGGTACCAGCCTTTATCAACCCAAGTAACCAGCCAAATTACACTTGCTTAGGCGTTCAGCAGTTGTGATCAAATAAAATTGATGGTGTCATAGTCAATTTTCGTTTCCTAGACACCGTCCCCCTTATCCCTTTTCCTTCCTGCATTGTATATCGCGATCGCCTATCTTTTATAAATCCTTCAGAGCTCTTATATTTCTGCGGATTCTGCCAATTTTGGAACACTTGATCCATTATCCACTCCCCACTTGGCTAACTCCAAACTTGCTAATTATTGCACGCTAAATTCTCCTGTCATGCTCTTCAATCCCAGAACGGAACGGTAGTGCCGGAAAGAAGAATAATAATACCAGTCCCTATCCTCATCTTCCTTGCCCTTTTCCCTATGGACTGTTGTCTCAGTATCTTACAATCTACTGCGTATTCCCGAGTCAATTGACGCCAGCCCGCTTGGCACCGGAGGGAATAGCGCATCCATCATAGGGGACGTGTCTCCCATTACGCTACTCAGGATCAACATCTCCCGTCTCGTTCTTGCTCCCGATCGTCCCGGGCGTCTTTCAGGAGGCAGAACAAAGAGAACCGCGGATCGACGAACACTTGGAGAACAGCCTCCCGTCGCACCTTGCGATTGCTGTGTTGTTGTCATTTTTGGCCTCGACGGCTGATTGAGATGAGACTCTTCAATCGATTCTACGCCTTGTGCGCCTTAGCTGTATGTAGCATTCTGGTGTCAGCATTGTTCCTCGCCTCGCAGCACTATTATCGCCGAGTAGTTCCGCCCCATTTGGCGGCTACGGAGTTCCACGCTGCGGGCTCCTTTGATCGGAGATTGGTTGTCTTTGGTGATTCGTGGAGCGACAACAATGCAGGCGCGATGCAGGGGTCGGTATGGACCGAATGGCTGTGCTCAATGGTGAGGGATATCCTTGTCAAGTTCAACCGGAGAGACTATGTTTTGCGGTGTGCTAATCTTGAGACTCAGTACTCATGTCACCATGAAAACATGGCGCAAACAGCAAAATCTCTAAGAGGAAATTACATTGGCTCCGTTGTGGACAACGAGGAGCTCTCGGGCACCATGCTCAATCTGTACAAGACACCGCTGGCGGATTTCAAGGCGCAAGTGAAACAATGGACGACGGCGGAGAGAGCAGCCCTGCAGTCCTTGTCCGACGAGGCGATCGCGTCCCGTCAAAATAACACGATTATTGTTGTCTCGTTTGGAATCTGGGACATATGGAACATGATCGGAAAGAGCTACGAAGATTCGACTAGTGTGGTCGATCATAGTATCCAGGTGATCATGGACCAGCTCAATGTGCTCTCTCAGCTCTGGGTCACAAATGACCTCAAAGTCATTCTCACACTGACACCGGATGTGACTTTCCTTCCGGCATTTAAGCCGACAGCAGCCGAACAGCGCGTCAGTCGCTACAAAGACACGGTCAAGCTGACGGAGTATTGGAATCGCAAACTGCGTGATGCCGCAGAACAATGGGTGCAAGGCGTGGTCTACCTGTTCGACACCAACGCATTTATGGCAGACCTTATCAAAGACTGGCAGCTCTTCGCTGCCGGGGTGGAGGAATCCAACGGGCTTGGGAAAAATCAGGATCCGGGCTGGGTGAACGTTGAAGACGCATGCGTCCAGACTGGCCAGCAATGGGTAATGGTCACCAAGGAGAAACAATGTGAAAATCCGGACAAGTACCTTTTCTGGTGAGTTCCAGACCTAGCGCGCCCCGTGTAGCCGATCTAGCTGGATACTGACGTTATCTTCAGGAACGAAATGCATCTTGGCCCATCGGCCCATCGTCTCATGGGAGCTGAAGTGTTCCATGGGATAGAAGAGATGTGGCTCCGGTAAAGCTAGGTAGATGGCGTTTTCTCCGAATCGCAGCGCGATGGAACCCTCGACATCTTGACGTAATGACTGCCAGCAAAGCAGTACGTAGGAGCCAAGGCATTGGTTACTCCCAGACACAACAAACGCCTTGCAGCGGCCCATGGCGGCAAGCAAGGCAAGCACGGCAGAGATCGATCTCACATTAGCCGACTCCCGCCAGAAGCTATACTCCTTGCGGCTATATGGGAGTCCGATGATGACCAAGTCCGGAGTCGGTTTTCTTTCTTTGACGGGGCCGAAAGACAGGGTCCGTCCGATTCTCGACAAATCATCATGGTCGAGACCGAGTGTTCTGTTCAAGGTGGTATGTCTCATGCGGAAGGAGCTGACTCCTGCTCCACCCGGTTCGATGTGCAACATTGATTGTGGGGTGGATCATGGATCATAACTTGGCAGGGGCCAGCAACATGACTGTATCATAGTTCAAGGAGACATACTCTCCTGTATTCCTGATAGTTGGGTAAACCCTGCCGCCGACCTATGAAAAATAAAAATCGTTACAGGCGTGTTGAGCTTCTAGTCTAGATCCCCTGATCAGTACGGAGTACTCCGTAGGTAAGTGGGCTAAGGGGTCGAGTGGGGAATCGATCTTCATCTGTTCTGTTCGTTTCTTTCATGGATATTTCTTTGTTCCCCCTCTGTAAGTACCTTTAGGTATGGTGCTAGTGATGAGAACAAAGGGGCCCGGGGGGAGTTTGTCCTACCGTTAGGTGGGGGGAGCACAGGGAAGCGATAAGGGGGCAGCAAATGAACTCCTCAGCAAAGCAAAAGGTACCTTAGGCCATATCTACGTAATCAGTAGGCTCGCTGGATTAGGGTTAGTGGGCAGGCTAAAGGGCCAGACCAGGTCCTTCCCGTGACTTTTAGGCGGATGTTACTGGACCCATTTCAACCAATGATTGGCTGTGCAGCCGTCTTCGGTGATTGGCTCGGAGTCTCTCCTACGGCACGCCGCATGCGTCGACAAAGACAAAGGAAAGAAAAGCTCAGACCAAACATTGAAACAACATTATGACGATGACCAGTTGAAAGAATAACGAAGCAAAGTAAAGTAAAGTAACTATTGAATTTAGGGTATGACATGGCGACAGGAGAACGAGGAGGGTGGCCGAGCCCTACCTCAATAGCACATAGCAGGCGTTTCTAGGTACCTTTAGGTGCTCCGTATCCATTCTGTATTGTCTTCTGCGAAAAGGTACAAGTAGTACTGGACTGTCGCTCTCGAGGTACCAGCCTGAGGTTGCTTCTATTGTGTGATGATGTAGGGCGCATCCCAGCCAGACATACTGTACAATCGCCCCAGCCTGATGGCTACCTGACCGAACCAGAACCACAGTTCCTTTGTTACTTGCTCGTCCACCTCTCTGTTGGATCATGGTGCTGGACCATCATGTTCCATCCGTTTGATCCTAGAGACAGTGTGTCCAGTGGGGGAGGGAGCAATCCGAGGGGATATGTGTCATTCATCCAAAGACAAAGAACGTGGTTCGTAGGGTCAAGGTAGATCCCATCACCAACAGGGGGCGCGCGCTCAATAGACCCAAAGATAGATTTAAAACAAAGCAATTTGGAAAAAGCGCCAATCCTGGCTTTATCAAATCGTATTCCCTCCCTCGGCTGGCTTTCTTTAATAGAAAACTCCATTTCATTGTCAAAGAAGGGGGGAAAAAGTAAAAAAGGTTCATGAGAAAGTGACAGAACAAAGACAAAGGGCCTCCAAAGAAAAGAAACCAACCATATCGGGAGTCAAGCAAATCACAACTGACAGCCGGACAGGCATCAAGGTCTAAATAAAATTAGGGACAGCGAATTACGAGGCTTCTCTTGTCTTTCTTTAACCTTATACCTCTAATTCTTTCTTGCTTGCTTTCTTTCTCTCGTTCAGGCTTTCTTCTTGTTCCTTGTCCTATCCTGTCCAGGGCTTTTCTACCAGCATCGCCTCCTGCGCCTTGTCATCTATTCATCTAATGTCCTATTCTCCCAACCGAGCACCGCGACCTATTCCTGCCCATCACAAGGCGGTTTCGCTCCTTACCACTTTCTTAAATGTCTTACGATCGAGTCCTTCCCAAACCTCCTGCTTTGCTCTATGACGCTCCTCAAGTCCCTATTCCAAGACGGTCTAGTAGCCTCCTTGAACACAAGATCATGAATGACGAGCCAACTACCAGAGTTTCGCTGGTAGACCATCCTGTCGACGGTGGTTCGTGCAGGTACACTGCTGACGTACCAGCAACTGGGCTGCCTCAGGTGCATCTCTCTCTGAACCGGACGAAGCTCGCCCTAGGCAAGATCGCTTCCGATTCTTCCATCGAGTCTCCCAAGCTCGCGGCACGAGTGTCTACCAAGGATATGCCTGTGCGAGAGCGCTCCTCTCAATCGGAGAGATCCTCCTCTTCCAGTCCTGTGAAGTCAACTGCGTCAAAGGAGTCAGTCATGCAATTCTGTCTCTGCCAACCGGACCCCAAGATCCCCAGGCCAAGAAACGGTAAGATCTTATCTGTTGCTAAGTATGACCACAAACTGACGGAAAGTACTGCAGCTTTTATCTTGTATCGGCAACATTATCAAGCCGCAGTAGTGGCTCAAAATCCCGGGCTTGCGAACCCAGATATCTCCAAAATCATTGGAGAGCAATGGAGGAAACTCCCTCAAGAAACCAAGGATGAATGGAAGGCTCTTGCCGAGGTATGCGGCTTCTTTTTGTTTATTCTCTTTCGTTCTTGCTGACCTTCATCGACAGGAAGAAAAAGCTCGTCACCAGCAGCAGTACCCAGAATACCGGTACCAGCCCCGTCGCTATGGCCGGGATGGTAATTCCCGTGCAACCGGTTCTGGCATTAGCCACAGTCCTCCGGGCTCCGCAGTCTGCAACAGATGTGGTGGGCGAGTGATGACCCCACCTGTGTCACCAGAGGCCCCTTTCACGCCCAGTGCATCTGCAGCATCTCCACATCCCGATATGGTCATGGCTCGAAGTTATCAACGCCGGGCTAGAGATTCTGACAGACAACCAAACCCCATCCGAGTAGACAATCACGTCGATTCTTGTCCTCCTCGTCAAATACCATATGAAGAGGCTGGTTGCCGGTCCCCAGACTCGAAGCGACGCAGGTTCAACTCTCAGGTAACGTTGAAACCAAATGTCCATCGGGACCGAAGCCCCGAGTCCGCATATCCAATGTCTCCTTATACCCCCCGCACGGATGCACCCAACGCTCGGACTCTGCATCAAATGGTCCATCCTTCGAGAACGGCTCGTTATAGCAGAGATCATCCACCGCATGATCCAAGTTTGAAGCTTCCACCACTACAGACCACAGTGCCTCTCCCGGGCTCCGTGACGCCTATCTCTCCGTTCCCTCAAGACGGATCAAGTCTTGAGGCCACGGTCATGACCATCCCCTTCCTCAACAAAATCAAAGTTCTCGCCAAGATATCCCCTCCACTCATTCCGTCCTTCCGTGGCAATTCTATCCCGCAGCGAGGAGCCGTGATTGCTGTTGACGGGCAAGATCCTGCACAAGTAAAAGCAGTGGTCGATTATCTCAACACTGTTTTCCAGAAGGAAGGAAAATACAAACCCCGCGTGTTCGAAGGCCCCGAGGTCCGCTCGCGGGAGAGTTACTCTGCAGCTGGTCAGATGGGCGATGCCACTGTCGATTATCTCAACACCATTTCGGTATGGCATCGCATTTCAGATGACATTGTGAGCTTTGTGAAGCCTGCACGGGAACCCTCCGAATCAAAGCCGGAGGACGATGACTCCGCCTCTGAGATTTCTCCCAAAACTATCATCCCCAAGACGGCTGATCTGAAGATAAGCTCTCCAGCTCAATCGAGCGAGAACGGTTCGGAATCAGCCTCCTCGGTTCCCGGCTCCGGCCTCTCACCAGTCCCCATTGCACTCGTCCCTCGCTACCAGCTCACTAACGCAGATGCATTCGCGTGTTCGGTGCCGATCAACGACTCGTACGCTCCCTTGGATCACTGGCAGTGGATGGCATCTCTCTGGCGAGCGTGCGTTGGGCCGGACATCACTGTCTACATCCGGGATTGCGAGAAAGACGAGCTGGATCGCTACGGAGGCAACGCGGTTGAGGTCCGTCTGCAAGATGCACGTACTGTGGTGGTGCGCAGACTAGCCGGCTCCCAGAAGGAGCTGGAAGAAAAAGCTTTGAAGCGTGTTGGTTTTGAGATTGAGGATTTCCTCACTCAGTAAGACTTTTCTGATCAAATTGTCGTTTCAATTTAGCATGGATCATCGAATTGCGCGGAGGCGGCTTTTTGCTTTTAGTCAACATAAGCATTGTCCTATTTCCGGAGGCTCTCGTTTGTTCTATCTGGGCTGTTTTTCTTGTTGACATATATTGTCATTTTGTGTTGAGTCTTGACAATTATGGCGTTAGGTGAACTTATGTTAAGTTCACTTATCCGTTCTTCATTTCATTTGACTTGTTATCAAAAGTAAGAATATATTAATCATCGAAGTAGGCTGAATCTAAATGCACTTAATATGACAATGTTGTTGAAGCCAACTCTCTCTCTGTTACTGTTTGAGGTTCACCTTGGATAAGTCACGTGGATCTTGTAACATAACTAATATAACTTAAAAGAGAAGTCCGAGGGCGGTGAAAGACAAGAGCCAATGGCGTTCGTCAGCTCGGGGAGTTTCTTGTCACGGCTCACGCATCCATGAATAATGCCAAAGGATTATCTATTCCCTGACTGGCAAAGACTCATGGTTTCTATCCAGGATGAATGCTTCAATTTATAGGATGACGCTGGCTTGAGACTTGAGTCAACTCAGCAGGTCTTGTGAGACACCTAGCAACCATCCTCGCCCAACTCCCGACTTTGACCTGAGAAGGCTGAGATCCGTGACGCTCTAGAAAGGTATGGTCCCCTGCTGATCGCGGATATTCGCGACAGGGCTTTAGGGCTAGCCGGGGGATTGAATGGAAGCAGCGTGATTGAATATTGTCTTGGACAAGGTCTGCTGGTTTTACGGTATGGCGTTGGCTGGTCTTGGACCGCAACCTGGTGTTGCGTCAATTCAGTCACAGGTGCGTTTCTCCCCTCAGAATCCACTCGTCGTCCTGCTGCTGGGTTATCCCACATGGATTCGCAGAGGAAATCTGATTAGTCCATGCGCTGACAGGACAACTTTATGGCATAGATGATGGAAACAGATACCATAAGATTAAGCGAGCGTCCTTACGGATCTCCCATGTGCGACTCGCCGTCGCAAATCACACCTGCGACCACACCCAAGCCCTCATCTTTGTTATCTGGCTCTGGAAATAGGTGTATGGCCCCTGCGCAGAAATTCATACAAGAAAAGGACTTGTTCTTATCAAATTTAAACTCATACGTTGCCGTCGGGTCCTGAGAAAACGCAACGAACCTCACAATGCCGATGCCGACCCTTGGGCGGACGACGACAACTATCCAGTTGGGGAGATTACAATGCTGAAGAGAAGCAATTGGGTGCGAACATGCGAGTACACATATGTGAAGCATCCGCAATGGTGCTATGTCCGTGTCTATGTCCTGCCCGACGATGCTGGGCACAAGTACATTGACCGTTCAAGCAAGACATTGAGGGAGGCACTTAAAGTTGTCATGTCGAAAGTCAATCGGTCCGTCGATGCATGGGATGGGATCTTCTTTTCGAATGAGCAAGTTACCGATGGCAATTCCAACGGTACCGGAACCGAGGACGAGTCACTGTGGTACATATTCAACACACTGCGAAATCCCGAGCCGCAAGTTGAAGCAGTGAAAGACCCTTACGCGAGGCTCGCCATGCGACAATTACTGTCTGCGGAGGACGCTGGCAACACAGAACTCGATGCTGGTGTAGCAGGGCTCAAAACTCCGTTGTACCCATACCAGCGTCGTTCAGCCGCTTTCATGGTTCAACGTGAAGCGCAGCCAGCCCAGATGTTGGACCCTCGTCTGCAGTTGTTCAAGGGTCCCAATGGACTCGAGTACTACTACGACGAAGAAGAAGGCACGATCTACAAAGAAAAGAAGCTTTATTCAGAAGCTTGTGGGGCATTTTAGCGGAGACTATGGGGTGTGGTAAGACACTGATCTGCCTCGCTGTCATCCTTGCAACACGCTGTCACGTCCCTGCCATACCGCCTCTGTACCGGGAAGGGGAAGTCAAACGTGAGAAATGTGCGAGCCTTGTCGAGATGGCGGCGAGAGCTGCTGGCCAGTCTTCGATGCCATGGAAGAGCTATTTTGATCGCCTCGGCCGTTCTGGAATGACCTTTGCAAGGTGCATCAAAGCTTGCGAGGACAATAGAGGCGCGTATAAGATTCCTTCACCCCCTACAAGGCACAGTGGTCGCTCTGGTGTCGCATATCCCAGGCCGCCTCCTCAACTTGTGCGGCTTACTTCGGGGACATTGATTGTTGTACCTCCCAACTTGGTTGACCACTGGGAAGAACAAATTGCTCGGCACAGCCAAGGGCTTAAAGTTCTCGTCTTACGAAACATGTCGAATGCTACTCCCAGTTCGGATGAGCTCTTGCAGTATGACATTATTTTGTTTTCAAGATGGCGTTTCGACCAGGAGGCCGGCGAGGCAGTTAACAACAGACGGGGCGTCTTCAACACAGCGGAGTCCTCACTTTTTAGCCTTCATTGGCTTCGTATCATCATTGACGAGGGTCACAACGTAGCTGGATCTAGCCAAACTTCAAGAACGAGATATCTCCTGGACAAATTGCATATTGAGCGCCGTTGGATTGTGTCTGGAACACCGTCCGGTGGACTTTATGGAGTGGAGGTGAGCTTGGCTTCACACGAAACAAATACTAGCAGCGACACCGATCTATCAGAGGCGACAGAAGCTGTTCTTCAAGGGAAGAGGAAGACAGAGGCGAGAGATGACCAAGATCTCAGGAAGTTGAAACCCATAGTGGTCAACTTTTTTGATCTGAAGCCATGGTCGAACCCTCTGGCCAATGACCATGCCGAGTGGGCCAAGTACATGAGACTCGTAGGGAAGGATGGGAAACGCCGAAAAGTGCAGTCTCTTCGCGCCACGCTTCAGAGCCTCGTCGTACGGCATCGCATGGAAGTGATTCATAGTGAGATCACTCTGCCGAAGCTTTACAACAAGGTTGTTTATTTGGAGCCAACATTTTATGACAGGTTAAACCTGAACTTGTTTATCTTCGTTCTGGCAGTCAACGCAATAACCTCAGAACGCGAAGGCGATGACTACATGTTTCATACGAAAAACAAGAAGCATTTGAGGACGCTGATCAACAATCTTCGGCAGGCTGGTTTTTGGTGGGCAGGCTCTAATCTGGATCTTTCGGCGACCGTGAAGAATGCTCTGGAATACCTGGAGAAAAAGAGAGCTCATATGAGCAAGGATGATATCACAACCTTGACTGAGGGAATAGAGATAGCCGAAAAGGCATTCTCCAGCGGAGCTTGGAATGCTTTTAGGCAGCTGAATGAACTAGGTGTCTACATTCGCGATTTCCCTTCTCATGCTCGAGCTTTGTGGGCACTTGACCCTTCGAAGTCAGACACTGAGCCCCTCCATATGGGAATCTACCAGGCTTGTCGCGCGCAGCAATTTGTCAAAGAACATCTGAAAACGGTTGACCCAACCGAAGGCCTCGCTGGAGCGGGCATCAAAGCCCGCCGTGAGCAAGCGGAGGCTGCAGAGAAGCAAGGCCCTGAGTTAGGCTTTGCAACTTTTCCAAAGTCGAAGAAGGCACCGAAGAAGTCATTCTCCAAAGGTCTTACGAAGTCACTGCCAGCGGATTCTCCCCTGGCACAGACCAAGTTGCTTGGTACAACGTCGGCTAAGCTGTCGTATCTACTTAGTCGCGTTATGGAGTTGCACACTGAGGAGAAGATTATCATCTTCTACGACAGCACGAATTCGGGCGTTTGGATTGCCGAAGGTCTTGATCTCCTCGGCATCGAATACCGCATGTATGCGAGTACGCTTAGTCCCGAGCTCCGTACAAGTTACTTGAATCTATTCCGAGAGAGCGAAGAGATCCGAGTATTCTTGATGGACCTGCATCAAGCATCTCACGGGCTCCATATCGCCAATGCGTCTCGTGTTTTCTTCGTCAACCCCATCTGGCAGCCGAATGTGGAGAGCCAGGCCATCAAACGAGCCCATCGGATTGGACAGACCCGACCGGTGTATGTTGAGACTCTTGTCCTCAGAGACACATTGGAGGATAAGATGTTAAAGCGCCGAAAGGCAATGTCAGAGAAGGAAATGCAAGAAGCCGAGAAGGATCTGCTGGACGACAGCACGATGAGCTCTATTATCCAGAACGAACGGTTCATTCCAATCCCCGAAGACGAGGATTCAGCCCATGTTGCATATCTCTCTAAACCTTCAGGCTTTTTTGACCGCCATAAACTGGCCATCCCTGACGATGAAGGCGACGCGGAGAAGTCTCCTCCGAAGCGCAAACGCCCGTCGTCCAACACCAAGACCCTTTTGGACGCCGAACCAGACATCCTCACGCCTAAGAAGCGAAAATCTTCGACCGGTTTGGTGTTCCTTTCTCCGGGGGGTATCTTGATGACCCCCAGTAGAAATTCTCGATTTAGAACACCTTCAGTGACCGGCATCGACCAGGAAAAAGGCGGAAGCCGTGCAGTATCTGAGGCAACAAACGGTGTCCAACAGAGCCCTGGGTCCATATTTGGGCCTTAGGTGTTTAGCGAACATTTAGATTTCACAGTATGTCATTTAACGTATATTACTTGTGAGCGAGACTGGTTATGAGAGAGGGGTCCGGACGACCCGCGGGTACATATTTTCCTGTTTCTGGTTACTGGTGTTCATTTGGTGGATAGATACCATGATTTGCGTTACAAATTTTTAATATACGTCTCCTTTCCCTTTCTACCTCTTTTGTCATACCTAAAGCTGTACCCGAGTGGTTACCGAAAAGGGTAACTGTATACGCCCCGCAGGCGGAGATCACGTGGTTGTCGACATTCCGGCAACGCTCCAGGGGTGGAAGGAGAATAGTGTCTGCAATGCATCTTCAATCGCTCTCTTGGTAATGGCCCAGGAATTCGTGCCATTTGAAGTATATGTTTTATCAACTTTTGAGGCAGTGATCTCTTATCAGCTCCCCGATTGAATCGACCCCACTACTAGTCGGTACCCCACTATCGCTGATTTAAGCAATGAACTAGCGCAAGAGCGAGATTGACTTTCTGCCTATTTTCTTTTGCTCAATGCCTCTTCGCCTCTTATGAAGCACTGAAAACGGCTTGTATTTTATCATCTAGCTCGCTTGCAGGACCAGATGCCCAGTCCATAACCCAAAGAAAGTCAACGACCACCCCACATAGCCCAGTACCACTCGACCCCAAGCACAGCCCACCCATCACCTCAAAAACATACAGTCACCAAAGAAGATAAGAAAAGCAAAAGCCTCAGGCCTCAAAATGGCCGAAGCCAACTCCCGACCGAAAAACCCCGTCACCATAATCGGAATCTCCGGCCCCTCATCCAGCGGCAAGACAACCCTAGCTCGGCTCCTGCACCGGATATTTTCACATGCCAACGAAAACCTGCAGACCTTCATCATGCACGAGGATGACTTCTACGTCCCTGACGATCGGTCAGTGGACCCAACTCACCTACCCTCAGAAGTAGAGTAGTGTAGAGTAAGCAAACAAGCTAACCAATCCAGAATCCCATACACGACAACTCCCTCCGGCAAAACAGTCCAAGACTGGGACACCGTCGAGGCAATCGACGTGCCATTCATGGCAGCAGCGCTGTCCTACGTCAGGCAGCACGGCCGGCTCCCACCGCGTCTGAAGAGCAAGGAGGATCTCAACGAGGCGTCCGATTCGGGCGTCAGCGACGAGACCATTGCGCAGCTGCAGCGTCAGGTTTCTGACAAGCTGCGGCAAGTTGGACCGGCCCTGGCGGGAGAGGGGGCAAAGCGGACGGTTGTCTTCTTCGAGGGGTTTTTGTTGTTTAGTCCGCCCGAGGCGGAGGTCAGGGAGCATGTGCTGCGGCCAGTGCATGAGCAGATCGATGTGCGTTTGTTTCTGCCGGCGCCGTATGATTCTGTCAAGGCCCGTCGCGAGAGGAGGAGTGGCTATGTGACTATTGGGCCGGCTCCTGTCCCGCCGCTGCCGCACAGGGGATCGTCGGCTTCCGAGGATGCAAAGCAGCATGTTGATTTGGAGGCAGAGGATGATGCCCCGCCGCAGAACTTTTGGACGGATCCGCCGGGCTATGTGGATGATATTGTTTGGCCACGATACGTACGAGATCATGCGTGGCTGCTGTTACCCGAAAGCGGTCTTCACAATGATCGGTACCAGAACGACAGGAATTCGGATACTGTCGAGTTGATCAGAATTGTAGGGCAAGGGACGAACGTGAGAACTGATGCCGGTGTGGCTGTCGCTCCTGGGAAGGGGACATTGCCCATGGTTGATGTATTAAAATGGGCTATACAGGGGGTGATGAAGCCACTGGAGACGGCCGAACAATGAAAACGGTTAATAATTTGGCAACATATTTCATTTCAGAGCTGTAACCCATGTCAATATCTAAATGACATCAACGATATACGATTTCCCAGCCTTCAATGTTGCCACCAGCTTGTGGTTCAAAGCTCTGCTCTGCCCAGGGGAAGGGCGTCTTCATTCTGGAGGAAGGCTAGAGCTCATCGCCAACGGGTCCCATCCATCCAAGCCAGTAATCGATCCTATCCCTGAGGGAGAAATGAGCTTGATCCTCATCACGGCTGCTGCCAGACTTGACACTCGCTGTTGGCGTGTCCTTGTCTTCCACAACATTCTCTCGAATGTCCTCTGTCTCATTGTGATCCACTTGTCCAGATTCCTGGACGTTTAGACTGACGTCTCCCACATAAGCTTGTTGAACGATTTCACGCGTGTCGCTCGCAATGGCTCGCTCTGGCGCAAGCTCATTATCCAATAGCTCAGGCCGAGATTCCCAGTCTTCATCGCATGGAAAAGCTAGTCCGAGTAGCTCGCTGTTTGCAACAGTTAAGTTCGTGTCTGATCCTCTCAAAGCACAGTTCGACACGCTGGGGCAAGGAGGGATCTCAAGATAAGGTGTGAGGATCACCCAGATCATCGAGATACAGAGGCTTATGACTAAGCTTTGCATGCAATATGCCATGGAGTCCGCCACTACGTTCGCGAACGACGTCCTCAACGTCTGGGATTTTGCCTCAGGAGGAAATGGCTCATCGAATAAATCCTTTCCTGATTGAACAAAATCTTCTTCGCGATCTTCCGAGTCATCTGCGTTATGCTGCCCCCGGACATCTTCCTGACCGAACTCCACTACCCTTGCGAGTTGGTGTGCTGTTTCCTTGCGATATTCCGTTTCCAGCTCAGTAAATATTTGGCGAAGATCGTTCCTGTTACTCTCGCAAGTGGTTGATGAGACTGGATAGATCCGTGGTAGCCAGTTTATAGCTTGTTTGCCAGGAAGCTTGAGCTTCCAAGCCACACCAAACATATCCAGATCTTTGGGAGAGCAAATGACCTGGAGGTAAGAAACTCCGACTGGAATTCCTTTGTTTTCCAAGTTAATCATCTGCAGGCCCGTCTCCTGAGGCTCAAGCCGGCAATGAAAACGACCGTCAGGGCCGCCATCCAAACGTAGGAAGAAGCAACACTTTTCCGCCCAGAAGCAGCGATTATGAAGCCTCAAGGAGCACATCGCAGTGTAATTTATCATCACATCTGGTTGAATGCCTTCATGAACAGCGCTGGCAATGACTTGGTAGTCGGCTCGAATCTCCTGGTCCACGGTGAAGTCCTTGACGATGCCGTAGAATTTCTGGTCGCAGACCCGTAAAGGAACGACAAGGTCTCCGTGGCTGACGAACTCGGCGAAGAAGCAGTTCTCCACAACCTTGTATCGCTGCAAGTTGGTAGTGCGGAACTCTAAGCCATGGTTCTCTGGGATCTGAAATAGGAAAAATCCACTCTCGCTAGCCCTCATCCTAGGAAGACCAGGAATGACCAGATTACTCCATCCTTTCGACTCGTCTTTCTCAAGAAGGACAGACACAGTCACGGCGAACTTGTATATTGCTGGCCTTACATTTTCAGGGTTTCGAATGAAGAGGATCCCATTTTCAAAGTCGAGATTGGGCTCGCTCATGGACGATTGGCAGTCTTCGCAATCACAGGCTAGGTGATCTTTAGGATCATGCGCCAGGGATTGGTCCGCATCATCGTGCTCTGAAACCGGGGTTTTAGGTGCTGTCATGTCTCGATCGGACTTGGGGCTCAATGTGTCCGGCTCAACGTCTTGGTCAACGGTGATTGTCACACCCTCGGACTCTGTTTGAATATGGAGACCACCTAGGACATTGTGCATGCCAACGGTCGCCTTAGGGGAGTCCAGGTCAGAGTTAGATCTTGTGCCCTTGGTATCTTCTGCGGCTACTGATTCATTTGCTTCAAAAGAGCCTGGAGACGTCTCAGGGGTCGACGGGACGAAGAAGTCAGAGTCTCCCCACTTTCTGCGGAATGTTTCAGTCATAGTTGTCTGGGTTGGAGTGGGAGCATCTTCCTCTTCAGTAGGCTTTTCACTATGTGCAGCGATTGATGTATTCTGCAACCCATTTGGCGCTGGAATAGAGACTGTTCCTCTCACCACGTCCTTGCCCAGCCGGGTTACGGGCTTCGGGATCATGCTAAGTGTTCTGGAATGTTTCCTGGGAGAGTTTCGCTCTGAAGACTGAATTGAAGGCTGGAGCGCTCCGTCCTTCCCCTCGCTTGCATTTTGAGTCCGCTTATCTGGCTCCGGGGCTGATTTAACACCGTCGACATCGCTGATGATGCACTTTGCGGACGGTTTCATGCCGGAAGTCTTGGTTCGCTCTGGATCTGACCCAGAATCAGTAAGGGATGCGTCAGATGCACTCCTCTTCCGGGCTGGGTTCTGCATCTTGATCCAGTCGGCACAATCTGCAACGTTCAAGCGCAGTCCAGAAGAGAGATTGGGTGCGGAGGTGAAGAGGTGCGACGAGGGCTTAAGTTTTTCGCCGTTGCCGCCGACTGCAACCCCTTCAAGGGAAGAAGACACAGTTGCATCCTGAGAGCTGATGCGAGATTCTCTCGCTGCGGTAGAGACGTCTCCCTCTGGAGTGCCTGAATTGTAAGAAGTGGTACCGTCATCAGATTCTGGTGCGGAAAAAGCGAACAATGGGCTTTGAGGCGAACTGGCACCCGACTGGTCTCCTTGGCCCCATTCGTTGGATTGGAGGCGGACGGAGAAGGTCTTGATGAGAGACATGTTTACAGATCTGGTATTGAGAAGCTGAAGTTGCGTGTTTGGGACGCATCGAACCTATGTTGACAGAGAGAATGACAGCGATCAGTACGAAACTCCATCAACCTGGGCTATCAGCTTACCTCAAGGGAGATTCTAAGGCCTACTGGCTCAAGCTCATTGCCATTCCAGGTACCCCGTATCTCCAAGCAGCTGAACTCGGGCGACCGCTGAGGCAATGAGCTCATATGGGCCTCACCCCGCTTTGCTGGAGAAGCCATGTGCCTTGTGACACACCTATCTGCTTTTAGTTAGCTATCGCAGAGATAAATCTCAGTTTCGATGTATCTATCGTCGAAAAGGGCAGAGCGATTGAAGGACCGAAGACGGTGACGATTAAGTGCACTGCGCCGGGAGAAAGTTGCGCAAGGTAAGGTAGTAGAGGAAAAAGGATGATGAAAGTGAATGAGGTGAAAGTCAGGGGAGCAACGACCTAAGACACACACACGCTCTTTGGTCCAGGAAGGGAAGGAGCGCTGTGTTTATACTAGCCTGAGGCACCTACGTATGACAATCGCTTAGAACGACAACTCTTTATGTTGTCGTTCCATATCTCGTCTTAGGTAGACTTCAAGCTATGCCGCTCTTTCTAATCACATACTAACAGGATGGCCTTATATCCTTCAACAATTATTGTAAGGATTGATAATTCAACAGTTGCCCTGAGTGAGCAGACTCAAATGCTAAACCTCCTCACCGGGATATGCAGGTCCCGATTTGGCACGGCCAATATGTACAAAGAATATTTGAAAGACGTCATTCCAGACGCGAACAGTGACAGAGAAGGAAGGGGAAGAAGTAAAGTGAAAACAAGAAGAATCAGAGAAACCCGCCAGCACGGTCACTCCCTGTTTTGTCCCATGCGCCATGTATAACCCGCCAGCCACCGATTCAGTTCCCGTAACACCCGCCCGTCGGTCTATCCAAAACAGAAACGTGATAAAGATAGAACCAAAAAGAAAGCAAAAATAAAGACATCCCTCCGAGAAAGGCCCTTGAGACCCCGAAAGACTTTTTTTCCCCCTAATGGAGTATAAGAGTGGTAAGAAGACATCAGCAGAAGAAAGTAAAAAGCAATCCGTAATCGCGTAAATCCATTATCGAGGTGTCCCATTATGTGAGCCAGGATGCTCAAAGGTTGTTTGACCGGGGGCAGCACCATATCGATCCCCTTCGGTTGAACCCATGGGTTGCGACGGGAGAATAGGAGTTGCACCTTGTGACGCCTGATCAAAGTAACCTCGTGCGGATGCACCGTTAGTCCCTTGTGGAAAGTTGCGACTCCGTTGCAAAGGTGGTAAAATTGTAGAACTTGTTTGGTACTGTTGCGTTCGCGGTTGGGGATATCCTTGCGGCATCATGGCAGCCGTCGAATCTGCGGTCTATTTCAGAAGAACAGAAAATCCTTTAGCTCTCGTCTTTAGGAGTCATTGGCTTGTGAAGAGTCCATACAGGAGTACCTGGCTGGTTCATCATTCCTAGAGATTGCATCGTCGCCTGCTGGCTGGAGCGTGCTTGGGCCGCTGGATCCTGCATCTGGGCCACTTGAGCGGATGGCGGGATCCCATAGGACATCTGCGCATCAATGTAAGCAGAGGTTCAAGCTGGGGCTATATTACCGGGTCTCGGGGATTTCACAGCAACCATGGATTCCACGGTGAACCGTAAGAGGACAGGGCAACCAAGGCAGGCTGTGGTTGACTAACCGCATAATCTGGTACTCCCGCATGTCCAGCAGGATATCCTTGCATCATAGGTGTCTGGTAGGTTCCAGGCTGATTCGGATACATGGCGGTGGTTTGTGGATACGCATCCACCTGGCGCATCCGACCTTCGGTGTCATAGATGCCTCTATTCCCGTAGTCCACAGACGTCCGCTGACGTTTGACCGGTGTCCCGTAGTATGCATAATCTCTGCCTGCTGCCGGATAGCCAGTGAAAGCGTTCCCCGACATCTGCATCGAAGACCGGTCCGGGGAGCGAGGGAGTGGCTGCTGGGGATACTCTTCCGGCCGCGGCGGCCGTTTCCTGACAAAAGAATCAGTCTTATTGTTATGGTGCAAAGCTGAGAAGCGTAATTCACAGGTCTCGCTGAGTACTTACAGAGACAGTGTGCGAGGCTCTTTTCTGATCCGTAGTTTGACACCCTGGTCGGCAAATGACCGAGAAAGAAACGTGGATTCTTGCATTCCAGGAAAAGTCTTTGGTGGTGAAACTGCATCCTGTTAGTCTGCACCCCTCGCAGAATTAATGGGCGCAGGATTGTCATACCAGTGAAGCGATCAGAGATAATGGATTTCAGGTAGGTAACCACATCCCTACGCACGGTGAGATCAGCGCTCTGCCATACTCATCAACAATCAACAAAGGAAGGCACGGGTTGCTCACTTTCGCATCTCAAACAAGGTAAACTTCAGTCGGAACTCCCCTTCGATTTTGACGGACAAATCCCCAAATACAAAGAATCCGCCGTCTGCGCAGCGCGAGTCAGCAACGAAGCAGTACCACCTTTTACACAAAAGTAGGCTTACCATTATTATCCACATCCTTCAACCGGTGAAGCGACGAGACAAGAGTGCCTGCCAAAGCTGTGGCTGGCGGTACGGGAACTGGCTGATCTTCATTGGCATCGTACAGACTGCAGCACATGAAATAATACGGGCTCTGTAGGTAGTGTCTACTCATGCAAATTAGCCCGAATCTTTCCCCAACAAGCCGAAACAAGCTCCCATCGTGACTTACTGCGCGAGATAGCTCCCTTCCTCTCTTACCCGGAGTTGCACAATCGGCGGCGGATCGACTGGCTTGCGTTCTGAAGAGCAAAATCCCCATGTTAACGTCCATTTGATCCCAAAGGAGGCTCGATGAGAGCAATGAGTAGAGCCTGCAGTCTCCCACGTACCTTTCTCCTTCCCACCGGCCACGCGCGCCCGATTGGGCTGCTGGCGAATGATCAACTCGAAGTCAGAACTGGTGTTGGACAACATTGTCAGTTGGAGACCCTGGACAGCTGAGTAAGAGTCGAGAAGACCATTCCGCTGCGAAGGAAGGTCGGACAAACCTCTGGGATTCGCGGGAAAGAGAGGCGTCTGAGAACGTCGACGCACTCATCAAGGCGAAGATCTTGTCACAGAAGTACCAGGTAGAAGTAGAGCCAGAGGATCCAGGTCGCGGTTGTCCGTCAGAAGAGCGCGCAACGAACCACGTACGTATCGTACAGGGTTCACCAAAATCGAGCAAAGCTGGATAAATGCACAATGAGAAGAATAAGTGGTTTTACAATACCAAGGGAAAAATGAGATAATAGGCTGGAGATTTCGGCTCTCTCTGGAACCTTGCAGCGGACACTTGTGGTTCGGACGGAGCACTAAGGCAGGGTAGAATAAAAAAAGGACGATCCCTAGTAGTAGTAGAAGTACCCAGTGGGGTGAAGGGACAGGTCCAGAGAAGAGGGGAAGAGAGGGGGGTAGGAATTGTCGTTGGTTAAAGACGGACACGACAGAGTATGATTGATTGATGATTCTAAGTAGCAGTTGGAGAAATGGAACTGGTCCAAGGTCCAAGTACCATGGGTGGAGACGAGCTGTGGGAATTTCAATACCAGCAGCTCCCAGTCCGGAACCGCTTTGAGCGTTGAGAAAGCTGAGCAGGGCAGCTACCTTAAGGTAAGGTAGGTGCCTTAGGTCGTGCGGGTGAGGTAGGTTGTGTTGGTGCGTAAGCTGGCAAGTGGTAGTGTGATGGGTCAATTCCGTCGCTTGCCTTCTTTTTTATTTTATTTTTTTCCCTTCTTTTTTTTGTTTGAAATTTTTGCTCTTTTTTCCCCCTCCTTGCCTTGGGTGTGATGGAAAAGGGCGGTTTACGAAAACGGCGCCGCAGGGACCCAAGGAACAGTTTGAATGTAGAGAGAGAGATGGATGGATGGTGTCGTCAGAATGCAAGCGGCAAGAGCCAGCCGAGCACGGTTCCAGACAAACCTTAACCTGTGCTTTGAGGAAAGACTGCCGGATTTGCGCAATCCAGCGAAAAAAGAGAGAAAAGAAAAAAAAAAAAAAAAAAAAAAAAAGGTTGTAAGGTGGCAGTTCGAAAATGAATATTCTCTTGTTTGTTTCCGCTCTCGTGATGAAGATGTAGATGTCCAGGAATAGGAAAGCTGATGGAAAACGAGCGAAGAAAAAGGGAAAAAAATGAGGATTCGAGACAACCGTTGCCGACCGTATATGCTCGATGCTCGTGATATGGCAGAGCGAACCCTCTGTCTGTCCCTCTTCTTGTTTATCTTCCCTTCCTCTTGGTCGTCGAAATGCTTCAATGATATGACGATATAGAGGTAGGGAAATGAAAAAAAATTGGATGGTCAAAGGATAAAACAAGAAGGTTATTGGGTGTGGTTCGGGCGGGATCAGAAGACCGCTTCAGCCCAGAGTTGAAAGAACACAGCTGAACAATGGGTCAAAAGTCGCCTCCCACAGGCCTGAGGGTCTCTTGACACACAGAAATCCAAGGGAAGAAGGCGGAAAAAGAGGAAATTTCTACTCGAGTTTTCAGATAAACCAGCTGAACCAGATAATGATAATGTGTTTCGGTGGAGTAGTACCAGAACAGTAGACCAACGCCGGTGACTTTTTCGGCCAGCAGTCCAGTCGTTCTTGAAGTTGAGGGAGAATCGTTACCAGTCAGGTCGACACTCGACCACGGTTGAGAAAACGGGCTAAGGCGTGTATCAGTCTTGATCATCCGACAGGAACCGTAGAACATCTGAAGATGATGCGCACATTGGCACGCCTCGAGGGGTAGGAGGATTGAATGCTCGAATGAAACGAAAGAATAGAGCAGGGAGTGTAACCAGGATCTGAGATTCAGTTCGGACACCTGCGCAAGTCTCAAACTTTACCCTCGTCTAGGCTGGATCGATGGGGGCAGTTGATCGAGCTAAGCATGAAATCCACCGCGTTTGCGGCAAACCATTACTCGCTTCCCCGAACAAAGCCCAACCCACAGGCGCAACGGTTTGGCCTTGTGCGCGGAGATAGAGCCGATTATGCAAGCGATCAGACCCGTTTTCCTCACTATCTAGACGCCGCGCAGGGTCTCCCGGCCCTTGCAGACGCCAGAGCCGCAGAGCGTGGGAGCGATGCTGCTGGTGCGCGCGCCTAAGCATTCCAGTCTGAGTCTGGTCGAGCAATTCCCATCGCTTATTCGTTCCACTCTAAACTTTGATCGTCTCTTAGACTCTTGACCGGCAGTTCGGGGAATACTCGCCTTTCGTAGATCCTTGGTCTCCTTTTCCCTCTTTGATTCCCCCTGGCTCTCCGTCTAGGTTGTTCCTTCAACGTACTGTCTGAATCAATCAACAATGCGCTCATAGTCACAACAGAAAGAACCAAGGGAACAGAGCATACCTTAAATTCTGTTGTTCCCCTGATGTCGATCCAATGGGTTCCGTGTTCCAATTAAGCTAGGATCCAAGGGAAGGAGCTCACTTCCAGTAACGAGAAACCCAGGGCACCAAGGCCCACTCGATAACCGTTGAAAACCCCGTCCGACACTAAGAGAGTTGTTGTACATCAACAAATAAACAATGGCCTTGCTTCTCCTGGTCGCTCAATGGAATTAAGATATCCTTCTTTTTCGCGAGTCTCTTGTCCGTCAGCGCCAGGTGATGGTCGAAGGATTCTCTGCTGTCCCTCGAAATGCGCTCCAGGCCACGAGATGCCGAATCGCTTTCCTCTTCGCTTACGGCTGAACCAAGTGAAGCCCTTCTCCTTTCACCCCAATGGGCTCCACTGTTCTTAACTCGATCACCGTTAGTCTAGACAAGACACCGGTTCGGCTGCGTCAGGAAACAGTCTGCATGCAAGGGAATCCTTGCGTGGGGATAAGGGGTTGATCGGAATCGGTCAACCAGACTTCTGGTCATATAGAGGGAGTGACGAACAGTTTCACCAGAAATCTGGAGTAGAAAGTGGGAGCGGGGTGCCTTTTTCTCATCGCGCGGGTTGTGCACTGAGGGTCAGGCCGCAAATGGCCAAAACTCGCATGATCTTAGCCTGAGTCCTAGGGATCTAGCTTGGTGGATATATCACATTGGCTTCTCTTGACATGCAGGATGCGATGGCTGCACGCAAATCACATTGCTGAGAAGATAGTTCAGCTCCTAGTGCATGCAGCTAAATTGACGAGGCTAAGGGGTCAAGAAAGTCAATATGATGCAAAACGACAGATCTCTTGATCGACGAACCACCCGAGTGCAGTAGTATGTGGTCAAAGTGTGAGATGGATTTTCTGCAGTCGAGATGCTGACCTTACTGGAATAGTGCTGAGCTACGCTGACCTTCCCCCACCCAAGGGTGCAGGTCCTTCATGCACGCTGCGTCTGGAAGTCGCAATACCGATAGTGCGGCTGAATATTACACCTTTCTCTTTCCCATACAACGGACGAGGTTTTCTTTGGTCGATTGACCTTCAGAATTCACCTCTCACAAAGTCGACCTGCCAACGTCCCTGACAAATACGGAACCTGCAGCTGCACTCAGCTGTCCTCACCTGCAAGAGTACTTAGAATAGCAGGAAATCCACAATAGCCGCTCTCGAAATCTTAGCCTCACTGCGCTGGCTCATCACAGTTTGGTCCCTTCATTAGCAGCAAATTCCGGCGCTGGTTGACGACGATGGAATCGATGGACCGCTTTGTGTAAATCCAGGAAACCCAACGTTGACGTGAATATACGAAAATAGCAGTATTAGTCCCATCTGAGCGCAAGCGAGGACATTGCTATTGGCGACAAACACGCAAGGGTGGTATGGGCCAATGCCTGCATATGTAAAACACCGTGACGAATGAGAATCCGGCGGAGCGTTGAGGATTCAATGATATCAAGCCGCTGAACGATGATCTCAATTCCGGGAAATGGAACAAAAGCAATCATGACAATAATACGACAAAATCAGGAAGAACAGATGATCCAGGCTGGGCAGTTATGACGGGTGACAGTGACCCTCAAGGGTCGGGACGACGGGACGCGGCGGTATAATTAAGTTAAAGACACAAGGTTATCAAGCACTGACCAATATTCATATTGCAGTTGACTGATCCCTGGAAACAAACACTTTCTGGACGCCATTATTATCGTTGCGTTCGCAGTTGGTCAAAATCCCACCGTACCCGCGCGAGCCACGTTGCAATGGCGTAACATGCTGCATACGAGCACAGCCATCATTGTTGATTGTTGGTCCAGGGGCGCGCGAGATGTCAATATTTTCTGCCTTTTCCGTTTGGAAAACAGCTCCGGCCAAGGCTTTGCGATCTGCACCGTGGATAGGAGACCACAACAAAGTTTCAGAACTTTTTCTTCCTATTCTGGCACTCCTGAACAAGTCGGGAACGAGACAATAGGGGAGAAGAGAGACAGTGTAGGAAAAGAAGGGGGAAAAAAGAAAAGAGCAAAAGAAAAATAAACAGCACTCTGGACTCAAATAGAACGACGGACGATTTTTAACATTTTAATTATGCCGGCTTCTACTTTTGTCCTTCTACATATTGAAGTGGGGATCGAAAAGCTGCAGGATGAACTGTCGCGGACTTCATCGGCGCTCCAGCTGGTCTAGCACAATGGCACACATAACTCGAATTGTCTACCCCCCTATTCCACTGGATCTCCGTTTATGCTTGTCCCTGGACGAACCATGTGAGCTCCATGTCTTCAGCAGAAACAGATTCGTGGTAGATAGCAGTCGTTGGAGGTCTGGTTTTACCAGGTAAGTATTGCATTGGCAGCTAACTTGGCGCTTTTTCCACAGAATCCACAAGTATCCACGGAGGACAGTTAACAACGACCAGCCTGTTCTGCTTATGTCCTTCTCATCGGTGTCAGCAAGAAAGGATCTGCAGGGTCAAATTACCCAGCTATATATTTATTTAAACATACTCCGTAAAGGACTTCCTGTGAACAGAGGGAAGCACGAGAACATTGAAAAGATGACGAACAGGTTCAAATCCCGAAGGGCTCACGGAGCTCTCCATGGATTCGGCGGAAAAGGAAAAGGTCATTATGACTGATCATACAAATCAACAGATGGGTCAAAAACCGATCAAGGATCATGGGAAGTCTCAATTCTTTGACAATCAAGGCTCGGAAAAGGCAACCGACAACAGAGCACACTAACCATCAAGTCCTTGCTCCTTAGGCACAGGGAATATCTTAGACCTGTCGCAACTAGCTAGATGTGGCCTTAGCAGTACATGTACTTTTTATTTCTGCGTTTTTGATACGTATAGTCTATGCTCCGTACTCTGTGATGGCACTGCACTGCCCATGTCAGTGATTCAACGCGCCCCGGCTGAGAATCTTGGTGTTGCCCATCCTGCTTCCTGGTTCCTGCATGGGCTTGGAAGTACTGCGTACCACCAGGCTACCTACCTTAGTATCCTGCATTCCTGCTCAATCAGCTACGCAACGCTCCCCTCCATCATGCAAGACGATCGAACGAAAAGTCAAAACCACACGCATTTCCTGGTTCTTGGGCTGCGGGCAACGGTATCTGTATTCCCATTCCGCATGAGTGTCTTGATCTGCAGCTAAACCAAGACGGAGTCGTCCACAATGCTTAGGCCTGGCTCGACCGTTACTGTTCGTCTTCTGTATGGCTCAAACAAAAAGTTGGAAAAAGGTACCAACAGTCATTCTGAAATCTATGCCATTGAATGAGCGGATAGATCGGATAGATCTAATGCATCAAATGCCTTCCTTACCTGCTGTACGCCGCACAACATCTCTTTCACAGTGCCCAATATCATACAGGATACAGCGAGAGCGGTGCACTGCCTTGATTTTAGGGCATCACGGTTACGTCTAGGTTGCTTGGGTAATAAATAAGTGGGTGCATAGTGACGAAGCGATGCACCAATAATATCTAGATCCTGGAGATCCTAAATCTAAGATATGAGCACCTTACTTAAACGCCTGTGATGAAATGCATGCTCTCCTTGGTTACTACGATCGCATCCGCTGGACAAATGTAAGATTGGCTTCGTTGGTATATGCTACACAAATGCAGGCGGGGCAGAGAACCACCCAAAGCTGCCATCATGGAGAACCGAACCTATAAATACGTCCTCTAGAACAGAATCTCCTCGACAGACATTCAGAAGCCATGCAGCAACGAAAAAGGACAGCGATAGCTGAATTAGATAGGGCAACAAACCAGCGCATGACGTGCCAAAACAGCGCTGTGAATGAATTCGAACGAAGTGATGACCGAAACGCCAAATGCTCAGCCTACTCCTTGCTTGATGAGGATACATAAAAAGGAATAAGGAAAAACAAGTAATTGAGGCGAGGAACCCTCCTGCATGAACTCAGATTAACGCCCAAATGCAAATGCGTCGTCAAGCGCCTTCATATACCGAATGTTCTCAGCGCTTGTGTTTTGCCCTCCCGTTTACTATCTGGGTTTCAAGAATTGTCATGTTTTTGCATGACAGCGTCGCCATCGGCGTCCGTATCAGCAATGTTGTTTTCCTGAGGCGCGTCATCATCTGGGAGCATCTCCACGACCGATTTTCGGCTCGCTGACCGCGATAGTTTTCCTCTGTTCTCGGCTCCCCTTCCCTTGGGTGTAATCGGGCCGTCGGAAAGAGAGACATCGGCATTTGCCTTGGCTACAACGGCGCCCGAACTACGAGTTCCGTTGAGAATGTGATTAGGGGTGCCTGCTTCTGGCTCGTACGTTGCAGCATCCTGGGGTTCTGTGTCTTGCACTTCTTCGGATCCATCCTGCAAATGCTGCTCGCCATTTACAAGTCCATTGGTCTTCGCGCAGGACGGCTCTGGAGCAGGGGAGTCCATCAGCTTGGCGCTCCGACCTCGCCGAACACTACCTGGATTCGAAGTAGGCGTCGCCGCCGAGGCCAACATTGAGGTTCTGCGGGGAGTACCGCGACCGCTCGTCCGGGCACTTGTCGGGGTCCCGCCCGCCTTGAACACGCTCTTACTGCCAAAGGGTCGTCCAGGTTTTCGTTTGAATACAGGAGCTTGAACAGGAGGATAAATCTCGAACCGGGAAGGGGAATGCCCGCGGCGGGGTCGGAGGGAGCAGAAGTACTCGAACTTGCTGTAGCAGTCGTTTGGTGATGGAAACCGCTGGTGTTAGAGAGCGCGGTTGAAGGGGGCCCAGCGGCCACAGTCGAACGACCCCCAGAATCGGCGCGCCCCGCCCAGCTGGCCGTTGGAATGACCGCACCATCGGCCTTCTTGACTTCTTCGCCTTCCTCCTCTTCCGGGTCTTCTCTCTGTGCAACGGTGTGCAATGGAGCCCGGTCAAATTGTGACTGATTGCTACGACCCATGATGTATGGTGTCCAGACCAAAGCATCCGGGTTCAGCTGAACGTAGCCTTTCTCCTCCCAGTTCCGAATACACTCCTCAAAATACTTGCAGTCGAGTCGCAAAGCATAGGTTTTGGTAATTGGATCCCTTACAAGGGCGCGTAACCCTTCCAAACCAGAGACCACATCATCGGCAGTCATGCCTGTTCGCTCTGAGAGCTCCGCGATGCTGATAGGAGTCTTCTGGTTTCGTAATTGATACGACAGTATCAATCGCCAGTAGTTGCGATAGGATACCAGGCCCATGTCGGAAAGAGGTTTCTCTGGCGAGCCAGTCTTACCTTCAATACGAGTGAGCAAGTATGAGAAGTCGATAAGCAAATTTCCGTAGCCTTTCCTTTGATGGATGGGGAGTGTGAGGATGCACGAAACATTGTTTGCCGAGCTGGGCCGTTTCTCCTTGCTGAAATAGCCGACAAAGTGGCAGCCCAGATCGTCGAATTCAGTCATGACATAAAACAGGAACGGCTCCACATCGTAGTAGAGCGTTTTGGATCCCAAGAACAATTTAGCGAGCAAGCAAAGATTCTGGCAGTAGACGGGGTTCTTTCGCCCGTCGACCTCGAATATTGAGATGGAACCATCACGGTAGATTTCATCTCCCGGCGGATGCTTTGCCGGGCATTTCAGCTTGTGCCGCCAGGCGACATAGTCTGAATTCATATATTTCAAGCAAAACTCGCATATATAGAGCACCCGGTTGCGACTATATTCTTCGGGATAAGGAGCTGCATACCAGGTCTCAATCTCGTATCCGCCAAAGTTAATGTACTTAATCCGGGACGGAGGACCAGAAAGCTTCTGGGAAGCGTGCGGGACGGCTTCTCCGCTACTTTCAGCTTCCAAAAGCTTCCTTTGCCATTCCTCTTCAGCCTTTTGCCGCGCGATCTCGAACCTTTCGCGATCTGCGGGTGTTGGCAGGGTCCTTGAGGTGTCCGCATCCGCTTCCGACAGAATGCCGCCGTATGGCTTTGACTTTGATTCGTCTGTTTCGCGGTCGTTGAATGAGTAAAAAGGGGAGATGTAGGGTGCAGGTGTAATGGGAGCAAAATGGGATAGAGGTTCTTGTACCGCTGGTGGCGGTTTAGGCGTTCTTCTGCCTCTGAGTTGTGACCGGCTCCGAGAGTTGAGGATCTTGGACACTTTGTTTTCATTGAGTCGAAAAGCGAGGACCAGTCGCCCAAATTGCCTCAAAACCACGCGGCAGGTATCCTTTTCCTCGCCGCGCGTTCGCCGAGAACGGGTACGCACCGGGGATTGGCCGTCTGTATTTCCAAAGCCCTGGTCTCGGGACTCAGCTCGAGCGGATCGCATTGATGACTGCCGTCGCAATTTTCGAAGTCCGGGTGTGGGTTCTCCCACGTCGGTCGACGAGGCTTTCCTTTTCCGCAATGATCTGGAGCTGGTCAAGAGCTCATCGCTGACGTCCACGGTGCTGAAAATTGAGTGGAAACCAGAATCTTTCTCTCCAGTGTGCGCCGGTAAAAGTTCTCTGCGCATCTTCTTTTGACGATGTTGTCGCGGGGTTGTACCATTCTGCTCAGTACTTGGCTGCAATTTCTCCTGAACGCAAGTAGGGCATCTCCATGGACCGGCATCTGTACAATGTCAGTCTCGGGGCAAAGAGCGCGACGAAACCAGGTAGAGAAGGCAAATCACTTTAAACATACCTTGTGTCTCGCCGAGTGCATCTTGTTCGCGCGCACATTGTCGATGAGCTGTAGAGAGACGTATCAGCGACAATTCTTCAAAACTGGCTCGGAAGGTGCAACGTACAATGGTCACCACAGACGGCGCAGGTTAAATACTCTTCAAACTCCTCGCTAGGATCATTATCCTCGTCTTGACCGCAAAAGCTACATTTCCCGTCTCAGCATCAGACCAGATCTCAAGAGTGGACATGGGAAGAATAATGAACTCACATGCAATTGCCGCGGACAGTGGTATCCACCTCCGCATCCTCCCGGCTATTACTCTCCGCCTCCCACTCCTCATCGGCCTCCGACTCTGAACTGCTTGGAGAGGCAGCGGGTGCATCGCTGTCACTTGGATTCTCAAACGCCGGATCATCTTCTGCATCGGCAGCCGCAGAAGCAGTATCATCGTTCTCAAGAGAGCCGGCTGTGTCAGGCACCTTGACGGCACCAACCGGTTCCGCATCATCATTATCCCCGTTGATGTTCAGCTCCGTATCCGGCTCCCCCTCTGCATCTTCGTCTTCGTCGTAATCGGCATCCTGATCCCCCTCGGCGTTCTCCCCAGAGTATGCCCGATGAACTGCATTCTGTAGCTGCTGGTCCATCTCATAGAGGTCGGTTTCCTCTTCCCCTTCTGCATCCTGATCACTGTCCACCATATCTGCTGGCGGTCTAGTATCTGGATCGTCGATGGCCGGCAGCACGGTCGCCGGCATGGTGTAGGTCGCCGTAGTCGCCAGTTTGAGCGATTGTGTTTCACGGATCTACCAAGGTTTCGCGATGTTTGAATGGGAAGTTGAGGCTATAGAAGCTTCCCGCTAGGGCGAACAATCATCTGGCCGCGCATAAACGGGACATGAGGAACAAAACGACGAGCTGATTCAAAGGCAGTATACCAACAATTCAAAAAGGGCCAATCGGTCAAATCGTAGCGTACGTTCGTAATCAGGCGTCGGAGACGAATGCGCGAGCAAGGCAAGCGCGGAGGGTGCCAAGTTGGGGGTGCTGGAAGGAGGCGGCCAAGACAACAAGCAAACAACGCGTGTAATGAAGGAACTGGAACCGTGATATTAGAGGCGCTAGTAGATATGCCAGAGTAGAGCAATGACCAACGCGTATATTCGCAGCGGAAACGCCGTTTGTGGAGTTATTCAGCTTCCAAAGCCATCTGCCGCCGCTTCACGCCCCTTCTCTTGCAGTGAGGTTCACGGAGTTGCTGACTCATCCAGATTGACACCAGGTGGGCTAAACCGTATTAGGAAATCCGCCAGACCTCGACGTCGGCGGCATCAAGCGGGCACAAGAAACGACGCCGGGGATCATTCTGGTCTGCTTTTTCGCAATTGAATCTGTCCGTTGACACCTGGCTCGATCTCTTCGAGGCTTTTTCTGACCTTGCAACGACTTGAGGATTTGTAATTCGCAAAATGGGTGTCCCTTTCGAAGCCCTCATCCCCTATGGGATCATCATCGCTGTGTGTATCCGCAACCCCGAGCATGCCAGCACGAGTTACTGATGGATCGTGACAGATGTTCGGCGTGACCGGTGCCGGCCTCACTGCTGCTAAGTACTTGGGAAACGAAGGGAAAAAGGCGCGGTGGAACAAGGATCTGTGGGACAGAGTAAGTGCTTCTTCACCTGTGGCTTGTGACCGAGTGACCAAGGCTAATATCCATCTAGCAAAGTGCGTGACCTACCGCTTGCAATGCTTGCAATATTTCTCCTTGTTTGCCCAGACGAGGCTCCGGAAACTGACGATATATATCTGCCATAGTGATGGAAAGAGACTTGAGAATCACAGGAACTTTACGAGGCCAGTCAGGCAATGCCGTAGCGCCAAAGGGATTCGATGTCAGCAACCCATGGAAGGTATGTCATATCGTCAGCTCGATGCGTTTATTTGTGGTTGAATGCGAGATGCTCACTTCTTTACAGCTTGAGAAACGGATTTTCTAAGTCACGGCAACGTGTCTCCACGTCATGTCTTTACACCATTTGTTTTAGCTTGTGTTCGCTTGCTTTTCCTAAATCAATATCCACGCTACGGTCCTAGAGCAACATCTTTTGTACAATATCACTGGGCAAGCGGAACGCTGCAAAGCTAGTTTTCATATGTCAAAAAGAATTCTATTTGATCTGGGAGCTCAAGCCCTGTATTCCTTCAACGTCACAGTCCTGGAAGTGCATACCGAAATACTTCGCCAGTGCTTGTCTCCGATCATTTTCGTTTGCTAGTGTGGCCACAACTTCTGTCTCCTTACCCAGCCTTTTCTTGACTTCTTTTCCTATCATCACATATATACCTCGGGGTTCGAGTCCGTCCTCACTCAGAATCACCTTGGTGCAGACAAAAGCCTGGGTAAACCAGCTGGTCGGCTGCTTGCTTGTCGCAAAGTTCATCACTGAAAAGTCCTGTGGCAGGAATTCAACTTCCGAGAAGGAGTACATCGGTATCCATTCGCTTTCCGGGTTATGCCTGACCTGGTAGATCCAGAGCTTCTGGCTCTTGTCGACGAAGTCGGGGATGCTGTCCTTGATCAGGCGCATCTCGCTGGGTGCAATACAGATAGCAACCTCGTTTTCCTTCATTGGCAACGGACTGGTAGGGCCATTGCCGCCGAATCCAACGTCGACCTTTTGCGAGCTCAGTTAGTAGCTGTCCGCGATGAGATTCTCAGCGGGAAACACCTTACCATGTACTTCTGGCCGTCAATGGTCACGATCAGAACCATATGTCCACTGCGCCCTTCGTCAGCGAATGCGACTCTTATAGATTTAGGAGATCTAGGTACATACAGCGCCAGATATCCAACCGCCGCATTGTTCCCAGCCGCTGCCGCGCGACTAACTCGGCCTCCCGTGGGATAGACCTGATACCCCAACGACCGTAGGACGACATAAAGCAGGTTGGTGTTTTCCATGCAGTACCCGTCTAGTTTGCGAATGACCAACTTTTCAAAAACACATGTTGGATGGATGGAGATGGCGCGGAGTTGGGAGTAATGCAGACCGGAATTTCCCCAGGGGATGGCGCCCAGATGCCGCCTCTGCAGCTCGGTCAATGCGGCCAGCGGATCTTTCTCGATGCATTGCTGGAGATGTTGGTGCCTGGTGATTCCGGATGTGCTGGCGGAGTCGGCGTACTTGATGCGCTGCAGGTAGGCCTCTATCTGATCGGGAGTATACGTAGACGGTGGCGACGCCATGATGGGTGCGATGATCTACCAGACCACGAGGAAGAAGACTATCTTATTTACATAAATATACAAGGCCAAGATGGTCTCGTATTCAGAGTTGGTCATTACAAAGCGATTATTTGTCAGATGAGCAATTCCAGATTTGGCGCCAAGGTCCACCCATCGGGTTGGCGAGTTGAGGCGAGCCGATATGGTTGGGAGAAGATATTCTATTGGCAAGAGACGAGTGTTTCAAAATAATTGGTTAGTATGATTCAAACAATATTTGTTTGATGCTTTTAGCAAAAAATGCGATGCTTGTAGAGCAATCGCATTGACGGTGCCTCTATAGTTCTGCTTTCCCCGCGTTTAACCCCGCGGCAGAATGAGAAATGAATGTATTAAGGACGGATGATGTAGATCGATATCGAATGGACATGACAGTCTGTCCGTGGATAGGTACTCGGTATTCGGACCGAGACATGTTTCCTAATGTAGTCTTGGATGATATCATGGATCCTTTGCACAGAAGTACCTTGATTCTAGATGATGATAATGTTGGTTTATCAGATCCTCGGCTGTCCGTGTCAGGACTGAGAGACATCTGACGATGAATGCTTTGATGTAACTAGTCTCTGCTAGAAACTACCCTCTATTTTTATTCCAAAGGTTCAGAGCACATAGCCATATTGTATACAAAATAATGCAGCTCAAGTAAAGACGTTCTCAGCAAGAAGACTGTTCCGAGCAGCGGACAAACGGACGTCGCATCTACACTGACCCAATCTCCGAATCTCTCCATCCCAACACGATCTCACTCATACTTTGGAAATCGTACCTGGCCGACTTCCATGAACTTCGTGTCGCGGAACCGTGCTATCTTTGAAATTCTTCCTTCCCATCCTGCTCGTCGACCACGACTGATCTTCAACCCATTCCACGTCCCATCCTCCCATCCAAGACGCACCATGTCCAGCTCGATCGAACAGAAACTGACCGAATTGCAGAAATACTCTGCATGCGATGTATGATCCCAAATTACTATCATCACTCTAGATCTCTAGGAAGCTTCCGCTAACCACCCAAAATCCAGGTATCAGATGCTCTCCTCAAACTACAGAAACCCCCAGCAGGAACAGCCGCCCGAGCAGGGCACCTGGCCGACTTCAGTAAGGAGCTCTCGCTCTAGCATCAATCTCCGTCTTACCAGTACTCTCCTCGGTAAGCGAAGCTAACAAGATCACCCCAGCCCCCTTCTCCCCCACCATTGGCCGCAACGCAATACAACCCAAAATCATCGCCCCAGCATCTACCTTCAAGTTCATCTCCAAGGACGACCACAACCCACCAAGTGCAGAACCGGAGGACTCCCACGGCTTCCCATCAGGCACGCACTGGGTCGACTTCGCCAAGCCAGGCACCATCGCCGTGCTCGAGCAGCCCGCGGATCAGCACTGCGCCGTCCTCGGCGGAATCATGGCCGTGCGGATGAAGGTCCTCGGTGTGCGCGGGGTGCTGGTGAACGGGCGCGTGCGGGATCTGGCGGAGATTAATGAGTGCAAGCTGCCGGTTTGTGTCCTTCCCCAATTCTGGATTGCGGGTGTTGGGGCTGATTGATGTAGGTTTGGGCGAAGGGGACGTCGACTGTTGGGTCGGGTGCTGAGGCGAAGCCGGGGGCGAGGGATGTGCCGGTTGATGTGGGGGTGTGACTGTTTCCCCAGTATGGTTTTCTGTAGGTAGGAAGTGGGTGTGGATGGTGATGCTGATGTTGTTTACAGGGCGATATTATTTTTTGTGATCCTCTGGAAGGCGTGGTTGCTATTCCTCAAGAGCTGCTGGATCGGGTGCTGGAACTGATGCCGAAATTAGTCGCCATGGATGACAAGGCCAAAGACGCCGTGTCGCAGGGGATGGATGTCTCTCATGCGTTCAAGCAGTTCCGTACCAATACTTGAGAAATTCCCAGGGAGGTATCAAGAGGGGTTATATATAGGACGAGCTATCATATCAATGGTGGACCATCATGCCATTGGTATTCGAACAAGTATTCAATACAATCAAGAAAGGTGGTAACATGATATATATGTCATCGCTATACAAAGAAATGCAGAGAAGAAAAGCAATGAAACCAGCTCATTCCTTCTTTTGTTTATTCGGCGACCCAGACGGCGGCCATGCCCATACCCGTACCCACACACATGCTGGTGACACCGACCTTCTTGTTGGTGCGCTTCAGCTCTGTGAAAAGGGTGCTAATCTGTCTAGCACCGGTGCAGCCAAGAGGGTGGCCAAAGGCGATAGCACCTCCCTTGGGGTTGATCTTCTCCTGGGGCAGGCCAAGCTCGTTGACACACCACACACACTGGGAAGCGAAGGCCTCGTTGATCTCGTAGATGTCGACCTCGTCCTTGGTGATACCAGCCTTTTCAAGGGCGACGGGGATGGCCTTCCAGGGGCCGATACCCATGAGCAGGGGCTTGACACCGACAACGCTGGCGGCAACATACTTGCCGATGATCTTCTGGCCGAGGCGCTCAGCGGTGGAACGCTTCATCAGCAGGACGGCAGCAGCACCGTCGGAGATCTGAGAGGCGTTACCGGCGTGGATGGAACCATCCTTGGCGAAAGCAGGACGGATCTTGCCGAGCGACTCGGCGGTGATGCCGTCACGGATGCCATCGTCGGCCTTGACGGTAATGGTCTTCTCCTCGCCGGTCTTGGGATCAGTCCACTTGACCTGGAGAGGAACAATCTCCTCGTTGAAGAGACCGGCCTTCTGAGCCTTGACGGCCTTCTGGTATGAAGAGGCAGCGAAAGCATCTTGGACGGCGCGAGAGATGTTACGGTCCTTAGCCATCTGTTCCGACAAGACACCCATGGGGACCTTGCAGTTGGCGGACTCGGGGTGGCTCTCGAGGAGCTCAGAGAACTCTGTAACGGCGCCAGGTCTATGGAACGAAAGTTTGTCAGCGTTCGGGCTTTTTTCGCCGCATTGCAAAAACAAAACCGGTTCGACTTACCCGTACTGAGAGGACATGCTCTCCACGCCTGCACCAATACCAACTTCAATCATACCGGACTTGATCGCGTTTGCAATGTCCACAATGGCCTGAAGACCACTGGAGCACTGTCTGTTCAAGCTCTTGACAGCAGTCGACTCGGGGAAGCCGGCAACAAGGGCAGCAGCACGGAACTCAGTGGCACCGCCACCAGGGGCAAGGACGGAGCCAACAGCAACATCTTCCACGACCTTAGGGTCGATGCCACTGCGGTCGATAACGCCCTTGAAGACACCGGCCAACAGATCAGCGGCAGCGGTATCCTTGAAACCACCCTTGCCACCCTTGGTCAGGGCAGTACGCAGGGCACATGTGACAACGATATCATCGGGATGCTTCTCGGTGACGGCGGCGACACCCTTCTTGCCTCCCGACGTGAAGTGGGAGGAGACCTGAGAAAGACGCTGTTGAGCTGCGAATCCCCAACGCAGTCAGTAATCAGTACTATCTTTAGTCGACCGAGCTGAAAGAGTATCCGACTTACCAGAAGACATGATGACGTCAATATAAACCAAGGGTATATGAAAAGAGACCAAAGGACAACAAAGTAGAGCTCTTCAAAAAGTATGGGATACGAAAGAGATGCTAAACTGGGGAGTCCCCTTTATAACCCCAGAAAACCCAACGTGGAGTAATCACCAAGTCTCTCGGTCTTGTTACCCTTTGCAGTGTTCGTGTATCCAAAACCTGTGAAAGTACCGAGGTCCAGCCGCATCAATGTTGTTCCGGCTAAGAAACCAGAGTCACGGGATTCCGGCGACGAGTGTGTCTCTTGATTTTCATGTGAAGAATCATCCATCAGCAGATGAGAGTGGCAGGAGACTGCAGATGATCTTCTCTTGTGTCTTGAGCCTAGGCAATAATAATATCTAATGATGCTTATGGAAGCTTCTGTCGTCATTTGATCCGAGTTTCTCAGCTATTTCGATATGAAAAGTTCCTTATGTACAAATAGTCCGCCGTAGATATATGATTATACCCTGGTCTTGTGAACGCCATCTTATCCTTATTTATGCTACTTTGAGAGCAATCGTTATTATATTCTATTATCTAGATAACTAGTATTACTGCCAAAGTTGAAGTCTTGTTGTGATGGTACCTGAAAATATGATATTGGAATACTCTGAACTTAGCATACTTCATGTTTGAGACATACAACACATACAGATGATGTTACTGCTGCATATTAGTCTTCTAGTTGAAGCTTCTCTAGTTGAAGCTTCCTCAATTCAACTTTCTTTCAATGATTTATCAGAGTATCATAAACGACACTTAGAATTGACCACTCTATACCTCTCTAGATCAAGTGTCAACTCCGAGCGGAGAGTCGGCGGTGGAATCCCCGACGCTTTTCTCTCCGCATCGTATCCAAGATCAAAAAAAGTCCCGGCTACCTCCACAAGATCTCAACAGACAATAGTTCACCAATCTCCTCCGCTTCACCTCCCGTAACAACTGCATCATGCGCTCCAAGATACTGCGCAGCCTGGCAACAGCCGCACGCGCATCCCCTCCCGATCAATCCACATTCAATCCTCCTCATTAAGGCCATCCCGACCAACATGCAGTGTACGATCTTCCTTATCCCTCCTCTCGTCATTCCGCTTTCTAACCATCATTGAGCAGATCCCGAGTCCTCTCTCACAACCAGCTCTGTCCCGAGCATTCTCCCACTCAGCCCCCGTCTCATCATCCCCATTCCGCCTCACCTCGAAACCCGACACCGACCACACAATCCCACCGGAACCACCCCTCGACGGCGAACCGGCCCCTACTACAGCCCCTACAAGCCAAAGCGCCAATGGCCCCCAGATATGTCCAAGCTTTCCCCGAAGCACCAGTTCCGGCTCGAGCGCAAGTACCGACGGCGCGCGGCGCTCAAGTTTGCTCGGCCTAAGTGGGTCAAGGTGACCAAGTTGATTCAGTGGGGGGTAATTGGATGTAAGTTTCCTGTCTTGGTTCGGGGAAAAGATAGAAAGGAAAGGATAGCGCTAATGTTGTCTGTCTCTTGTAGTTGTTTTGATATATGCTTTGCTGTTTATGGAGTGGGATGAGAGGGGAAGTCCGTTCGATGAGGTGGGCGTTTCCCTCGTATTGATATAGTACTGAGAGGTGTGGCTAACCTGCTTGAACTACAAAAACAGATTCGACGGGCGTTCTTTTCCGGCCTTAAGGATACTTTCTCTACTCCGCCGCCTCCACGCCCTGCCAGGAAAGCTGACGATACTGCTCAGGAATAGACATCACCAATAGAAGACCGGTTGGCAATCTCGCTTGTCCAAAGCCGATGATCACTCTAAGGCTGCTGTATATAATAATTGTACCATATGCATGAAACAATGTACTATCTGCAAAGACTACCGAAGCATGGCAACTCCCTACCTGACAAGCTTGAAACCTCTGCTATACTTCTCTGACTTGGTCAGTGTCAATCTGAACTATGAGTTGCACGTCCAAAAGAGAACAATTCATAAGAGTTGACTGTCGTCTGAAAATATGTTTGAGAAGGAAAAAAGGAGAAATCTCATCATGTTGGCCCTGTTGCTTCATTAAAAGTCGTGTCGCCATGGCCGTAGTTCAGCTGACAGATGCGCCCAAAACGCCAAAGAAATGCCAACGCCTTTCAGTATCCAATTACTCCAATAAGACAAAACCAGCAAGCCCAGATGAAGGATAACGAGGGACGGGAGTTCTCATGAGAGGGGGGAAAGAGGCAGCAGAGAGTAACAGCAACAGAAAAGCAGGACCTAGAACGCCGGGTCATGATCGGATGATGGAGTTGACTTCACAGAAAGTCGATGAGTTATTGAATCAAGACATCAAAACTCACGAAAGCAGATCGCCAGATATATGAATTGGCATGCCGTAACACCAAATGAGCTTGTCACAGCCAATTGCCCAGATTATCCCCCTTCTGAGAAACTCGATTGTTGGAAGGTAGGTCCAGTGCAAGCTCCAACCTGGGAGGCTTTTCGTCAAGGATACCCTTCTTAGGGCTACCACCTCCGGCCTTGACTGGGGACTTAGCAGGGGATCCAGGTTCCGGCCGAGGCGGACCTTCCCGAACGAATGTGTACGGCCATCCATCCTCAACAGCAGCTGCAGTCCATGTCCGGAGACAATCGTGGACGGAGGAGTAAAATTTCTCCTTGCATGTTCTCAGACTACCGCCCATTACCTTCTCGAACCCGGAAGCGCGGAGTTCTGATCGCAACTTGTTGCGTTCTTCGATAGACGGCATACATGCAATGAGGCCGTTCATGAGGTCAAGATGCGCTGCGAGATAATTGGTGGCATCCCATTCAACCCCACCTACATACGGCGCAGCGGGGACAGGCGGTCTAGGTGCCGGAAAATGACGCTCTCGGAACGTCTGTTGCTCCAGTCCTGATGGCGATTTGTCGGACTTGACGATGGGGACGACATTGAGATGATGAAGAAAAATCCAAAACACCTCTTTGGTTACATTGCTGACTTCCTTACACCACACTCGATAAGGGCGAGACTGGTAGATATTGGCAATGAACGAGAGCGGTTGGTTTTCTTCCGGGGACTTGGATCCTGCAAGTAAGAAAGGATCCGTGAGGCGCATGCTGTTGCCATCTCGTCCGAGGAGGCGGTAGCAAGCTGAGTGAAAAGGAGATTCATGATAATGCTGCGAGTGGTGTATTCGCTCGGTCCTTTCTTTTCCTCATCAAACAACATCTTCAACAATGCTGGGAAGAGTTCAGCTTCAATTTTGGTCAGGTGCTTCAATGCGACTGAAGTTGTGCAGAGAGCCTTCAGGCACAAAAGGGTTTCATGAAGCAAAGTGTCCTCATGTTCCTCCCTGACAAAGAAATCAGTATTTGGGCATAAAGACGTCAGACTGGGCCGCAGAAACGTACCGCCATTCAACTTTCATTATCCTGTAAAGCAACTGGACAATTTCGTCCATACCGCCATCGGCAATGAACGTATCAACCCAGTTGACGGTCTCATTGCGCAATAGGATACGAAGCTTGTGTATCTTACCAATCTCGATCATCTCAGGCTTTTGTATCTCGCGTAGATAGTGGACAAAGTCCGATGGATCGGCAGCAGTGTCGCGACTGGCTGTAGCAGAGAGAGACACGGTGGACGTCGCTGGTGTCAGGATTTTTGCGAGACTCGCCGGTTGCGACAAATCCACAGACTTTGGACGCCGATAGAAGCTTCCGCTTTCAGGCCGCTGTTTTTTCCCAGGTGAGGAGCCGCCTTTAGAAAAGGTAAAGCCGCGACTCCTGGATCTCGATCGCGACCCTTTTCCGTCATGACTCTGGCGCTCATCCTTCGACTCGCTTTTGCGACCTCGGCGACCAGTGCTATCAGTGGCCGAGGAAGGAGCCGCGCTCTGTGGGGTGTTGTTCTCTGCTCTATCCTTTTGAATAAAGTCAGCCTTGATGCTAGTGTCCAACGCCCTCATTTTATCCCTCATATTGTGGGGAATGTTCCGCGCATCCTATATCACCAGTCAGCATGTGCGTCCCCGACGACAGTAGTTCTTCTTAGGCCAACTCACAAGGAGCTTCTCGAATTCGCTTTCCAGGTCCTTGGGATTCAAGCGTCGTTGTACTTCTGCTTCTTTCTCCTTCGCGTTGAAGGCAGAGATTGCCGCCTGCACGCGCGATGGTTTCTTCGGGCTCGCATCTGGCTTCATCTCAGGCTCTGAGTGCGATTCTGACCTTGACATACGAGGTCTCCCTTGGCCTCGCTGGGACTCAGTCTCAGGCTGATCAACGGCAATTGGTTTGTCAGACGGCACTGTTTGGATACTACCCAGTGCCTCCCTTAACTTTCGATTTCCTGAAAGATTATCAGATTTCGGACGAGGCTTGGCATCGGAGCGATTAGCGAGAGAGGGCTGATGGTGATCATAAAAATTTCGCTGTTGCGCTGGGCCATAGCCTTTGGGCGTGTACAGCGAAACTTCTTCTTGCAATGTTCGGCGCTTATTTGGGGACTGTGGCACTCCAGTCTGGTTGTGAAAGGAGTCGGATCCGTACGGGTTCCAGACAGGAGATGGCATGCTGTCCACCAGATCAGAGGGGCTTCGATTTTCTTTGTCCCGTATGTCTTTTGATCCTCCGGCCTTCCGTCCCCGCTGTGATCTTTTCAGGATGGCACTGAGGCTGTTTGCCGACTTTGCCTTCTTAGGCTTCCAACCCAACGACTCGTCCTCTTGCGCACCGCTGGCCTTGTTTTCCTTGCGTTCCATGTAGTTTCTCAACGATTTCAGTGACACGGTACTCTTCGTCTTCTTGTGCAAACCCGCTTTTCCTGTCTTTTCAGACGGCTTCTGCTGAATTGAAGGGCCATCTGCCGCATCCCGGTTGTGGGCTCTTTCACCCAGCGGATGTTGGTTTAGAGCAGGGTAGGCCTGGTCGGCCGGGGACCAAGACGCGCTTTCTGCCGGTGTGGACCTGGGAAAAATCTTTGGAGGGATAGCATCGTCCGCAGATTGGTTTCGTCTATGAGCTTTGGAGAGAATCGCTCGGAACCCAAGTTTGGTAGAACTTCGGGTGGCATCATCGAAGATCTCGGGGGCGTGCATGTTGGGAGCCATATCTATCGCCTTTGGCCAGAAACTAGCCAAAGCATAACGACAGCGGTCAGTAATGTTCCAAAATAAAATTATGCAAAGACGAACCTCTACCGGGCCGGGTAGATGCGAGTTTAAACTTACGGTGAGAGGATGCTCCGGTCGCAGGTGAGAAGAAGTAATGCAACAATTCAAATGGCAATTTGCACAAGAAATCACAAGAGCAAGAACGACAAAATCACAAATTGCAAGCAAGCAGAAAGACAGAGCAAGATGGAAAAAAGCAAGACATTGGCGAGCAGGTGAGATCTGCTTGAAGTCAGGACTCGACGGGGGCAGACAACAGGAAGTAATAAAAAGCCGGCGGACATCAAAGGAACAGCGAGACCAGCATGGCACAGCGAATGATCACCAGGTGGATAGTCCCGGAAGTGAGCAGAGTCTCGGATGAGTCGAAAAAGATGACCAACAGGCGCATGCAGCATTCATCCACCAACTTTATCCACCAACGCCGTTGCACAGTGGCTGGAATCGAGGGTGGTGGAGGGAGTAAACAGAGAATGGCAGTGAGGTTGCTGGGGGCAACCATGAGGGGGAGAAATACTTATCAATACGGAGTAGTCTATCTAAATACTCGACAAACCAAGGTAGAGTCGTGTCAAAACTAAAAAAAATGATGTTGATGATGATCAATAATTGATCAATTATTGATTGTCTTAATCCCAACCACCTAGATACACTCGAGGTTACTGGAGACTGTCGTCACTATGTTATGATCTATCAATAAGATCATCTGTCTGATGACGGTATATTGAGATTTGCGACTGATGATATCCTAGCGCGTCATCACCACTAAATATGATACTCAATAATTCACGCGTTCTTTGACCTCATCACCAATCCCATCGCGAGTCTCAATGTTCTGGATTTCGATCTCAATTCTTGACTCTTTTGTATTTCCAAATCACTGCGCGTGAGGAGATAGGTGATGATAGATACCATAACCACATGCGGGCGCCAAGGCAAGGCTTCATCGGCGCGATCTTCTGGTTCGCGGGGGTGGCTCAATGGTGGTAGATCTCTTACTTACTACTTCTTCCCCTCATTGTAGTAGTAATCTTCTTTATCTAGTACATATGTACCATCGATATATCAACTAACTGCAGTCGGTTCAGTGTTCCGCATATTTTATCGACCTTACTTTGTTGCATCGAGCCTCATGGCTTCTGTGCTTGACCTTAACCTTATTGTTCCTAGTATGGCCCTGACGGACGTTACTAAAAATTACTAAAAAATCTGATGCAAAGGCTAGGCCACCATGCCGTCATCGTGGACCTGACGCTGTAGTTTTATCTACCTTTTTGTGTCGAGAAATTCCAAATTCTTCGCTGTATCCTGCTGATCCCTCTGATCATTTCCCTGTGTCAACCTCGTGGATGTAGGATATTGATGCGCATTACTACAGCGAACAAGCGCAATCGGGCAGTTTTCGGGCTTTCTTCCCCGCAGGTCCTCAACTTTGATTCCGACGTATATCCGACAATTCTAGATTCGTCTATGAGATAAATCACTTTTGATATCCAAGCACGAGCGTCAAGCATACTCAATCTTGCTTCCGCAATTGGTCTGATGCCTGCACGATCTGCACCACTGCCCAGCGATGAATTGTCCCTCACGAACCGACGACACTCTTGAGCATCCGGGCTGGAACCAGAATCCTCCCGCGTTGAATGCAGATATAACTACTCGAAATGATCTCAATGGCATTGCCAACTCCAAGGTACACCGGAGGCATGCGTCAGGAATGGGAGGCGTCTCAGGAGAAGGCATCATGGAGACAGACTCTCACCCACACTGTCAAGATGGTACCGAATCCGAAATCGTGGAGACGAAGACGCTAGGCGGAGTGATCGCTGCTGCCTCTGGGTACGAAAATCCCCAGAGTCACGTCGGATCACCCCGCCGTCATTCAGATTTCACTTCAATAATGACCTCCCATATTCTCCATGTCGGGCAGAGTCTTGCCAAGTTTGCTCGCTTCGTGGGCCCCGGGTTCTTGATTGCTGTTGCTTACATTGATCCCGGAAATTATGCAACCGATGTGGCTGCTGGTGCAGAGTTCCGATATGCGCTGCTTTTCATTGTCCTGCTGTCCAATCTCTTCGCCATCTTCTTGCAGTCTTTGTGTATCAAGCTTGGAAGTGTGACCGGTCTCAACCTGGCGGAGAACTGTAGGGAACATCTTCCTAAATGGTTGGTGTACATTCTGTACTTTTTGTCAGAAGCCGCCATTGTCGCGACTGACATTGCCGAGGTATGGCCTTCCTGCTCGATTGTACGTCCTTTCCCTCTCCAAGTCCTGACTGATTTTATGCCTAGGTCGTGGGTTCAGCTATCGCTCTCAACCTCCTTCTTAAAATTCCGCTGGTCGCTGGATGTGCCATCACGCTCGCCGATGTTCTCTTCCTTCTCATTTTCTATAGACCCAACGGATCCATCTGGGGGCTGCGACTCTTTGAATATTTTGTCATGGCACTGGTCCTGGGGGTGGTGATATGCTTCTGTATACAGCTTTCTCTTATCAAGGAACAATCCGTTCGCGATGTGTTCAGAGGCTATTTACCATCTTCTGCCATAGTACAGTCCAAGGGGTGAGTGGATTCCCGCGCAAGCTATGTTAGGTCTAAGGCACTGACTGAAGCTCATTTTCCATCCAGTTTGTACCAGAGCTGCGGTATTCTCGGTGCTACGGTCATGCCTCACTCCATATTTCTTGGCAGTGGTGTTGTCCAGCCGCGATTGAAGGAGTTCGATGTCACAAAGGGATACGTCGACCCGACCGTCTGTCTTGGAAGCACTGGCGGAGAGGTCGAGTACAGGCCATCCATCCACGCCATCCGAGGCTGCATGAAGTACTCGATCATTGAGTTGTCGCTCTCGCTTTTCACCTTTGCTCTTTTTGTAAACAGTTCCATCCTGATCGTTGCCGGTGCCTCTCTATACGGGAGTTCCGGCGCTGACGACGCTGACCTTTGGGGAATCCACGACTTACTATCCAGTTCCATAGCTCCGGCTGCCGGCTTGATCTTTGCGCTGGCACTGCTCCTCTCGGGCATTTCCGCGGGCATTGTATGCACTATGGCAGGTCAAATGGTGAGCGAGGGGATGCTGAAATGGACCGTCAGGCCCTGGCTTCGCAGACTCATTACTCGATCCATCAGCATCATTCCCAGTATCATCATCGCAGCAGCTGTGGGAAAAGATGGGTTAGACAAAACCCTTACCGCCAGTCAAGTAGTACTGAGCGTGATTCTACCCTTTGTGACGGCGCCGTTGATCTATTTCACCTGTCGCAACCGTTATATGACCGTGCCATCTGATCGCGTTGGCGGAGACGAGGCGGACATTCCGCCCGAAGGAGTCAAAATGCGAAATAGCTTTCTGGTTTCTGCGCTAGCCATCCTGATCTGGTTGGTGATCGCGGTGATGAACGTGGCGTTGCTGGTTCTTGTCGGAATGGGGAAGGCCTGATACACAGTTGCCTTGACTTACATAACATTAGACATAGACTTAGGCATAGACTAGACATAGACTTAGACTTAGACTTAGATGCAGATTTCGGGATATCATCCCAAGTGTTATGGAATGCGAAATCGAGAGAGCGTTTCGTACAGCAGAGACAAACAAAAAATGAAATGAACATTCCCAAAACGCCAGTGCTTTCATGCTCCGGAATATCAATCGTCAATCCATTCATGTGTTAGCCCAGACCGCCAGCAGGCTCCTTGACCTTGGCTTGTTCCGGAGGCTCGTCGATAAATTGCGGCGGTGCCACCTCATCCTGCATGAAGCTAGGCATGGCACTCTCGCCCATCGCACTCTCAAACATGGACTCCTCACCCAGCGCCTCCAACTCCGCATCGAGCTCCGCCTCATCCACATCTTCGGGGACATCATACGCTCGCGAAATGCTCTCCTGGATCTCATTGCCGATATCCATCAGATCGGCCATCTCGTCCTGCATGCGCTCGATCTTATCTATGTCGACCTTGCCATACTGCTTCTTCAGCTCCTTGGTCGTCGTCTTCATCGCGTCAACGGTCGTCATCACGTTCTTCAAGTTATCCTGCATCATCCCTGCCTGTTCCATGTTCCAGGATTGCTGGGATAGCTGGTCCCGTTGGGCTTCGTACTGTTTGCGGCGCTGCAGGACCTTGAGTGCCTTCTGGCGAAGGGCGTTCTTGCCTGGTCCGTCGCGCATCTTGGCGATTTTGGCTTGGTAGGTTGAGAGCTCGGCGTTGAGAGAGGCTAGTTTGACGTCGATGCTCGCGACGCGGTTGTCTACCTTTGTGACGGCGGGGTGTTAGATCATGCGGGGAGAGGTAGAGAGGGTAGTTTAAGAGAGTCGGCAAGGGACCTACTTTGGAAATCGCATCGTCAAGCGTTGGCTTGGGAGCCGCGTTTTTTGTTCCAAATAGTCGGTTCATCTTTTTTGAGGTTGTGCCCAGTATGAGATGGGGTGGTGAGTACAGTGCGGAGTGATGTAGGGACGGGGATCAGCGCCAGTTGATAGTGGCAGGGGCGGTTGCCGCCTAAAGATGCGGGAAGATGATGCCCTAGGCTAGCAACGGAGATCGTACAGAGGTCTTGGAACTGTCAATACCTTACTAGAATTCGATAGGAACCTCCGTTACTTGGTATACTACCAATCGATCTATTAGAACTGGATCTCATGAGTATGGTTGCCTGAATCCGACATCGCTGATCATCATATAGACACGTGATGGGCTCATCAGTTCGTCAGATTCCATAACAAATAAGGCTCCGCACTCTACTCTCTTGGAGCCCATTAACCTACGGAATAACCATCATCTGACGGCAATTTAAGGCATCCACTCCAATCAGAATAGTATCGATCATCCTTGCTCAAGAGTTTCGCTTATCACCTGGCATCTCGTAATAGTTGGCGGGTTATAGCACGTGTGACCACGTTGATTATTGTCTGTGTGGGTGGATGGTCCCTTTAAAGTCCTTGTCCACCGACCTCAGTGGGACGTAATCTCGGAGATCTGCTTGACTTCGAAGTATTTAACACTTAGCAGTCCCATTGCGGTACCTGATCTATATTTATCAATTTGCCCATTGCAATAGTCATACAAGACGCACTCAGCAAGCGACTACCGAGTATTGTGAGATCGTTCAGGTCGCAGCGCATCAAAAGCACCGCCATTTCTCCATCAGCAAAAGGAAGAGGAAGAGTCCAAATGTCATGAACATCGACTCATATACTACGGAGTGCACCTGAATATAGAAAATATGATTTCATTCTTATCATCATAAAGTTTATCTACTTCAGAACCAGCCTGAAACGATCTGTCACATTTGCCAGCTCTTCTTTGCTTCTCCCCCTCCATCTCTCGCCTAGAGGTCGTGTGGAATTTCCCCGCCGCCGCTTGTCGGATCTTGTTGGGTATTTCCGCTCAGCCTGGTTCATCAGCCCTCCAGGGATCAAAGTTGCCGGCCGATCCAGACGCAGCCGCCAGCGCAGCACGTCGACGTGATCCCTGAACGTCAGCTGTGACTCCGTCCTCTATTGACCGTCTACATCAGTACCCTGACGACCACCGACGGTTGATTCTCCTACCAACTTGACCGACTGGTCTCGCCTGTGCAACAGGTTCCTGTGCCTTGCAAGGGAACACGGACTCGATTAACTTTACGCCGGTCCTGCAAAACACTCCCACAAGGACTCTGGCACCGCCTTCTCTTTCTTTGTCACTCACTTATCATAAGGTCTTGAAGGTATGAATCATTTGGCTCTTATTCCATTGTCCTGTTGAATCGCTATCCCGTCTTTTACCTGGCGAATTTGCCTCCCTTCCCTCCAGCCCCCCCCCCTACTGTTATCCCTTAGTGTCCCTTTCCGTCCTCAGAATGAACGACACCCCTAAGCTACGATTACTGGGCTACGCTCTGATTTGCATCATTCAACTGCTTCATCATGCTCTAGTAGTAAATGATTGCTGACCTTGCTGAATTCCGACGCGCAGCGCTTGGCCGCTCCGACCGTATTCATTTCGCAACTATTGTCATCTCCTTCCCTTGAGACAAATCTCACGAACTGAACTGTTTTGGAAACATTTCTAATCTAGCAGGAATAACTTCCGTGCATTGAACCAATCGGCATTTCTTACTCGTTGCGCTGTGTCATTAGACGTCTCCGTTACGACTCTCGGAGCGGATCAACCCAAGAACAAAAGTGTGCTTGCGATACCTTGCTTGTTTTCCATGACGATTTTCTCTCGGATCTATAGTTCAAGATGTTTTGGCGCTTCGGGGGATACGCGAGTGTCTCCACCATTGATACCCTGCTCGACAAGCCTGATGTCAGTCTCGAAGAGCTGTTGGACGAGTCAGAGTTGATCCAGGAGCTCAAGCAACATAATACGAAACTCATCGAATATCTACGAGAAGATAATGTCTTGAAACGCCTTATGGACTACGTGATTGCACCCAGCCTGGTGAACGAGGATGATGATGACGACGAGGACGATTCGCACGACTCTAATGCCCCTCAAACGAATAAAGATGCTTCAACCGAAGGAGAGAAGAAAGTCGACCCGCTGAAGGAGATCTTGGATCCTGAAGATCTGGACCGAGCTGAGAAGAACCGTTTGAAGCATGCGTACATCGCGTGCGAAATTCTCTCGTCTGAGACATGGTCGATATTGGAGTCAATAATGGCGAACACAAGCTACCTGCGCGACTTTTGGGGCTTTGTGAGGAGACGACCGTCTCTGGATCCTATCCAGGCGGGCTACTTTACGAAAGTCAACGAAACGTTGTTTGATCGAAAGACCAGTGAGATGCTGGAGTTCTTCAAGTCTCTGGACGGTATAGTTCCGGCGATCCTCCAGCATGTCGACAATCCCATGGTCATGGACCTCTTGTTGAAGATTATCAGTCTGGAGAAGGCCGAAGGAGGCCAGGGAATTGTGGATGTGTGTTCATCAGAAAATAGTCCCCTGCTTTTTTATGGTCCAGACTGACACCCATCGCAGTGGCTGAAAACACAGAACCTAATTCCTATTCTTTTGTCCTTCTTAACACCTGAACATCCAGCCTCCGTGCAAACCTCTGCAGGAGACTTTCTCAAGGCCATTATCACTATTTCGGCAAATGCGACTCAGAACGACCAATCCTGCATTGGACCCAATAGTCTCACTCGTCAGCTCGTCTCCGCGCAATGCGTAGAGACTCTAATCACGGCCATGTTGCAAGGTGGAAATCCGTTGACAGTGGGCGTTGGTATCGTAATTGAAGTTATTCGGAAAAATAACTCGGATTACGACCCAGAGACCATCGGTGGCCCTGATTCGCCTCCTACGACATACGACCCTATCTATCTGGGCAACCTTCTACGGGTTTTTGCCAAACATATACCAGACTTTATGGCACTGATTCGAAGCTCCAAGCATACGATCAATGACAATGGAAAAGTACGAAGCGTGGAGAGAGGACAGCTGAGCTCTGCTTGGGGCGCTAAAATTGAGCCTCTCGGCTTTGACCGTTTCAAGTCATGCGAATTGATGGCAGAACTGTTGCACTGCAGTAACATGGGTCTTCTGAACGAACCTGGAAGTGATGAGTATGTCCGCCAACGCGATGCTGAACGAGAGAGACTGTTCCGCGAAGGTGCCTTCAATCCGCACAAAGAGTCGTCTGCTCTCGAAGGCAACGATTCCACCGCAGACTTTATCAATGGTTCTGTTATCGACTCCGGCTCCCCTGAGGATTCTCGAGTCATTGAAATTTCGAACGCTGGTGAGGATGGGTTCGAGGATGTCGATTCTTCTGGTGTCCTGGTCGACAAGGAGAAACTTGCCGAGAGAAAGGAGCCTGATAGTCAGCAGACGGAGCCGGAAGTGGGTGATGAACCGAGAACATCAGCCACGATGAACGACGAAGTAAAAGATGCCGGCGAAGCCAATGATCATGCTGAAGCTGAAATGGACACAAAAGGAAACAGCTCCGCCAAGGATCTCCCGCCTACGGTGTCTGACCTAACAGACCAACTCAATGCAATGGATCTGGGAGACCAACGGGCCTCCGAGGAAACCACGGCCCAGGAAGATGTCGAAAAGTCTGAAACTCTCCCCTCGAATGACTCGGATACGTCCTCCGCTGCACAAATGTCGTCCGAACCTGAAGCCGTACCAGCGCCTCTGTTCTCCAAAACACAACAGGAAAAGGAATCAGTAGCTTCAACACCTGATACTGCAGCACCTGATACTGCTGGCCAGGTCGGGAATGCTCAAGATTCGACGGACCCTGGATCAGAATCGGTGCCCTCAAACACCGATGCTGAAGACGTGCGGGCGCACATCAATTCCTACGTTCAGCTCGATCCGAACGGCGAGCCTGTCGTTGGTGATTATCTCAAAATTATGTTTGTGAAGAATCAGGTCGTACCCACGATACTGGTAAGTTAGCCCGCGCGACATAGGCAATGACTCGGAATCTGACCCCTGCGTGTCTTAGGATTTCTTCTTCCGCTTTCCCTGGAACAACTTCCTTCACAACGTTGTGTATGATGTTGTTCAGCAAGTTTTCAATGGACCTATGGAGCGTGGATACAACAGATGTCTTGCGATCGATCTTTTTGAGACAGGGCGCATTACGCAGGCGATTGTTGCTGGACAGAAACGAAGCGAGGAAGCGCAGCGGACGCAACGCATCAGACTCGGCTACATGGGACATCTTACCCTCATTGCGGAAGAAGTCGTCAAGTTTAGCGAGCGTCATCCGCCCGAACTACTTTCTCCTACAGTGATGGAAAGCGTCTTGAACCCGGAGTGGATCGATTACGTGGAACAAACTCTTTCCGAGACGCGAGAACGAGATAATGCAATCCTCGGCGGTGTACGACCAGATATGGCTATCGGGCACCGTCAGGGCCTGCTGAATCAAGTTCAAAGCATGAACGCTTCTTCAGCACTCGCCGAGGCTGGCTTGAATGGCGGTGTCAGCAATTCAGGCTTCCAAAACTTCGACATGAACCAGGGCAGTGTTTCTGGTGGCGCTTTTGGTCTTGGTGGCGGCAGCAGCTCTCTGCTGAGTGGCTTCGGAAGCTCCAGCGACGATGAGGACGAGGAAATGGAAGAACAAGACGACAGAAACCTAACCGAGCAAACCGCTGAAGGTGGTTCTGAAAATGTGGGTGATGATTTCTTTACTGACGTTGACATGCACGATGCATGAGAGCTCGCACTCCATTTCTCTCCCAAATTACTCCGTACCCCCAGGTCTACTTCCATTTCCACTTCCCCTCCCTGATCAATCTTGTCTCTCATCAAACGGTAGATGAAGACTGGCGCCGCATAGGTGTTGATGGTGAAGGAGATTTGAGATCATTGGGGAACATAAGCATAGAGCGTGTATCTTCAGCGCTTCTTGTCCATGTACAGACCCATTTCGGGGATGAATCCCGAGGTCCTGCGGCGCCCGTCTGACAGATGGTCTAGTCGGATATTTAGCCCTTTGGCTGCTCCTTCAGGCATTGATATACAAACTTGATTTCATGCATCTCTAGAGGACTAGCTGCATCTGAATGATGGCCGATGATGGGTTGTGGACTTCTGGGTTTGGTCTCAATTCCTGAGTCACTCAGTTGTCTGGACACTGTTCTAGCCCGGATGACTTGACTCATGCAGACCCTCTTACGCCCTGCCTTCATAGTTGACTCTATCGCTTTTGCTGTAATACAAGCCACAGCACTTGCTGACGTCGTTATGAACTTAGGCATCTACGAGCTCAACAAGTCAACCTATACCAATTCTTCCTCCGCCTCCTGCTCCCCTCAGCCTCGGACCGTCTCGCGCGCGACGGCAGCTGGCAGCACGGCTTGCCGCCCAAAAACAGCAAGCTGCTGAAAATGGCGGCAATGAAGACGAGCCTCAAAACCAAACTAACCAGCATGAGAATGGCGATGTTCAGTGGCCATCCAACCCTTTTGTGATTGCGGGCTTGGACGATGACGGTGATGGTACGGACTCGCCTTCCCGAGCCGCTTTTCCCTCCAGCGACTTTCAACATACGCGCAAGGACGAACCTTTCTCATCGCCTACTTTTCCCGAGTCTGGCTTCAGCCCCCCGGATTCGATGTCCACTAACTCCTCCGATGATGACGGGGAAGGCAGGGTAGATATGAGGCGTAAGGAACGTGTTCCCCTGGAAGTTGATGACGATGAGGATGACATGGGCGAGATGGTCGGTCCCTCACTTGGTTCTGGAATGCTCGACTCAGATGAAGAGGACGAAGCTATCATGAACGAATCTCTAGGATACCCAGATCTCGGGCCTGGCCGCTACAGGAGCTTCCGAAGAGCACAGTACGGTCCGTCTCCTTTCGGGGACGACGATGACAATGACAGCAGTGACGGAGAAGATGATGGACTGGTCGAAATCTTAGTTCCTGGGAGAAAGTCTTCCACGACTTGACTGCCACGGATGGATATGGCCAAAATTGTCCTCTAGAATTTGTTGTCTGCGCTGGTTTGCTCTGCATTTCATTTCCTGGCGGTAATTGTTTTGGCATTCTGGGACGCATGGACTTTTTTCTTTCTCTTTTTCATGACGATGTACACTATCTCAATGTGCATGACCTTGTATACTGTCGAGAGCGGAATAGAGGTGGCCTTCTCTAAACAGGAAGATCTTGGCATTAAGATTACCTCCATGTGGCTGTGCACTGTTCTGAATGGTGATATCTGCTTCTACCGACCGACCAGTGCCGTCGCAAGCGCAACATTACCGGCGTTTCTCTTCTCACTTAAATGCCTCTATGTTTATCGATATAGCCTGCTGTCTTTTCGTTTCTCCTCTTTACATGATTTTGTACGATAATCCAGCGGAATCAATTCATTGTTTTTTTTTTTTGCGGAGTATATTCTCAAAAGTTGACACCCTGATTGACGACTATAGGGCTAAAGAACTAAAATCAAACTTCTAAATCCAAGATTATGAGAATGTATTGTGGAACAGTCAATTCTCGCCGTCATGTCCATACCTATCCACGAGCTGTTGTTGGCTTACTTCCATGACTTCGAGACCCCCGAAAAAAAGTGGGACACCGCATTTCATCATCCTAAAATTGCCCCTCCGAACAATTTATCGTATGAGTTCTCCGTGTCCATCGTCCACGTCGCCACGATCTTAAGTCTTCCCTTGAGAACAGCTGCAAGGGTCGCTAGGGCTGTCAGTCTGGTAGACAGGGAAAGACACGCTAGTTGGTTTGAGCACCATGACGGACAGTGGTGATCCTTCAGCGTTGCTGCCACCGGTGTAGGTTGAAAGCTTGAATTCCTGTGTTTTGCTATGTTGCATAAAATCATTCTCGCGGATATGACCTTACATCACCGTTCCTATAACTTCTGTTCGAAGGGGAAGTGCGACGCTGGATGTCTCTATTCCAAATAGTGCAATTGCCCTTCCGCTTTCGCATTTTGATGAGATAGACTTTCCTCATTATCTCTCTTCGGCTCTGGTTCATTCTCCAAATATCGTCATTATGTCTAATGAAAGCATCTAGGTCAACTGGTGATGAGAACCTAGAGAAATGGATCACCCTCGTGGAATGGATGACTAGCAATGGCGGCTACCTGCACGAAAGTGTTCAGATCGCCAAAGACGAACAACGAGGTGTCCATTTCAATGTCAAGAAAGACTGGAAAGATGGTGTCGCAAAGGACACGCATATCATCAAGATCCCAGTGGCTGCAACCATGTCATATCTCAACGTCGTCGAGCATCCTCTTCCCGCCGACAAGCAAGGCAATGGGACGGCCACTTTCTCTGCTCATGGAGTGCAGCTTCCGCGCAATTTCGTCAATGCTGTTGGACCCCATGAGTCATCTATTTTCTTCTTGATCGGTCAGTATCTGAGGGGCTCAGAAGGGTTCTGGTCCCCGTATATTCGAACGCTTCCTCAGCCGCTCTCCCTAACTACGCCATTGTATTATGAGGGGGATGACTTGCGGTGGTTGGATGGGACGAGTCTGGCGCCGGCTAGGGAGCAGAGAATGGGGTGTGGAAGGAGAAGTACGAAAATGGGATTACCGAGCTTCGGAAGGCCGGGTTCCAGGATGTTGATCGGTACACATGGTATGTGTAGACGGTTGGATACCCCCCTTCTCTATTTGATCAAGCTACTCGGCGTTACCTGGCAAAAGTGTATTAACGGAACCCACAATAGGGACCTATACCTCTGGTCTTCGTCCATTCTCGTGTCGCGGGCGTTTTCAGCCAAGGTGCTTGCCGAGGCAGTTACTGATGTGGAGCTGCCTGAAGATGGTGTGTCAGTACTGCTGCCCTGCATTGACTTGATGAACCATCGACCTCTTGCAAAGGTAGAATGGCGTGCTGGGAAGCAAGATGTAGCCTTTGTGGTGTTGGAAGACGTGGCCTCCGAGCAGGAAATCTCAAATAACTACGGGCCGCGCAATAACGAACAGTGTAAGTCGCAAGTGGAATGCCCATATAACAGATTGAAAATTAACTTCAGCCCAGTAATGATGAACTATGGCTTTTGCCTTCCAGACAACCCATGCGACTATCGGATCGTCAGCTTGCGAGAACCTCCGGGTAGCCCTCTCGACCAAGCCAGGTCCTATCAGCAACAGATGTATCCCGAGCGACCCAAAGCCACAGAGAATCATTACTACGTGTTCAATATCTTCTATCCTCTACTCGCACCAGACACTGCCATGGAACATTCGATCTTCTCACCAGCCCTTTTCAATGCGGTTTCCATACTTGGCGCGAATAACAGGGAGCTAGAGACCCTTGAAATCACCGAGCAGGACATCCGAATCTCAGATGCATATGGCAACTCGCGGACGATTCTAGCTGCTCTCAGTCAGATAATCATTGAATTGATCACACATATTGTGAAGTTGAGGTCTTCGTCGGAAGGCCTGGGAAATCCCGAAAACATCGAACAGACACATGCGAAAATCTACCGCGACAGTCAGATCCGCTTGTCAGAGACAGCTCTCGTTATTGCTGCCTGGACGCTCAACCGCGCACGGCAACATGATTACGATGGAAGCTGGGAAGCAACCAAGCGTTTGCTTAGCACTCATATGGCTCGTTTACCTGCGAAGAATTTCTCCGCAGAGGTCAAGTCCCGTATACAAGTGAGAATCCTTGAACGGAAATCGCTCCTTGCGAACAACGGCGAACTTTTTACCTTGAAAGAATTGACCAGCGTTCTTCCTGCTGAAATACAACGACCTTGCAAAGTGTTCTTCCAAGAGGTCTTGAGAAACTCCGAAAATGCAATACCCATGCTAGAAGGAAGCGACGACTCTTCGCCTTTTGCCTTCCCAATGTTCTTGTGTTTTGTGGTTGCCACTCACAGGAACACATCAGCCGGTAAATCTCAACTTTCTGCAAGACTGTCTACATGGGCTAGCTTTCTACTTGAGAAGTATCCACCACCCCCAGAGGATGTGGCATGGATGCTGGAGGATGAAGAAGATGAAAAGATGGTTAGCTTGTTCGACGACATGCTCGATCAGATGAGAGACCAGAATATAGACATCTTTTCGAGTCTAGCTTCGTTCACCGGAGACTGGAAAACAGATAACTGGTGGCTCTCTCCGAACTGGTTGCGGTGGGCCTGGATGGCTACAGAGGAGGAGTGTGTGCAGGCGCCTGAAGATCCCTTGAACTTGTTACGAGCAGGAGGACCAGGCCAAGGCTCTGTGATGCTGTCTACAGTGACTTATCTGTATCTTCCGCAGTAGGTCTTAGTGGAAACAGAAAATCAAAAATGCTGGAAATCTTGATAACTTAACAATAACGCATACATGACTAAGCGTAGAGCACGTGACTGCTACTGACCAATCAGCGGGTAGCCAAAGGCGGATATTCAGCAAGCGCAGGAATTGCCGCGCCGTGAAGCTCAACGACGGTGATCATCCCCAATTGACCCTTCCACCTCTCTCCTCGAGACAATCCCTCTATCCCCCGTCAATTCCCAGCAACTGGGCCATCTACCACCATGATATCTCGAGCGGCGGCTCCGTCGCCTTCCTCAATCGCCAACCTCTCCTCCCGCTCTCTCCGCGTTCAGGGTTCGGCTGCCCGCTCCTTCGCCAGTGTCCAGGACACCACACACCCCGTACGGCATCATGGCGGCCTGCGGGACCAGGACCGGATATTCACAAATCTTTATGGACACCATGGCGCTGATTTGAAGTCGGCAATGAAGTTTGGAGACTGGCACAGGACTAAGGATATTGTTTTGAAGGGTCATGATTGGGTACGCTTGTCCTTTGCAGCCACCGAGGACATTCTGTGGTCATGCACTCGTGTTGCGGGGTTACACTGGGCTTTGAGGCTAATATGTGCTTAACTTCTCTGCAGCTGATTTCCGAGATCAAGGCCTCTGGTCTGCGTGGTCGTGGTGGTGCTGGTTTCCCCTCGGGTTTGAAATATGTAAGTCCTCTACCGTGCCAATACAGTGAAGTTGGGAAACCCATTTCTTATCTGCGGTTAGTCTTTCATGAACTTCAAGGACTGGGATAAGGATCCCAGACCCCGATACCTCGTTGTCAACGCCGATGAGGGTGAACCGGGCACATGCAAGGACCGTGAGATCATGCGCAAGGACCCCCACAAGCTGATCGAGGGTTGCCTCGTTGTCGGTCGTGCGATGAACGCCAACGCCGCCTATATCTACATCCGTGGCGAATTCTACCATGAAGCAACCGTCCTCCAGCGGGCCATCAACGAAGCCTACCAGGCTGGTCTCATTGGTAAGAACGCCTGCGGCACGGGCTACGACTTCGATGTTTACATCCACCGCGGGATGGGTGCCTATATCTGTGGTGAGGAGACCTCTCTCATAGAGTCGATCGAGGGCAAGGCCGGCAAGCCTCGCCTGAAGCCCCCTTCCCCGCCGCCGTCGGCCTGTTCGGCTGCCCCAGCACCGTCACCAATGTTGAGACCGTGGCCGTCTGCCCTACCATCATGCGTCGTGGGGCCAGCTGGTTCTCGTCGTTCGGCGCCGAGCGCAACTCCGGTACCAAGCTGTTCTGTATCTCTGGTCATGTCAACAACCCCTGCACGGTCGAGGAGGAGATGTCCATCCCTCTGCGTGAGCTGATCGATCGTCACTGCGGTGGCGTGCGTGGCGGCTGGGACAACCTTCTCGCCGTTATCCCCGGTGGTTCCTCCACTCCCGTCATCCCGAAGTCCGTCTGCGACAATCAGATCATGGACTTCGACTCCCTCAAGGACTCCCAGACCGGTCTGGGTACCGCCGCCGTCATCGTCATGGACAAGTCCACCGACATCGTCCGCGCCATCTCCCGTCTGTCCAAGTTCTACAAGCACGAGAGTTGCGGCCAGTGTACCCCCTGCCGCGAGGGAAGCAAGTGGACAGCCCAGATGATGGAGCGCATGGAGAAGGGCCAGGCCCGTGAGCGCGAGATCGACATGCTCCAGGAACTCACCAAGCAGGTCGAGGGCCACACCATCTGCGCCCTCGGCGAGGCCTTCGCCTGGCCCATCCAGGGCCTCATCCGCCACTTCCGTCCCGAGCTGGAGGCCAGAATCAAGGAATACGAGCGCGAGCTGGGCGGGAAGCCCTTTGCTGGTGGCTGGCACCCGGACAGCAGGGCCGAGGGCAAGTTGATCTCCCCTGGCATGTAAAATTACCATAAACCATTCCATACCTTTTTTTTTTTTCATCTTGATCCCATCCCGCGACGATAAAAATGGTTTCTCATTTTACCCCTCGCCCTACTTTTCACACAACCATAACCGGGATGTAAAAAAAAGGATATGGTAAACATACATCCTTTAGAACCGCCCGTCGCAAAGCCATGGAGTGATTTGTGTTTCATGTCCGCGTATAACCTCTTATCTTTTTTTTCTCCTCCTGCTCTGTTTACGTTCAGTCATGTACAGATTTCTGGTAGCAATTCGAATAATCTCATATGTTGAAGTATTTTGGATCTTTTGAACAGTCGTAATTGAGTAGATAAGGGTTCGGTTACGTCAGACTCGTCTGCAAGGAGGAAAGCTATCCAGCAAGGGCTATCTACAAGAGTATTCCCATAGTCCTGCTACAGATAAGACCTGTAGCTGCAGCAACTTTGAATAGTTCTTCAATTCTTCCTTGTAAAGGCTGCATAGCTAGCAAGAAACCTAATCAAGCTCTTGAAGCAAATTAGATAATATCGTCTTATCTGACAGGCAGAAAAAGCAACCATATTTCGACCCATTCACTGCTCCTCCACCTTTTCCAGCTCAAAGTTGTTATGTCAAGCAAAACGTCAACCAGAAAAATCTCGATCTCAATTATCCGAATTAGCCTCGTTCTCATCTCCGTGTGCCTCCTTGTTCTCGCTTGCGGCCTTCTGAGTCTCCTTCTCGACCCGTTTCTGATCCAGCTTGGTGAGTCTTGCCAGACGCCATTTCATGCCGTGGTGGTACTCCACCCACAGCAGGCCTAGGCCAACCAGCATCAACAAGCCCCAGAAGACGAAGCACCAGCCCCAGCCCATGGCGGAGAGCATATGGTCAATCACAGCGGCGCCGACGGCTCCCAGCCAGCATCTAACGAGGTTGGATGCCGCAGACGCGGTAGACGCTCGGTCTGGGAACAGATCCACCATGAGCGTGTTCAGCGTGTTGAGGGAGGCGATGAAGCTGAATCCTATGATGAACTGCAGGATAAGGGGTGCCGCCAGCGGCGCTCCCTGCTGAAGAACCCATCCGTACGGGATGAAGGCAGCTACACCGAGAGCCATGAGAGGAAAGAAAGCCTGCAGACGGGCCTTCTCGATAGGGAAGCCCCGCAAATCGTCACCCTTCTTCCGATCCACTGGCATGCCTATTTTATGAGCAATGCGGCGATAGTTGAAATCCAACAGTTTGCCGTTGAGTATGGCTGCTATGCATGAACCGACCCCGAGAGGACTATGGTTCCATGAGACAGATATGGTCAGCATATCTCAGGTCGTCTGACAAGCCATTCCCAGGAGCGGATCAACAGGGTGCACTTACATGTAGCAAAGACCAATTTGAAGGTCATTAAAGCCATAGAGCTTGCCAAAGAGGTTGGGTGTGCTTGTCAAGAGCGCAGTGTTAGCCAACATGGCCAATCCGACATAGGAGACCACAATGAATGCATCTTTTTCCAGCAAGATCGCGAAAGCCTTGAGTGGATTCGGGAACGAAAGCCTCTGATGTTCGCGTGCTTGGTTGAGATCGGCTCTCTGCTCCTGATGAGCGAGGCGTTCTTCAGCTGTCATCTTCTTTAGTCGGCGACGTGCGGCCAAGTACTGAATGACAGACATCCTCCACCATTGATCGGGAGGGACACTACCATTACCGACGATATTGCGATTAGTCTCTGGCATCGTGATCATGAACACCACCAGGTAGCCACCACTGATGATAACCAGGAACCAGAAAACACTTCTCCAACCGAGGAACTTCGCCAAAATACCTCCAATGACAGGCCCAAGAGCCGGTGCCACCATAATGCCCGCAGACACAGGTCCAATGAAGCTCCCTCTTTCAGCCGCCGTTGCAATGTCCGCTACAACCCCATAGCCGAAGGCAATGGTACCACTGCTGCCCGCGCTTTGGATACAGCGAAGAACCATCAGCGCCGCGTAGCTATTCTGCAGTGCGAGGCCGATGTTAGCAGCCAGGTAGACAGTGAACGCAAGAATGTATGCCGGACGACGACCTCCCGAGTCGGCGAAAGTGCCGATGAAGCTCGGAGCTAGACCCTGCAAGATCAGGTACGTGGTGATGGTGAGATTGATCAAGGCCGTAGTGAGATGGTAGTTTGTGACAAGCGTCGGCATGACAGGAAAATAGATCTGGGCGGAAAGAGGAGAGAAGAACGACGCCATGGAGATCATGAAGACGATGAAGCGCTTCTCATTCTTGCTAAAGGCCGAATGAGCTTCACCCTCGGTTTCGCCGTCTGCCTGCATGGTCGTGGTCTTCTGAGCTTCAAGAGCAGAAGGATCCGAGCCTGAGGACGCCTCTGCCGGCTTCTCGACATGGTACTGAATCACATTCTCGCCGTCGTTGGAAGAAGAGGAGGGCGCGACTCTCTCCTCCTGGAATTCGCGCACTCCGCCAGACATTGTCGATGAATTCGATACTTGTGCGATGGCTACAAGAAAGAGATTAGCCCTCGGAAGGAAACACAGCCGCCGAGCCAGGACAAGGGTACGTGCATCTGCTTCACTGTATTGCGTTACTTCCCGGTCTTTCTCTCCTTCTCTGCTTCCGCCCCTTCTTGAGAGAAGCAAGGATAGATCGGTCCTCAAGGACTGTGGTCTCGTATAGAGAAAGCCGGACACTTTTATACGTTGGCAAATCCGAGTGATTATGTTGCGCTCTTGAAGTCCGTATCCAGGTCGCTGACTGGCAAAGGAGACAAACGGCGATGTACCTAGCCAGGCACAGGACAGTGGGGAGGGGCTTTGGCAAGAAGACAAGACAAGACAAGACCAAAGTGAGAAAGACTGTGTGGTCTTCTCTCAGTCGAAGCTCTGTGTCGCCTTTGCGCAACAAGGGACCGGTATCACCGTGGCCAGAACCCCAATCAAGACGAAAGCCGGAACCGGGCCTGAAAGCCTGAACCGGGGGGTTCGACCACCGCTCTTTCCTCTTTCTCTGTTTTCATAATGAGCACAGAATGACGAGCAGATCAGGCAGGCACGGTTCATGATTACCTGAGGCATCTATCCTAAGGTACACTAGAGACACACTAGAAACACCATGCTTGATTAGATCTAACAGTAAAACAGGGTAGTGAGATACACGCAAAAGAGTAGGAAGAAAACACGACTTCGTAAAACTGACTCGGTTCCCTTTCTGGATGGCACGCTGCATGCTGTCTTTCGAATCCAAGTAGTAGCGTAGAGAACCCACTTGCAGGCAGAGCTGCCGTAGCAACAACTGGCACATCCAAGAAAGCGAGAGTGAGTGAGGAAGAACCAAAGTAAATGTCATCAAAGGTCACCTCAATGGCCACAAATGCACACATATCTTTCATAATACAAACGACCTCCTTGCTTTTTTCCCTCTTCAATAACCTCCAGCCATGATAGTATTGTAGTACCTCCGACTCATCTCTGCTGTTTGCATGATGCGCGCATCGCCAGTCAGAGGTAGGTTCAGCACAGAGGGCAACTCGATTGCCTGTTGTTCGTCAGTTATATTTGAATTGAGAGACAACAGTAGCGTTGAGACAGATGCGGTACTTACGCTGACGTCCTCGCGTGTAGTCCAACCGGCTACGGCTCGGCTCATTTCCTTGAAGGCGACTCTAGCCTCCAACCCTTCCACTCCAGACCCCTTGTCAATCGTCTCACCCATCGTTACAAGCGCATTAACTAAGCGGCTCAGCCGACTAGGATCACGCTTTCCATTCTTGGCAGTGACAAGACGCAGGAAATCGTCGTAGATTCCACCGCCGCTCGCCCAGCCTTGGACCTTGCGTTCTGGTCCTTCGCCAAAGCCCGAAATCAATGCCTCCAGAGTGGCGTAGTCCCGTTCAATCACCGCAGTTGGTCCCACGACGCGGCAGAAAGTGGAGTGCGCATCATTCCAGTTTTTACCACGGATGAGACAATCCACCTCTCGGGCGGCATCGCCACTATCACGAGCAAACAAAGCCTTCGCACCCCAGATCCAGGCCTCGGGAAGCTGCAACTCTGTGGTGAGATACTGCCAGGTGGCATCTGGTGCGCCCTCTGTAGTCACTGGGTCGGGTAAGGAGGATGCGAAGCGCGCCAACGTTTCCTTGACAGCACGTTCACGATCCAACGCTTGAGAGAGATGGAGCAGAACAAACAGTGCTTGCGCAAGCTCCCCACTAGAACTAAGCTCCCAAGCGTAATCCCACACCAATTGGTCAGCCCTCAACGCGTTGATCTTGAAACTGTCGTGTTGTCCGACAGCGGCCGTGAGTAGCTGATACAGCTGGAACGGTAACCGGTTAGAGAGTTTGTCACCCGTGACAGACTCAGGAAGCAGGGCAGCCGGGAATTCGACTGCTGGCAAATCAGAACTCTTGGTAGCAGCAGTAGTACCCGAGTAGACCTTCAGTAGGACCCAGAGAGGAGATTCCCGACCCAGAGTGTCCGATGCGGCACGCGACATAACATCTCCCTCCAGGCGGGATGCAGGGTAAGGAAAGGCAGAATCGTCCCCGCTCCTCAATTCTTTGGCGAATTTCAGAACGGCGTTTTCGATAGGCTCGTCATCGGCAATACCATACCACAAACGAAGACCGAATGCTTGGAACCAGTCCAGCCCGAACCGCTCAGTGAAGGAAAATGTAGATGCACGATCCTCCAAGGCGCCACCGGACTTGCCGTCACTGCGGAGTGAGTTGCCAGCGAGAAGCTCGTATAGAGCTCGGATCGGTTCGGTCATCTCGGAATAGACGTTGTGCTGGCGCCACATCTCAATCTGCCTCGCCATGTCTGATCTAGTTGTGGCATCTCGACCAATTTGCGAGACCAGTGTAGCCAGATGAAGATTTTGGCTCGCAATCAGAACTTTGCACGCCTCTTCGACTCGGTGAGAACACAAAAGGTGGACAGCTCGTTCCTCAGAAGATTCAATCTTATCCAGGTCATGAGCGTGTCTCTCGCGCACAATGCTCTCCCATAGGCGACTGAGTCGGTCCTTCTTGATGCGTTGGACGTACTTGGGGCGGAGTTGAGGCGGCACCCCAGCAGAGACATCATCTTCAATCTCATCGTTGAACAAGATGTTGGCCAGCTGCCAGATGAGTCTTTCCTGGTCCGATTGTGTGGAGCTCAGCGATGTCTGTGTGAACTGTCCAAAATCGGCCTTAGCCAAACGAGCGAAAGGAATGCCTTCAACGCGCTGAATGTGAGATTGCTTTCTTTGGGCGTCAACCATCCCGCTGGGCTACGACTCCGTTAGTATGCGAAACATCCTAGGAGTGTACAGGATCGGTCCATACCTCGCTGTCTTTCTTGAACACCATCACCTTAATGTCTCTCTCTTCGCTGGTGACAGAAAAATTTTCCTCCCAACGGGTACCTGTCTGAGGAGAAACTTCTGCCATGTCGTTCCTGGCGCAAATAATTGAATCCATTGGGCCCCAGCGCGGCTTGAAGGAGTGGTGAAAGGCCAGGTCGTCCTCGTTTAATTCATTCGATTCGCCGGCAAAGGTTTTGGGTTGCTTGTTATAAGGCCACTATGAGTTGAAGAAGAGGATTAGTCAATATTCCACTGTAAATCAGTTGTGATTTGACTATCTGTAATGACCGCGTGCAGCGGACAACGTCTAAAATACATCATCTTAAACAAGCAAATTGTAAAAGGCAAACAACAGATAGCAATGAATCAAGGGGAGTCAAACCTCAAAACCTTTCGGCTGTGCCGGCTGCGCCTTCAGAGGAGATTGCCCCTGCTGCTTACGCGGCTGCTGGAACAAAGAATTCATCAGATCGATGCTCGTCGCGAATCCTTTCTGTCGGTTGTCGGTAACAGATTTCTTCGGCGTGTCGTCGTGAAGAGGTCGGTCTGTAAAGGCGTTTGCTTGTATTTCGCGTAGTGCATCCCGGTTTTGCTTCCTTGGACTAATCGTCCGCTGCAGCTGTTCGGCCCAGTCGCCGCTAAGATTCAGACGCGCCTTCGAGGGAGTTTCCCAAGGTCTCAACGAGGGTTGGGTGTTGTCAAGGTAGCTGTCGGTACTGTTGGCATCGTCGTGCTCCACGGTATGATCAAGGTTGGGAAAGGTGCCCGCCATATCCATTTCCTCACCTTCATCGAATTCAACATCTGATTCGCCAGACTGCTGGCTCTCGGTGACATCGTCGCCATCCTGCTCAGTAGTTGAACCCGTGGAGCCGTCCCCTAAAAAAGACTCATCCTCGTCCACAGAAGCCTCGTCCTTGTCTCCGATAGTTTCCATTACTTGATTACCAAAGGCCCCGGAACCATCTTGCGCTTCTTGAAATCGAAAGTGTCGTCCTCGACCCCGGCCACAGATCCAACAAAGGAGTCGTCAGTTGTGTATGTGGAGGTTGGCTCCGAGCCCACAGTGTTCGCGAGATTGGCGGGAGTCTGGGCCTTCGGAGTCGGAGTGTCAGGAGCAGCACTCAAAGTGCTTTGGTTGAGGCTCTCACCTTCATCATCGCTATCATAATCAAGGCCATAGGTGGTGAAGTGGGGGACCTTGAAGATCCATGTTCCCGTCTCCGTCTCGTAGTCGATAAACTCAGTATTGTGCACCTTTCTCAGGCGGTCGACGTGTTTCTCGAAAAGGGGCCCACTTGTAAGGGGTGAAGGTGACTTCTTGTCCCTGCCTCTCGGCCACGAGTTTTCTATCCGTAGAATGGATGGCACGTTCAGACCCTTGCCCATCGGAGGCTTGATTGCTTCATCGGGGTACACCGTGATCTTACGCACGCCGATTTCCACAAGCCCGCCGAAAATCTGGTCCAGATCGATGGTCGTCAGATCGACAGGCTCATCGAAAGTTACCTGACCACAACGTTGACGGCCGACAGTGAAGCCAACAACATGCTTGAGGTCTTCACGGCTCATCTTACTGAGCTCGGCACGGGAGGGCTTCATCCAGTACTCGCCAGGTTTGGGGTCACTGCCAGGAACGAAGGGAAGTCTGTTGGAGCTGTCGGTGATGGCAGCATGCTCAGAGTCTTCTGGAACAGAGGGAAGATCTTTGCTACGAACAGATTCCATCTCCGGACGGGCAACCATGTCAGCGGACGCCTTTACGCCGTTGATTCCGTTGACGCTTCCAGGCTTGCGAATTGAGCGCAGGAATCCAAGCTCCTCCGGGGTAGGTTCTGGGCTCTCAGATGCAACCGGAACGATTTCTCCACCAGTTGTGGCGCCAGGAGCCTTTGAAGATGAAGCATCGAAGCTCACCCGCTTCTTCATTTTGTCGGTCGTCTGAGTAGCATCCTCGCCATTAGTGATAGGAGCAGCGGGAGTGCTTGCGGGACGTGCGAACAGGTCGTTGCGCAAGGAGCGATCGATGGTCAAGCGCTTCAGGCTTCCACTGGACAAGCGAGAAGTACCAGAAAGCGCACCGGGGACAAGACACTGTCAGTCTCTGGGTCGAAGGTCTTGCGCAGGTTGCTTGTCGAAAAGCTCTTGCTAAAGCTACCCCGTCCAAGGCTGCCACCAACACTTCCACGAAGGCTGCCGCCTAAGAGACTGCTTCCCAAGCCAGTAGGGGTGCTAGTAGTGCTGGAGGGTGATCCGTAAGTGGAGTAGGAAAATCCGTATCCCTGGCGCTTTGGGGGTGTGATAAGACGATTCGCCGCAGTTGGCGTAATCTTGTAGACGGGCAGTGGAGTGCGCTGTTTTTGCTTGATCGACGAAGAGAGCGGTGTGGCCAGGGGGCCAGGGCTTGGAGCACTAGGAGCAGGCAAGCCAGAGAAGATGGACTGATTGCCATACGGATTGCCATCGAGCAAAGAAGCCTGCAGACTTCCAGGAACAGGCTGCTGTGCCTGGTGCTGTTGCAGTGGTTGTGCCTGTTGGGTTGTACCGAAGAGGCTACTGGTGCCGAGGCCAGTTTGTTGTTGTTGGCCCTGAGTGTTGCCGAAGAGCGAAGAACCCGCGGTCTGGGCAGTTGTACCTTGGCCCCCGAACAGAGAGCTACCGGTACCAGTGCTGCCGCCGAAGAGGCTGGGCTTCTGTTGCTGCTGAGCTTGGCCACCACCAAACAGACCGCCTGTACCTGTCTGTTGATTCTGGGTCCCTCCAAAACCTCCGAATGCGCTAGTGCCTGTACCAGTGCCAGTCGTTCCCCCGCCAAACAGACTCTTTTGGCCCTGCTGCTGATTTCCACCGAAAAGAGAACTTGTTCCAGTTTGCTGAGTATTACCCCCGAAAAGTCCACCACCTGTGGTCTGCTGCTGAGGCTGTTGAGCGTTCTGACCGAAAAGGGAAGTGCCCGTGGTACCAGTTGTACCGCCACCAAAGAGGCCGGTGCCAGAAGGCTGCTGCTGTTGGGTGGTCGCGCCGAAACCGCCAAATAATCCCTTGTTCTGCGTCTGGTTCTGAGCCTGGTTCTGCTGACCGAACCCACCAAACGCGCCCGTACCGCCAGTCTGCTGCTGACCGCCAAATGGAGAGGAGGTCGCGGCAGTACCACCGAACGGACTGGCCGTGCTGGTATTCTGCGTACCGAATCCGCCGAACCCCGTGCCTGTACCAGTTGTAGCGGTGCCAGTACCAGTACCTCCGCCGAACAAAGGCTTAGCTTGCTGTTGAGTGTTGCCACCGAATAACGAGCCTCCCGCTCCTGTTCCCGTTCCAAATCCAGTTGTTCCAGTTGGCGTTGAACCAAAGCCGCCAGTCGTGGCAGTGGTACCGCCGAACAGGCTGGGCTGAGACGTTGTGGAGGTTCCTCCTCCGAAGAGGGAGGTTGCTGGTTTGGCGGCTCCAAACAGAGGGTTAGTGGAGGTAGAGCCAAATCCGCCAGTAGTCTGGGTCGTGCCAAATGCCGAGGGCGCGCTGGTGCCGGCGCCAAATGGCGAAGACGTACTGCCAAATCCAGTGGACGGTTGCGCTCCAAAACCGGATCCACCGAAGGCTGAGGTTCCAAAAGCCCCGGCCTGTCCGCTTCCGTTTCCGAACCTGCGACCCTGGTTATAGTCACCCAATCGCAGCTCCTCGAAGGAATATTTGCTGTATGGTTGCTGGAAAGAGATACTTTGATAGTGGTTGGTCACGTTGGAACTGCTATCCTTCTCCGTGAAGGGGCTGAATGGAGTGCTACCGGTTCCTTCACTGGGAGGCACTGCCTGTTGAAATGCAGTTCCCGTGCCACCGCCAAAGCCAGCAGCGCCTCCGAAACCGCCTCCTGTTCCGAAGCCACCAGTAGTACCGGGGTGGTGGTGGTGGTGGTGGTGCCAAAGCCGCCAGCAGGCTTGTTGCCGAACAGTCCACCACCAGTTGTTCCGGTGCTTCCAAAGCCTCCAGTGGTTCCCGTAGTTCCTGTCGAACCGAAGCCACCAAATCCAGTACCGCCTGTGGTGGAAGTTCCGCCGCCGAAGAGACTACCACCAGATGTTGTACCAGTGCCAAAACCGCCAGTGCGATTTTGGCTGCCGAATAGCGAGTTCTGTTGGGTTTGTGTATTTGATCCAAAGCCTAGAAATAAATCCCATGTTAGTAACTGAAGGTGAATCTCTTATTAAAATGAATTAAATTAAAAAGAAAAGGCAAAGCATCAATGATCGAAACAATCCGTCCTCGGACAGGGATCCCATGTAAGCCTTGGAAGCAATGATCCTGGACAACTCAACACACGCGAACTATATCAAGCAATCGGAAGTGGAGAGTCCGCGAGGTGGACCCTTGAGTACTGGCCCAACTGGTATGTAGCGCAACTACGGTGGCAGTTCACTTTAAACTGCGAGACGACTCCAACCAAAGGAGCGCAGAACCCCGGGATCTGTCCAAGGATGGGACGCAGAGAAGAGAAGAACCGCTAAGCTGATGAACATCGTCATTGGGCACCTACCTCCGCCGGAACCAAAGCTACTGGAGGTGTTTCCAAACAGGCCACCGCCTGATGTGCTACCGCCACCAAAAGGGGACGAGGTGGATCCAAAGCCTAGATGACGGGGAAGATGCGGTCAGAGACTGTAGTCAAGCTGCGATTCCTTCTCTTGTGGCTACTGCGTCGCCCTTCGTCGCGAGTCATCCGCGGGGTGGTGGCGAGATCCAGTGGTTGTGTGAGACCGTCGCGGGTCGACGTCAGAGGCACCAGCATAGTCCTGGACTGAGATCCCAAGCAAACGAGGCAAAACAAGCAAATTATGAACGGCGGGCGGGATATGGGTAATATCGCAGCACGACGACGGATCACAAGACCTACCTCCTCCAGAAGTTGTACCACCAAAGCCAGAGCCGGCGCCGAAGCCAGAGCTCTGCTGGGTGTTTTGTCCAAATCCTCCGAAGCCACCGAAAGACATGATGATTTGACGACGTTCTTTGAGGATTAAGGATTCATAAGTTGAGAAGCGATCGTTGACCGGTTTATCAGAGAGATGCTGGACGTAAATAAACGGTTAGAGAGGTAATCTATCGCGACGCCTTCGCACGAAGTCGAAATTCGAAAGGATAACTTGCGAGTCAAAAGTGGCTTCGACGCGCAAGAGGAGGGAAGCTCACAGAAAGTTTGTGTTTTGTTTTAGCTTTTCTCTCGGTCGCTCGCTCTGCTTTTTATAGGGGCGAAAAAGTTAACCCTAGCTTAAGACGGATTGTAAAAGACCGTCAAAGCCAGAGAGCGTAGTATCTAAGGAGATGGTGGCAATGGGGGTAGGAAAGATGGCAAGGAGTACGGGGGAAGGGAAGGGAAGAAGTGACGCGCAGAGGTCAAGAAAAAGAGGAAGAAAGCTGCCCCAGAGCGAAGTGAGATGGGAGACCGCCCGGAAGTTCAGTGGACTGCCTGTTGCGGTTTAGCCTCCGAGGCAGCCTTGGTCACCTATGGTACTGTAGTAGTAGTCGTCGTTACTTGCAGGTATGATTCACTACTCACTACTCACTACAAAGGTATCTGAACTGGAAAGTAAACAGGAGAAAAGTGATTCAAGAGTGAAGTATACTATGATTAAGTAGTCGTTGCCCCATGGAAAGTGTCCCTTATTAATACCCAATTCAACGGCGGAAACTTTCACTGCGTTGTCAACTGAAGTCATGTGACCATAGACGCCTGATCAGGCGGACGGCATCAGAGGGCAGTTTCCAGGCATCTCTGGCGGATTACTGCACTCCACAGTAGATGAATGGGTAATCTCAATAATAGACGATAAAATAATACAACACTGAAAACCCGCCTCTTTAATAGGGCCATCGTTGCCTTTGGACTACATTACTCCGTCGAGAATTTTGTTCTAACACTTCACTGGTTTCCATCTTTCATCATTGGCTGTAATGAAGTGACTCGACATGTTCTTCATGTTTCACACCCCATTTATACCTATCGCTCGTACCGGTTATTCTTACTCGATTTTTCCATAGGGAAACAAGAAACAATCGCGTAATTTCTATAGTGAAGAGACGGCAACAGGCTCTGTTCACTATAAGGCACTGGTTCGTTTGTTTGAAGATGTTAATATATATAAATAAAATGACTATGGCTAAATTATACGCCAAATTTCAAAGTGGGTACAACAGGGAATCACGGTATAAGAAAGACGGCTTTGCTCCTGACAATCCTGGGTTGAAACATCAGTTCAACGTGCTGGAAAGTTCCCTTCCTTTGATTCATTTTGTTTTCCAAACGCTTCTCTGGTTCATGGCTCTTCTGTCATCGATAGTCGTGTCATCATTCAAACCTACTTGGCTCGGGCAGCATGAACAGTCTCAATGATCTTGTCGACCACGGAAGGATCCGACAACTAGGACTCGGTCAGCAACAGATAGGAATCAAATGTAGGTCGAGCAACTCACGGTTGAGGTATCACCCAAGCTATCTTCTTCACCGCTCAGAATCTTCCGTAGGATGCGGCGCATAATCTTGCCACTGCGAGTCTTGGGGAGGTCTTCTACGACGTAAACCGCCTTGGGTGCGGCAAATGGACCGATTGACTTGCGAACTTGCATCACAAGATCCTTGCGGACTTGCTCGGTGGTCTCGTTGCCGTCCTTGAGAGAAACGAAGGCGTTGACAGCTTGGCCAGTGAGTTCATCGGCAATACCGACGACAGCCGCTTCGGCAACCTGGTCTGTAGCGACAGTTAGCTTGCGACAGCCACATAAGATTCTCCAAAGCTACTTACGGTGTTCAAGAAGAGCGGCCTCGATCTCAGCAGTAGACAAACGGTGTCCAGAGACGTTGACCACGTCGTCGACACGACCGCGAATCCAGTAGTATCCGTCGTGGTCACGGCCAGCGCCATCTCCAGTGAACTAGAGCAGTACAGTCAGCCAAACGCCCTTGCAGAAATAGTACGAATGAAGCAACTTACGTAGTAGCCCTTGTAGACGTTCAGGTAAGTGTCCATATAGCGCTTGTGGGCACCCCACACGGTCCGGGCCATGCTGGGCCAAGGCTGCTTGAAAGCAAGAACACCCTCGACATCGTTGCCAGAGATCTCCTCACCGGAAACGGGGTCGATAATAGCGGGCTCAATGCCGAAGAAGGGCAAGGATGCACTGCCTGGCTTGGTGGGAGTAATTCCACCGAGGGGAGTGATGACGTGCGAGCCGGTCTCAGTTTGCCAGTAGGTCTGTTTCAAGTATTAGTCGTGGAGTACGGGGTAGAACAGGGGTCTGCAAGTCCTTACGTCGCAAATGTGGGCTTCCTCCTTTCCGACCTTCTCGAAGTACCACTTCCAGACCTCAGCGGCAATTGGTTCGCCGACGGAGCCCAGGATACGCAGGTGCTCCATCTTGTGGTGGATGTGCTCATCACCGGCACGCTTCAGCAGACGCAGAGCTGTGGGGGCGACATAGAACTGAGTGACCTTGTGCTTCTCAATGACATCCCAGTAGCGGGAGAAGTTGGGGTAGGCGGGAGTGCTTTCGAAAACGACAGTAGAGCAACCAAGAAGAAGAGGCGCATAGACGACGTAGGTGTGCCCGGTGATCCAGCCAACGTCACCACCGCAGAAGAAGCGATCGTCGTCATGGATGTCAAAGACGTACTTGCCGGTCATCGCGGCACCAAGGAGGTAGCCGGCAGTAGTGTGCATAACACCCTTGGGCTTACCGGTGGAACCAGAGGTGTAGAGGAGGAAGAGAGGGTCCTCGGAGTTCATTGACTCAGGAGCGAGATAGCAGGGGTACTTCTCGACCTCCTCGTGCCACCAAATGTCACGGCCTTTCGTCCAGGGGACTTCAGCACCAGTACGCTTGTAGACCAGCACACTGGTAACATCGGGGCACTGCTTGAGGGCCTCATCGACAATGCGCTTGGTGCCAATCACCTTGCCACCACGCTTACCCTCGTCTGTGGTGATAACGACCTTCGATCCCGCATCAAGGACACGATCACGCAGGGAGTCCGAGGAGAAACCAGCGAAGACAACGGAGTGAACGGCACCGATACGGGCACAGGCGAGGAAAGCCACAACGGCTTCAGGGATCATAGGAAGGTAGATAGCGACGGTGTCACCCTTCTTGACACCCTGCTGCTTCAGGACCCAGGCAACGCGGGAGACTTCGCGGAGGAGCTCGCCGTACGTAATGATGCGGCCCTCATTAGGCTCATCGGCCTCGTAGATGATCGCGACCTTGTTAGGGTTCTTGATGGCATGACGGTCCACACAATTGAATGAGGCATTCAAGCGACCTTCGACGAACCAGGCATTGTCGCCATTCTCGAGCGAGCCGACGTGGGTGGTTTGGAAGTCTTGTTCGAAAGTGAGCAGCTCACGGGCCATGCGGGCCCAGAACGTGTCAGGGCTACGGATAGACTCGTCGTATAGTTTCTTGTACTCCTCCAAATCTTTCAGATGACTCTTGGAAGGGTGCTTCTCATAGAAAGCTTTGGGGACGTGGAAAGTGTCGACATCGTGGGCCTCGAGCACCTAAACAGATGTTATTTAGCCCGCAGGCCGAAAAACTCCCGAGGGGAATCCGAGGGGAATTTTGCTCACCACGGCCGGCTTTGGGGGCTTAACGTCGCCGTCAGACATGTTCGCGAGCTCTCAACAAAAAGTATTGAGCTTCAACAGACTGGGATTTGAAGACTTCAGGAGAAAAGAAGAGGAGAAAGGAGTTGGTCGACAGAAGCTGCTAAAGATGCGGGGGTCAGCTTTTGTGAGCACCGACAGCATTGCAAATGCACGTGAGTTAGAATAGAGGAAATTAAGCTAAGCAATTGCAAAAGCAGTTAAGACAGGAGTAGTGCAGCCGAGGGGCTGTTGGCTTTGGTGGGGTAAAGCTGAGCCGATGCTACCTACCGTAGAGTGGGAGAGAGCTAAGGTAGGGAGGGGCAGTAGCAGTAAGGTAGTAACGTATCACTCTACCCGAGAGTAGGATATGGACCACCTTCGACACGAGAGTATACGGAAGAGGGGAGAGATTAGGATGAGGAGGAGAAGGACGAGGGAATAATAGAAAATAAAAGCACTGAGGAGAAGACGGGATGGCCAGGCCGTTATATCTATTAGCGGTTCAGTACTATTGTTTGGTGAGAGAGACTAAAGAGGATAATGTTGAGGTCCCGCTCCCCGGGTGTCCGGTGGTCGGTGGAGGCAACAAATGGTTTATCTCCTAGTCTTAGTTACTACTGTCTAAGAATTAGATGCATTTGATCGCTCTGTAGGATAATAGGTCGGATTCTCACGCCAAGGATCCATACAACTTCTACGGCCCTGGGAGTTTGGAACTTGGGGAGGTTCATCTCCTTCCGGGCGACCGTGCTGACAGCTGACCAGTGACAAGCATACCTGATGATCGATGTGAATGAATGAATAGATTCATAGCTTCTCTCCATAATAGCAAGGATACATTCTAATGCAAACTTGTTGTCGTCGACTGACACTGATGGTAGATAACTACAATAATCTCATCTACTCAAAAAGCTGCCTAGCTACGAAGTGCTTACTCTCATTCTCCCGAATCTCCAGGTTTCGACTCGCACTGGCCCGGACGCATCCAGAAAACGGGCTCGGCCATGCGGGGCTTGACAGGTGATCGTTCCGTTGCTCCGGGGAAGGAATTTGGAAGGTGGGATGGTTTATGGGCAACCCAGGACGAAAACAGACCTCTAGCTACAAGTATTGCGCAATAAGAATTGCTGGAGAAGGCCCATAAGTGCTGGTTATTGGTTCATGTCGCTTGGCAGTTCTTACATGCCTACCTTGGGATACATGAGGTAGCTACCCCGCCACAATTATTATCATGCGGATATGCTTGTGAAATGATCAATCTAGAGAGTCCAGTAAACAGGTGCCATTAACATGTTTGCGAATCCTTGAGCATACCTGCCTTTTGATAGTTAAAGGGCAGGTCAAATCCGCTATCAATGGAACTAACTACCTACTTGGAGGGGGTAGATTCCTAGAAGCTACTCCGTAGTGATGATCTACGGACTGAATTCCTAATGGAACTAACCTTAGCCTTAGTAGTACCTAAGCTCACTAAGTCGAATCTCGTAATTCTCATCATAACACTCGGGTTGTAACGCCGTAAGCATGCGGGGAGAGCCATAAAAGTTTCTTAGGAGATTTGTGCCTTCGATCGAATCAATCCACACGGCAATGAGATGTTGAACACTTCAACTCTATATCAGATAGTAACACTTCAACTCTATATCAGATAGTAATATTTCGGTCTGGACATTTCTTCTCGTAACTAGACTATTTCTACGAGTGATACTGTTCTCTTCTCTTCCGGAAACGAGATTTGATGCCTCCGGTTTATCCCTGGGTACCTGACAGACAAGGCCATTTAGACTGGACCATGCAGCTAGGAGAATCAAAGAGCAGGCGGGGCTGGTGGATGTTAAGAGACGGACTGTTCCTGTTAGGTAACTCTGGGAGTCTACCTAGATTACTTCCCTAGCAGCTCACAGGCTGTACTTTCCCTAGTTGATCAGCTCTAGGCCTCTGTAACTCTACGCCAACATGATAGGAAAAAAGATACAGACTGACGGATTGGTGCTTGCCATGGCTTCTTGGCGGCTTGAAACGGGCATTAAAATAATTAAGCACAGATGGCGGGGAAGATGGGTGCCCCTCCAAGGCTTCCTAGACTTCTCGGGCTCGAGATTGATCATTATTGGGCTCCTTCGCAAACTGGAGTGAGAGACTGAGGAACACGAATATCATCATCTCGGCTATGACTTCACTGATAGAATAGATCTTTCCGCTCGGCTCTATTGAATACGGTCGCACGGAAGCTCGGGCATCAGTTCAAGGGTACACGATGTCATACTACTTAGGCCCGAGGTTACGGTATATACTCCGTAGGCAGTTTGTGATTCGGATATATCTGCTGGTTTTCCATTCATCCTGTTCACCTCAATTCTCAGGTAGATGAGGTCAACCGTCTCTTGTGGGCACCATTTGATTTCGAGACAACTCGGTTGCGTTAGCCTCCTTCCGCTATGTCTAGTACCTGACGGGCCCTCGTTAGATGCTTTAGCTCTCCCACGTTGCAGGCCTCTAGTGCACCCTCCTTCCCCTGACTTGTCTGTCGGTGCATGGACTGGCATCCTGGCATTCTGGCGATGTTACGTCCCTGAGACATGGGGCCAATGAAACATATCCCATGCTACGCAACCTCGCCATGTACTAGATCAGAGAGCTGACTGCTTCCATTTTCTCAAAGAGACGCCTTACGTTAACGCTTCTTCCAGCAGTCCAGGCACGTTCCGAAAGACTTAACTACGGAAGCGAGTACGTACTAAGTACTCTACATAGGTAGCCGTGCAATAGGAATACGTACTGGCAACGATAATTCCCCCACCTAATCCTTGACAGCAATCTACCGCGATTGCTTTAGCAGATGCGCCGGCGTCAAATCACCATTCGGTCAAATTATCACTGGCCTTTGGAAGAATAATTTTCACTGCCCATAAGCAATCAGGCGTATTATTTCCTCCTCCCTGGTCCCCAGTCGACCTTATTTTAGTCCGGATTGCCCAATCATTCGTATGTGCGCAACTCGGCCTCCGAAGATAACTGATAGACACCCCAGTCTGGCACGCTTGAATATGCAGCGCTTATTCCGCTCACCGGCTGCTACGTAACCGACGATATCCTTGTTCATCTTAACCTCTGGGGCTTTAGTTGACTAGTAGTGATACGCGGACTGGTCGAGAACGCCTGCTGGCTCAATCAGACATGCTTTGTACTTTGCTGGTCACTTGGCAGACAAGGAAACGATCAACGGCTACTCCGTAGATGCTACGATTATGAGAAATCTGGCTGCTTAGCAATTGAGTTTGCAGAAATACTCGTTTATCATTACAGGACAAGGAAAGTTGAGGTGGAATTATGGAATTATTATTGCTGGCGGCCCACCGCTCTATGGACAAGTACTAGTGCCGCTGGCTATTCAGGCAATTGAATGTGAAGCACTCTTATGCAGTAAGTCAATCGACTAGATGGGGAAGTGTTTATGCTTACAGACTGCCCCAATCCCAATAAAATTCGTAATTAAATCATCATGCACAAGAGAAACGTTTGAGCCTGTTTCGATGCATTCGTAAGCTGCGGAATAATTCAAACCCACTAGTCAATGAGGACCGAACCCCTCGAGTCAACTACGCCATGGCTACCTAAGAAGCCAGCCAATCTCGATGCCACCAAGCGCTCATTCCAAGCAAGAATAGCACTATACTGCCGTCCTGGATAACATCCCTGAACAATTGAATCCACATCCCAGGCCCAGCCAGCCCCCGCCCCTGCTCTTTAGCATTATCCTCGCCCCGGTCAGCACCATCTCCCCCGTCGTGAAGAGAACGAATGGGTTCCGTGCCCTCGCAGGAGGCGGCGGCTGGCTTCCGTAGGTCGCGACAGACGCGCTAATAACCACGAGGAAATAAGCCCCCATGACAACGGAGAAGAGTACGTGAAGCACTTTCCACGTCCAGATCTCCCGCTTCTCCTCGTCCGTCTTGGGTCGTGTCGCTGCGCCGAGCATGCTCGAGACAAATGGCGGGAGGCCGAGCGCCGATGCCAGTTCTGCTTGCGAGACTCCGGGTCCGGCGCCGTCGCCGCCGCCGCCGCCTGCGCCTTGGTCCAGCCCTGGCATCCCACCCGCCATTAGGGAGTTGAGCAGTTTCATCGTGGGGTCTTCATCAGGGCCTTCCTGGGCTGCAGGCGGTGCATTTTGGCGCAGGAGGGCCCTGATATACTCCTGTTGTGCTTGGAGGTCTTCTGGGGTTGGTCCTCGATGCTGGCAGTTGGTCGGACGGGTGCTGGTTGTGTTTGACGGGGTGCCCCTGTTTCGGGAACGGAGACAGGTGCAGGAGGCTGGGGTGAGGGTGAGGGCGAGAGTGATGGGGCGGAGAACGATTCTTCGCGAGCTGGCGGTTGCAAGATGAATCAGTAAGGAAGGTTGAGGAGAAAGCAAGGCTTAAATGTTCGTACCACTTTGCGGTGCCCGTCCGCTCAAGCTTGTAATCTTGTCCAAGCGTGCTGCACCACCTTCGCGAATTTTGGCCTCGCGGCGCTCACGGCGCAGCCTGGCTGCCCGTTGAGCCGGCGACTCTTCTGTAGAGGACATATTCAGGCTGTGAAACTCGGCGATGGCTGATGATGATGTCCGATGCTGGCGGATGTTTTTCGAGCGATCTTCCGCGACAAGGGAGGTATTTTTAAATTTGCCAATAAGGAGCTCTCGGTTCCCAGTGCAACTTCAAAAAATTGAGAGCTTGAAGGGTGGTTAGGTCTGGAGAAGCTGGCGACTATTATGTGCCACAGTGCCAGTGTGGATTGGCATTCAACACTTGACACAACAAGGTCGTCAATTCTCCGCCGCTGTGGCGCAGTTTAGCATCTCAGTGACCTACATATGGACAAGTGCGGAATTGCAGTGTATCTTAATGCCCATAACCTCTGCAATCGAAACTCTACACTACTTAAAATTGTAGCTCTTTAAACTGTATTGTTCTATTGTAAAATGTCTGTTTCGCTTTGCTTTATTATGAGTTTTCAATGTCAATTTCTCAATAGCTTTGTAGTGATCATATCTTCAGCCACAGGCCATCAACATCAGATTTTTCAACTGCAATGGATATAAATAACCAAGCCAAGTACATAAATTAGGGATTTATAACATAGGGTATGATACTGGTAGAATGATATATTGCATATTCAGATTGAGTTCTAAGCCGTTGCATTTGTATACTCTAGCTGGAGGTGATGTTCAAAACTATATATATGTATCACGTCCCCAATTAACACATCAGAAAACACAATCCAAGTAGGATTAAAGATCCAATAACAGATCGCAAGCTAAGGACAAATAGTAAGGACATAATTCTCGATAATGTGTGTCATACACAGGCAACATTGTTAAGTGTGGTGACATCACCGCATCACCTACTAGGTACACCTTCTTCCATCTCGTAGCGAGGTATATCCTTCAGATGAGAAACGATTCACCCACAAGCTGAATCAAATAGCAATGCAGAAGCGCATCTAACTTATTTGAATGATCTATCCTCAAGATAACCAAAGTTACAGCAATTCACGATGTTGAAATGATGCCAAATGCCAAGACGTCCAATCTCGTTTCTATGACGAAGCATCCAGATTCCAAGTCAACAGCAGGTCACCGCATCACCCCACAGTCTACATCTACACGCTGACTCGCCAGCTGGAGCCCTGGGCACTCTAAGGCAAGATGTCAGGGAGCACCGTAGATCATAGGGCAATGACCTCTTGTTTTACGGATCAGCCTTGGACGCGTCCAGACTCAATTGGCAGCTGCTTTGGTTTCCTCCACAATGACGTAGTTCTCAGGGCGTATCAGCTTTCGCTGTACCACTCTCTACAGGGCTATTTCACTCTTAGAGATGCCTTGTTCATTCCATTTCCTGTCTTCTTGTCCGATGTCCATGCTATCACTGGCATAAACTGCCATTGAGAATCTCACGCGACTCTCTTGTGTCAACTTCAATCTACTTTGTATAACCCTCGTCCAGAACACCTCAAACTCAATTGGAATAGGATGAGAGCTTCCTTTCGGTATTCATACTACAAGCCATAAACGTCTTTCCTCACATCTCCAGTTCGATCAAGACTTGACCGGCATTCGAAATGGCACCAAATCCCAATAGCAAGGGGGGGTCTACCTCCCCACAGCAACATCGAGTTGGAGAACATTGGAGCGGGACCAACCCCGTTCCGACCATCTCTAAGTTTATGGAGCGCCTCAGGAGTGAAGAACAGCAACAGAAAGAATATGAGGAGGCCCAGACTGCCAGAGAACGACAGACCGAAGGTGGTGATAGTCCCCATCAACCGCGGAAGAGGGCCAAGGGAAAGACTCGCAAAGTGAGAGACCCAGTTACCGGCAAAGATATGGAGGTAGAGGACCAGGACGAACACTCAATGGACACCGTGAAAGATCCCAAGGTAACTTGATTCTCTTCATGCGACGCAAAATGGAACTTCTGCTAAACTTTCTTCTAGTTGGTCGTCCCCAATGCCAACCTGGGAAAGCCAACAGTAAGTCCTTGAAGGATAAGTTATGCCGGATTGTGTCTGACGCTGCGCGATGCAGGAAGTCAAAACCGATGCATGCCAGAACCTGTCCGAATACAAAGAGAATCAGGATGTGACCGCACCACCTGATCCCATCGCTGAAGGCACCACGTCTGACGTACCGATCCACGGCGAGAAAACAAATATTCTGTTTCACCCTACACCGACAATTTCCTATAAGCCTATGTTTGATCAGTTGGAAAAGCGCGCTACCGGAGTCTGTTTGGGTCTTTTTATTGGTGTACTCTTCCTCGGTCGTGTTTTTGGTGGCTCGCTATGGGGTCTCATACCCTTGGCCTGTTGCACTACAACTGGGATTTGGTTGTGGATGAAAGAGGTCATCCGGAGTGGTCGTGAAATGGAATGGAGCAGTGAGCAGCTACGAGGGCAAACAGTAAGCTTCTCCGCTCTGTACGTGTCCTAAGGAGCATTTACTAAATCAAGCCAACCAGGCTACGGCCAACTTGTTGCCGGAATCTGTCGAATGGATGAATACTTTCCTCGGCGTCGTCTGGGGCCTGCTGAACCCCGATATGTTGGCGCCCATCGCTGATACTATCGAGGACATCATGCAAGCTTCTGCGCCAAGTGTCGTGGAGAACGTCCGTATCGCTGAAATCGACCAGGGAAACAACCCTATACGGATTCTGAGCATGCGGGCTCTTCCGGACGAGCACGTGCAGCAACTGAAAGATAATATCCGCGAAGAGAACAAGAAAAACAAGGATCCTCAGGAGGCAGCAGCTGCTGAAGAGGGTGGCAGCTACTACAACCTCGAAGCTTCTTTTGCATACCATGCAAAGCCGAGTGGCCAAAGTGCTTCCTCGAAAGCACGTAACATGCATATGCAGGTTATATTCTTCCTGGGAATCCAGGGTCTATTCGGAGTGCCTTTCCCGGTGTTTGTGGAATTGATTGAGATGGTTGGAACTATACGCCTGAGACTGCAGATGATGCCAGAAGCTCCTTTTATGAAGGAGATTACGTACAGTCTTGTTGGCATTCCGCATATTAGAGCCGGCTGCATGCCGATGGTGAGACATGGTATCAATGTCCTCAATCTACCGCTGATCTCCAACTTTGTCAACTATGCCATAGGCACTGCCTGCAGCCTTTTCGCAGCACCCAAGTCAATGACCATGGATCTGGGCATGCTCCTCAAGGGTGACGATATCATCAAGGAAACCCAGGCTATCGGTGTGATGTGGGTTCGGATCCACCGCGCCGTTGGACTGAGCAAGCAGGATAAGCGTGGCACCCATGGCGGCGGGAGTGATCCTTATATCAACCTCTCCTTCTCCAAATACGGCAAACCTATGTACTGCACCCGTGTCATTACAGATGATCTGAATCCGATCTGGGAAGAGACTGCAGCTTTGCTGGTCACCCCGGAACTAATCAAGGTGGATGAGAACCTCAGCGTTGAACTGTGGGACTCGGATCGCAACACGGCTGATGACATTGTCGGCAAAGTGGAACTGCCCATCCGGGAAATGCTGGCGCACCCAGGTCGCATGTATCCTCAAGTCTCCAAGCTGCAGGGTCTGAACGACGGTAGCGAGATGCCCGGTGAGCTGCATTGGGAAGTTGGGTTCTTTGGAAAGCCGAAGTTAAGGCCGGAATTGAGGACGGATGGCAAGAGGAAAGACCTCCCGGAGAATCTTCAAGACATCCCAGAGTTCCAGGACGAGAAGGGCACTATCATTACCGAAGAAGAAGATGCGATCACGCACACGCCGCCCGATCCATTGTGGCCTAGCGGTATCCTAAGCGTTGTGGTTCATCAGATCGTGCACCTGCAACTTGCCAATATTAAAGGCACTACCGGTAGTCGAAAGGGAAGGGAGTACGAGCCGGCGAAGAATTACGGCGAAAGCACTGAAGAGGAAGGCAAAGAGTTGCCCACCAGCTATTGCAAGATTATGCTCAACGATGAGTTGGTGAGTGATTCCCCGCGCTTCTACTGAAGTATCATAGCTAACATCTCGCTTAGGTATACCGGACTCGAGCCAAAGCACTTAGCTCCAAGCCCATATTCAACGCTGGTACTGAGCGATTTGTCCGCGACTGGCGTTCATCAATGGTCACGGTGACCGTCAGGGACCAACGATATCGGGAGCACGACCCGATCCTGGGAGTGGTGCAACTGAAGCTTACCGACCTCTTTCAGAAGTCCTCGCAAGTCACCAGATGGTACCCTCTCGATGGCGGTGTTGGCTTTGGACGGATTCGTATCTCGCTGCTGTTCCGGCACGTCGAAACGAAGCTGCCCCCCAAAATGCTCGGGTGGGATGTGGGCACGTTCCACTTCGTGTCGGACAAGCTTACGCTGCAAGGGTTCAACCATCGGGCTAAGATCAAACTGCGCACCGGTGGAAGCAGTGGAAAGATCTCACGTGTCCAGTGCCATATCGAGGGGAACAACTCATACTACGACCTGACTAATGAAGACTTCCGTCGGAGTATCCGACTTCCGGTGAAGCATCGCTATCGGTCCCCTGTCGTATTCGAGCTGCACACGCAGGGCAAACACGGAGCTGCGGGTTACGCAGTTCTCTGGCTACAGCACCTCGTGGACAACGAGGAGACCGAAATCGACCTACCTATCTGGTCGACGAAGAACGGAAGCCGACTCACCCAGAACTACATCACCGAGGAAAACTGGAAAGCAAAGGAAGTACCTGGCCTGGAAGACCTCCAAGAAATCGGTCGTCTGCAGCTTCGGGGTCTCTTCACTCCCGGTATCGATGACTCCCACGAGCACTACGTGGTAGACAGCAATTCGCGCGAGACCTTTGAAACATGGGAAGCCTGCATGGCCGAAGGCGTGCGGCCTCACAGAGTCACCGCCGAGATCCCCGAGGACATCGAGAAACTCCACGAACAGTCTCTCAGAGCCGGTCGCGACGTCTTGAAACAAAGCCACCCCAGAGAGCGCAAGCGCTGGATCGACAAACAGGGAAACGACTGGAGCGGTGCGTTCGGCGACGACCCGGCCGCCTATGTTGACTCCAAGGGTCGCAAGATCGCAGAGCCAGGTCGGGACCAGCCCCCGCAAGACCCAGTCAACCCACCGCCCAAGGAGGTCGAGCCCACCGGGGCCGCGCACCCCAGCGATTATGAGGAGGACTCATCGGAGTCGTCGTCAGACGAGGACACCCAGCCAGAGCAGCAGCAGGAGCAGCAGCAGCAGCAGCAGCAGCAGCAGCAGCAGCAGCAGCGACAACCTTCCGAACCTCAAACCATCACGACGAAGCCCAGCGAAGCCAGCTCAAGCAACGCCCCGTCGAAGCGGGCAGCCAAGCGCAGCGAACAGCGCCAGCAGCGCGGTCTGATGCAATGGAAGCCGGCGCGCAACGCGGTGTTCGCACGGGATGAAGCCAAGTATGCACTGCGCAAAGTGAAGCACAAGTTCACCGGCAACCTGAGCGGACGAGAGCCGGACATCGAGACCGAGACGGGACAGTAATCTGTTGAAATCATCCATTCTTCTTTTGACTTACATGCACATGCATAATGCCACTCTATCATCATCTAACGAAAATGCCTGTACGGGGGCACATGGTACATGATTGGTTCTGAATTGATTCCGGGATACTGTATTGTACTTGCTCTCTAAGTATGTCCATGAATATCACAATGCAAAGTAATTAGGAAGTCCATAATTTACCCCAAGTGATAATTACGGTAATAAGGGTTTAAGCAAGGGTATCTGCAGGCTTATCACTTTATCACAGCGGCAAGCAATCAAATTAGTCGAATAGCCTCTGCCAACTCCGTTCCAACCTTAAGTAACTGATTATAGGGTGGGCTATTGCCTACTGGGCAATCCTGAGACAGATTCCTGTAGTCGGTTGTCCTGATTGCCCACGAACACCGCGAAGATGTGACGCGGGTCTGCATTTTTCACTGCGGGGTTCCAGACTCCCATTGGGTTTGCCACTTGTTACCAGTTACAGGTTTAGTTGTTACTATATTAATCTTTTTTTAATGTTGGTGATCGTCAATCCTCGTGCTCGGCAAGAGTCTCGTATTGGCGAGGGTGGGGTTACGATGCAGAAAAGGACAGTTGGAAGACGTGAAGAAAATAGTTGGATTGCCCGCAATCACGGCGAAATTAGAAATCTGACAGTATGTGCGCATATACTGTAAATTAAAACAAAAAATGGATCATGAAGTGGAGGCTAAAGCCATCGACTAGGGGTCCCGGTGGTCTCAGACAACCGAGGAGAATGCTTGAGGTGATACATGGAATGCCCGAGAGCCCAGAACTCCAGAAAAATGATTAGGATGCAAGGTGCTGAACGGCTCAATATGAGGAGTATGCGTGTCTATATGACGTAAATCGTAACCAAATCAATCATCAATGCGAGGTGGTATAGTTCAGGGATCCGAAATTTTCAGATCTATCGGTATCTGGTGGCTCAGTCTCAAGGGCTTGATCTGCGTTTGAGCCATCGACTTTGCCCTCAGGAGATGCGACAGATGAAGTTGGGCTGGAGAGCCGCTCAGAAGCGCTGGAAGACCGACTATCCTCCGAGTCACTCGTGGCTAAGCTCTCGGTGTCCTTGTCATCATGAGTGCTCACATCCGATGCAGGTGCGCCGCTGACCCCAAGAAGCTTAGAAGATGCATCCTCGGGTGTTTGAGGTAATTGGATAAGCTCGTTCCGCTTTTCCAATGGTCCCAAGGTCCATCTCCATTCGCAACGGCGCTTGATGCGATGCTGGCGCGGTGTCTGGGGAGTGGAGGAACCATACGGATCGGTCTCAAGCCCGTCCAATAGTGCCACTGCACGAATCTGTCTTTCCGCAGTTAAAGGTTTCCTCTTCTTCCTTTCGCTTTGAGACTGTGATGTGGTGCGATATTCGTCCTCGTCGGAGGTGTTTATGTCGGACGAAGTACGGCTAGAACCGGTATCCGAGGCCTCACCGGAGCCAGCCTCTCCGGAAGGATGATGTTCCACCTGGTCAGTGAGGTCGGAATGGCGCGCGGTGTAGTGCACGGTCGTAATCTCCTCTTCGAGTGGATACCGATAGCTCACCCGTTTCTCGGCGGGGAAGAACATTCTGCGCGAGCTCGATCCCCCATTAGGCCCGTTCGGGACCACGGATATCGATCGCCGTCTAGCAGTAGGTTCTAATGGCGAGTTCCGAAGAATACTCTTCACCCCAAGAGGTTGTTGATATGGATTCCCATTAGCAATAGTGGGATATGGTGACGAGGGTTTGCCGAATCTTGACATGGAAGATTTGGAGGGTGACACGGTAGCAGAGGGCGGACAGGAGGAGACATCATAGGCGTTTTTAAAAGTGTTGCGCACAGTGGGAGACGCTGTGGCACCGGCTGCTAACGAGAGAGACAGCCCCGTTGTTGAACTGCCAAAAGTCATTGGTAGTGATTTGGTCTGAAGCGTGAGTTTCGGTCTCTGTGGGATGTTCGACCGCCGGTCGCCTGCCGCATTTGATGATACGCCGCACGACATATTTGTAGAAGCGATGCCTGTTTGACACGAGGTCTGTGATATTGTGTGGGCGTTCGTTCGATCAACATCAGAAGGGGGTGAAGGTGCGACGGTAACGGGGCATGGGGGCTGCAAGCATGGCGAAGAGACGGAGAGGGGAGACCTGGGAAATGGCGCAATTTGATCGCGAGGAGAGCCCGAGGAAATAAGGATGAAATCGAGGTAAAGTAGAGGAGACAAGACAGAGCGAAAGGACGGTCTGCGCCCCGCACGAAGAGGCTATGGAGGGGAGTAGACTGTAAGTACAGCCCACAGTTGGCCAGACCGGATTCCAACAATAAGACAACCGTCGGAGAATCGATGGAGACGTTGGAGCTAAGTGGGAATTATAGAAATAATAAGATATCTACTAAGAGATGGGAAAAATTTTTGAAAAATAAGAATAGAAATACAACGCCGAAGAAGAGTAGTAGAGGAGAGCGGGTGGGCGCTTGGGGGATTTCCTATTATAGAAATGCGACTGCGGAGGCAAATTTGGCGATAATGACTCTGAGCAGTCTTTTCGCAGGCAAGAGTCGGAAGGGATAAAAGTATGGATGTGAATATGAAGAAAAAGAAGATGAAAAGAGAGACACACTGAGTGAAAGTACTCCAGGAGAGCTTTATCTGACCCGAAAAGAAGAAAAAGCGTCTATCACATTCAGACTCCGTAGTAGGCGTGTTATTCAGAGGGTGCAGGGACTATTGGACGCCATCCTGGAGCAGCTGGTCTATTTCTGTCATGCACATACGTATGTCTGCCTGTCTACTGTCGATCCGATCGTAAAGTCCAACTTATTCACCACTAGACTCAACCTTCCGTCAGAATAACATCAAAATCAGACAATCTGGTACGATATCTGATGGGATCATCACATTATCTATAGAATGTTGGCACCTAAACTCCGTTTATAGACAAGACATGACAGCTTGTAGGTACCTGGAATACTTCCAGTCCAGTCCCATATCCAGGTACAGACTGTCTACCTTACCCAGGTACTATAAAAAGATCAGGGCAAGACACGAGGCGGTGGGGAAGGCTTCTAGTACGGAGTACTACGTTTTAATACATACTAGTCACAAAACGGTATCCAAGCGTTGTACGGTAATGTAACATTTTTGCGTTGGGAGTCTGGACTTACATGAACCATGGTTCCTCATTCCTCAGTTTGTACCTTTTTGACAATCCAGAAACAGTTCCAGTTTGACAGTGTCTAGACTAGACAGAGAACAACGTTTCGAGCTGTTCACCCTCGGAGATATCTCAGTCATGGGATTTGTCCAGCACGGAGGCTTCCTGTTTCCACTACTGCTTGTCTCTTACAGATGTTTCAACTCTTCCAGGGTACCGAGTTAATCAAACGTAACCCGATCGTGAAGAAGAAACTTCATACCTGTTCAGTGCTCAAAGAAGCTAGAATGCACTGATTCATGAAACGCTCCAGTGTACCAATACTTGCAGAGTGACTTTAAATGCTTGGAGGTCTCTAAAATTGCTTGCAAGAGACTGCCTTGGTGGCATATCCCTCCCCTTCTACTCATCACGAGGATCATCAGAGTATTCGATGGTATGCTTAATATAAGAGTCAGCGTAATACGCAGCTGCAGTAGCTTTCCAGCTCGAGTCCTCAAGATCCTTACTACTCTGTACAAAGTAGTCCATTCAGATCATTCAAAATGATAAGGCAACATTCAGTAGGTGTATCTGATGCCAGAGTGGACATCTCCACCTCCAGCCACTTAGTTTTCTGTGCCACAATCCCAGCCTCCACTCCGGTCCAATCATATTCTCCAGCGGAATTCGTTGTTGGAATAACTTCATCTCGCCGCTCAACAGCTCTGTTCTTGAGTCAGACAACGTGGGTACTCGCGTTGGCTCGTTTCCATCAACACAGACTCTGTTGATGTGTTTTCTTAATATATCAGCTAATTAATCGGGTATCTTCCCACCGACTTTCCTTTGCAGCCTCGATAATGCCCACCGTTAGATAGTCCACCAACAGGACCAATGCCGCACAAAAGCATTACCTCAGCATCAGGTGGACGGGGCACAGTCACGTATCGAGCGAAGACGGGTCCTTACGACTCCAAATTTTGACCAACCTAGATGGCTGCGCCTCGTAGGGATGACGGTCGAATCATCATTCATTTTGTTAGTGTCCTTCGTAACTACGCGCAGAACAGCATGGAGAATGGTCGTTTAGGTTATGGTAATGATTGCTAATCACCCCCGAACAATACAGGATTATGATTGCTTCTATGCCTCAGTGTTTGAGGCGGAACAGCCAGTGCTCAAGTCCCTGCCTCTGGCGGTTCAACAAAAGCAGATCGTGGTGACTTGTAACTACGAAGCTCGACGGCGAGGGCTGCGCAAACTGCAGCTGATCAAGGAAGCGAAGCAGATCTGTCCGGACGTTGTCATTGTTTTGGGTGAAGACCTCACCAGATTCCGCAATGCTTCCAAGGAGCTCTATCTCTTTCTTCGGGACTTTGTCTGGGGAAAGCGAGTTGAGAAGTTGGGGTTCGATGAGGTGAGTGGATACCCTACCTATGCGTTCAGTTTGGCCCCCATAATAATGCTCAAGCATAGGTGTTTCTCGATGTGTCCGACATGATTACCTACAATGTCGAGATGCTGAATCGTAATGACCTCAAAAACTCATTCTTTCACCTTGACCGTCGAGATCCCACAGTGGGTTTTACCTACGATGCGACAGACTTTCAAGGACACACCTATCCAGCTGTTTCCGACGTTGTAACAGACGCGGACTCGAAGTGGCTTCGCAATAGACTGTTGGTTGCGTCACATCTGGCAGCTTATCTTCGAAACCAGCTCGAGTATCAGAAGGGCTACACTGCCACTGTGGGCATTTCCACATCAAAGCTTCTCGCAAAGCTAGTTGGAAACACACATAAGCCCAACAGTCAGACAACTCTTCTGCCGCCTTATACTGTGGCGGAGCATGGGGCGAAAAGCAACGTGCTACACTTCCTTGATGCTCATGAGATCAGAAAAATCCCTGGAATAGGCTCGAAAATTGCGCATAAAATCGAATCATTCCTTACTACGGCTGTAGCTGGGGCCGGAACAGAGGTAGTACGGACTAGCGATACAAAACCACACTCAGATGACCACACCGTCACGGTTGGAGACGTCCGTCTTTTCCCTGGCATGGGCCCTCTGTTATTAGAAAAAGTTCTAGGCGGCCCAGGATCTCCCAGGGGCATTGGGGCGCGAATATGGGGGCTGATACACGGGGTGGATAACACTGAGGTTCTACAAGCTCGAGATCTACCGACACAAATCAGCATCGAGGACTCATACGGTCGCTTAGACACATTCAAAGAGGTCAGGAAAGAGCTGATTGCTCTGACAATCAGCTTGATCCGGCGCATGCGGGTTGATCTGACTGAGATGGACCCTGATGTCCATTTCCCAGCCGGCGAGCCCGCTGCAGCTGATGCTCTTAATGCAAAGCAACAGCTCCGATGGGTGGCTCACCCGAGGACTCTTCGTCTCTCAACGTGTCCTCGCCCAGCTCCAGGCTCCGATCAGTCAGAGCGCCATGGCCTCAACCGGATATCTCGTTCCGCACCTCTTCCATCCTACATCTTCAACCTCGATGAGAACGTAGACGCTTTGGCAGAGCGACTTGTGCAGGACATGGCGATGTCCATGTTCCGCAAGCTTCACCCTGAAAACTCGGGTTGGAATCTCCGTGTCCTGAATATTGCCGTGACAAATATGATAGAGCGCGCTGGTGACCAGAAGAACAGCAGCGGTCGAGATATTGGGAAGATGTTCCGTAAACAGGAAGCAACGCAGCGGGATGATCCTACGCCAGAGCTGGAGAAGATCACCTTCAGCGGCATCGCTCAGGGAGACATGGATTCGAAGATGGTTGATTCCGCCGGAGCCAACGATACCTGGGAGGAGAGCGACGAAGATGGCGACACGCCGTGTGTCGCCTGCACAATTTGCGGGACATTGATACCCTATTTTGCCATGCTTGCTCATGAGACGTACCACACCGCACCGGGTGATTGAGAACTTGGGTTCGAGGATAGGGCTGTGGTTATGTCCATGAGCTACCACATCTTTAATTTGGATGATGTGATGAAGTTTTTTATATCACAATAGTAGCCTTGATGCCTATGCATTTTTCTATTTTGTTTCGTATGCAAACGGTGAGCATTCATCAGCACCACTAATAACCTGTCACCGCTATATGATCGGTCTAGCATGAACCATGCAAAACCCTCCGAGGTGAGATATGTTTCGCGTTAGAAGTGCTTCCTAGAATCTTCTGTTCTAACTCAATCTGGTAAGATAGGCATACGTATGTTCGAGTTAAAATGGCCCACAGGACATCCAGCCACAGGCGCCAACCGATCTTGGCAGTGATCATTTGCTCCTTGTTATGGTGGAGGGTTGTCTTGGACGACGGAATGCACAACGGCCATTCGCCATCTTAATGCTCCATCAATAAGACTAACGATGTATTAATGTATTCAGATGACGATTAATAAGCCTTTCAATTATCCTCGACGATTACTACTATTGATGGCAATGGCATAAATCCTCTCCCGACAGTTTCTTACAAGACCCTGAGGACCCTTTGTGAGAGAGGCGAGTGCATCAGGAATCTTCGCTCCACCTTTACCGCGCTCCTCCGCAACAACTTCTCCTCACCGTCAACCATCTTGTCTCATCCTTCTACTGCGTATATGATCAGACCCCAGTTCGTTTCTGCATAATTCAGTCATTCGCTTCTTCCGGCTCTCATCTTTGGTACCGCCAAGCCGCTGCGCCCCAGTAAAACGGATCTGCCTGGCGCCCAGCGACCGTCATCCCTATTAGTCTGATCCTAGTGGAGGCTTCTTGTCAGCCATTGTTCTTCAAAGGGTGAATTAAGTGTCTTGGAGTGTGAGCATCAATCAGTCTCTTCTCGTCCGATACTGATTCGGGTCGCTTTCTCTCTTTTCAAAGACGACGAAAGATACTTGCAGGGTGCATATCTCTGTGTTGATGTTCTCGACTGATCCGACCAAGTCCTAAGACATTGTTTCATCTTACTTCCTCGGCCATTCTTTTATCTTGTTGCCTGATGCCAGTATTCATTCGAACCCCTTATGAGATTGAAAGAATATAGGGAGAAGGTTACGTTCCACAGCCTGCTTGATTGGAGTCAAGGGGTTCCGTACATCCGTCCATTTGTCGACGGAGATGAGGTTTCTTTCTAAAAGTGCTCTGCCATTTGTTGCGAGTGCACTCTCACTCCTATCTGTTCAGGTTGCAGGTTAGTTCGCATTGCTTCTTCGACGAGTCTTCATCGGAGATAGCTAACTTATCATCCAATGTCGTTCAGCCCGATCGCAAGAACCTAGTGCCATCCAACATGTCTCGATACTTGAACATGCGGTAATCAACACACCCTCTCACGAGGTCGACCACCTTACAGATTTCGATGTCACTTTCGAACTTTCAGATAAACATCAAACAATAAAATTAGAACTAGAACCCAACCATGATATCCTAGCCGATGATGCATACGTGCAGTATCTTGACGCGGAAGGAAACATCCATCGTGAGGAGCCCATCCAACGACATGAACACAAGGTTTTCAAAGGGCAATCTCTGCTGAGGAGAGACAATGGTCTGTGGAAGCCCGTGGGATGGGCAAGGATTTATGTCCAACGGGACGGTTCCCAACCCCTGTTCGAAGGAGTTTTCAGTGTCGATAATGACAACCATCACGTTGAACTCAAGTCAACTTACTTGCAGAAGAAGCGCGTCGAGGACGCCAGTATTCCCGACCGAAAGGACGAATATATGGTTGTCTATCGTGACTCCGATATGATTCGACAGGTCCGCAATGAGTTGAAGCGTTCTTTGATCAGCTCGTCGTCCTGCCAGGCCGACAAGCTCGGTTTCAACAGTGACCCGCAGCATCCGATCTTCCGCTCTGAGTTTCAAGACATGGACTTGGGTATGACCAGCTATGGTTCCATGTCGCTGAACTCATTGTTTGGTCTCAGCAAACGACAGTCGGATATTGGCGGTGTTTCAGGAAATGCGGGTGGTGTTAATCTGGCTCAAACCATCGGTAGCACATCCGGGTGTCCCAAGACCAAACAAGTGGCCTTGGTCGGCATTGCGGCAGATTGTTCCTTCAGGGCTTCGTTCGACAACGACGACGCTGCCAAGCAATGGATCATTAACGTGGTCAACAGTGCCTCGGACGTCTATGAAAAGTCGTTCAATATTTCCATCGGCCTGCGAAATCTCACCATGACCGACAAGACGTGTCCTGAGACTGCGCCGGCTTCAACACAGTGGAACATGCCATGTGATCAAAGCAACATCACTCAGCGACTCAATCTTTTCTCCCAGTGGCGTGGACAACAGAGCGATGGCAATGCCTATTGGACGCTCATGAGCAATTGCCCTACCGGCAGCGAGGTGGGTTTGGCATGGCTTGGACAACTCTGTAATGCGGAAGTTACCGGTGATGGCAGCAACTCGGTATCCGGGACCAACGTTGTGGTCCGCGTGTCGGGTGGTGGATGGCAGGTCTTTGCACATGAGTCGGGCCACACCTTCGGAGCGGTGCATGACTGCGACAGTATGACCTGCGCGCAGAACTTGGAGGCGTCCTCTCAATGCTGTCCGTACAACAGGGGAACTTGTGATGCCAATGGAAAGTACATCATGAACCCGAGTACAGGAGCGGATATTACCGCGTTCTCACCATGCACAATTGGAAACATTTGCTCTGCGTTAGGTCGCAACAGTGTCAAGTCCAGCTGTCTGTCTGATAATCGCAACGTCGTCACCTACACCGGCAGCCAATGCGGCAACGGTATTGTTGAAGCCGGCGAAGACTGTGATTGCGGCGGCGAGTCATCCTGCGGCAACAACCCCTGCTGCGACGCCAAAACCTGCAAGTTCAAGAATGGAGCCGTGTGCGATGATGCCAACGACAGCTGCTGCTCGCAGTGTCAATTCTCTGCCGCCGGAACCGTCTGCCGAGCTAGTCTCGGGGAATGTGATCTGCAAGAGACGTGTACTGGGAATTCGAGCACCTGTCCTGCGGATTCGTTCAAGAAGGACGGAGAACAATGTGGCAATATCTCTGGCCTGACCTGCGCCAGTGGCCAATGCACCAGCCGTGACTATCAATGCCGGGCCGTTATGGGAAGTTTGATCCACGACAATAACACCTACGCTTGCCCGCAATTCGATTCGTCATGCGAATTGATCTGTACATCCCCTTCCCTGGGTTCATGCTTCAGTATAAACCAGAACTTCCTCGATGGAACCCCCTGCGGTAGCGGGGGTTACTGCCACAACGGGCGGTGCGACGGCTCCAACATTGGATCCTGGATCGAGGAACACAAGAATATCGTCATTGGCGTCGCATGCGGTGTTGGTGGCTTACTTGTCCTCTCCATCCTCTGGTGTATGATCAACCGCTGTCGCCGGCCACGAACAGTCGTCAAACGGCCACCGATGCGGCCCTGGCCGGGCCCTATGCCACCACCGCCACCTCAAATGGGACAGTGGGCCGGGCCTAATAGAGGGTACCAAGGGCTCCGGGCTGAGCCGCCACCCCGTATCCCGGACCGTACCAGCCAGCAACACGATATGCCTGATCTTTTCCTTCTTACCGTCACGGTCCACGCGGGATTGATTTCCGCAACACTTGCATAACACTATCATTTATATCCGGTTGTATATGTTTTGGAGTTAGAGAGTCTTTACTTATGGTCTGGGTTAAGGCATTTGGAATCCTAGGCTCTGGTGTTTTTTTGCGGGCGTATCAGATGTCAGACCTGTTTCACACATCTGATTTCATAGTTAGCTTTGGTTGGCATTACTTGCATATAGCTGCACTTTTCTAAGAGAATTATTAACCGCATTGCGGGCAGATGCAGTTGGCCCTAAATGTGTATGGATGTCATGAACACCTTCCCAAACATGCAAATATGCTACCTTGGTCCATGGTGGCTTCATCTACAGCCGAAATAAGTCACTACCATCCTCCTCGCTACTGCATGTATTTCGTTGATATGAGGGGATTTTCACAATTCCTGTTTCTTCTGGGTCTGTCCATCTGCAATTCTCTCACACATAGAATGAGCATCAACCTAAGCTCGCGACCTTTCCATAACTAGTACGTAGCTTGCATATGCTACATTCTAAGTTCACCCTCTATCTCTTCGTCTTTCGTCTCTTTCTCTCACCGCAACCCTTTGAGGGCTTCTACGTTCCCCCACTCCGCGGCCAGGTGCAACGGTCTCGCCTACCAACTATTCTCTGTCTCGGTCTTGCTGCCGTGCTCCAACAGCAAGCGAATTACTGCTGGTGTTCCTGTTGGATTGCCAGCGGCATAGTGCAAAGGAGATGCAGCGTCTCCGTCAACAGCATTGACGTCCGCGCGCCGAGTTCGATCAGCCTCCGCGTTACGGCTTCATCCGGTCCCAACGCAGCAGCATGGAGTGCCGTTGTCGGCGTGGCGTATATGGCACCGTTTAGTGAATGAGGAGCATAGTCGGTGGTGTACACGGGGACTCTAGCAGAGATGTCGGCCCCGAGGGCGCGGACAAGCTAATCCAGAAGGTCGACCTGTTCATACCGAGTAGCAACCATCACCAGGCGAGCCTTCAATGCACTGTCCATTTCGATATGTTTATGCTGCATGAATGTTCTGGATCTTGTGGATTGTCCCCCTACGCCCGTTTTTGGCAGGCCAGAGAAGGACGGGCATGGGGTCGATCACAGCGCGGGCTTGGAGAAGTGGGTCGAAGAAGTGTGCGAAGTCGCGAGATGTTCGAGCCAGAGAGTTGAGGTCTCTGGGCCCGCAAGTGATTAGAAATGAGAAGGGTCAAATCTGGGGGAAGATTCAGTAAACACATTGTGTCTGAGGAGGTGATGCGAGGTTAGGTGAGGACGAAGTGTCGAAGTATATCGCAGTAGAAGAGTATGAAGGTATGTAATCTCTGATTCCATAGACAGCACTGTGAGATTCACCGAATACTTGACTAATCCATTGTACTGTTTTGGCAATTGCATACAACTGGTGTGAATAATAGAACCTTCTGTCGATATGTCGGACTATCAGAAGTTCCTCAAATTCTTCAAACGGAGATTGCCTGGCTGCAATTTTCTTCTTCGAGAAGGGCCGAGTCATCTAGCTAAATACATTCATGCAAGCTGTCTTTGGTGAGACCATATACCTGGCCCCAAGCGAGCTCGACCCTGTCAAGATCGATGCCCTCCCGCAGGTGCATGCAACAGTGCCGACCAACGAGCCCCGAAACTTGATAGACAAGGATATCATCCCCGCCTGCAGAGAGGTACATGGGTACATGTCCTCAGTCCTCTCCTCATCGATCTGGCATTCAATCTTCGCGACGGACAGACTTCTATGCGGACAAGGATGCTGCACAATACAGAAACGGATCACTCAGTAGAAGCTATACCTCATCGTTGGTACGGCGATCACCTAAAAGCCTTTCCAGCTCGCGTCCTAGCTCAGGACCCGTCAGAGCACCCGCTTTTCTCGGTATTTCCCGTACCGACACGGACGCTGCGAGATCAAGGGGAGTATCAGCGTTGTAATCAATGGCAAATATATCAGCCCCCTTATCAACAAGCAGCTGGACGGCCTCGTGGTTTCCAGACTCTGCTGCAAGGTGTAAAGCTGTGCAGCCCTCGTCATCAGTTGCGCTAATATTTGCTCCGTGATTCAAAACCAGTCTTATGGCCTCGGTGTTTCCATCAATACTAGCCCAGAGCAAGGGAGTCTGCCGTCGATCGGGCTCGACGGCTTCTGTCTGTGCCCCGTGTCCCAAAAGCAACCGTAGGATGGCTATGGAGTTCGCACCGGACTCTAATTCTTCGTCCGTATCCCAGGCCTCACCTGCGGAGGCGTCTTCGCGGCCCGGTTTCCAAACAGCGTAATGCAGCGGGGATAGGCCCCCAGTATCAAGCGCGTTCACGTCGGCCCCTAGCTCAATCAACTTTTGTGTAGTGACTGTGTTCCCTTGTTCAGCGGCTTCATGCAATGCTGTCCTTGGCAATAGCGAATATTCATGAGTTACCATGGCAGAGAGGTTGGCGCCAACGGTGCGAACGAGATATTCAAGTAGGTCAACCCGACTATGCGAGACGGCAGTCATGAGCATGCTATCTTTTATGTGGGCAGGGATATTGGTGCGGCTGTGCTCGGCGCGTTCAAGGACCTTGCTGATTATTGCCTCGTCTCCTCTGGCAGCAGCCCACTGGAGTATCTCCAGCTTGGGGTCGGAAAGGCCACGATCTAAGAGACGAAGGCCCAGTAGGTTCGCGAAGGAGCTGGCGGTCTTGACTAGGGCATTTAGGTCTTTTGGTTTGAGGAAGTCCCCAATGAGAATGATCAATTCACAAGGGAGGTTTGTTAGAAACATGTTGGCTGAGGCCTGAGGGTAAGATGTGTTGATGACAGATGATGAAAAGCTTGCTCGAGTTTTCCGAATACAATTTTGAACAGATAGGAAATGCGTAGTACTGGCACTGTTGTTTGAGTGAATAGCATGGCCCAAGTGATGGAGCGTCTGTCGTCTACAGTGAATAGTCTCCTCCTACTCCTCCTCCTCCCACCACCATCACCAGCACGCTACAGCGTTGCACTGGGCAGTAAAAAAAGGGGAAAAAGCTGTTGTTCACAAGTTGATCGAACTTGGGGCAGACGTCAACGCTCTCGACGAGCATCGACACTCTGTTTTACATTTTGCCGTCTCACTGGACCACTACAACCAGCCTGCATCAATGCGCATCATTAAGTTGTTACTGGACAATGGAGCAATGACCGAGAGCAGAAACCTGTCTGGAAAGACGCCGTTACACAAGGGCCGCGCTAGACCCCAGCACAGCGGCCCTGGAACTGCTGCTGGAATATGGAGCCGATATCATGGCTCGAGATAACCAGGGCATGACAGCCCTTCATTACGCAGTTAGGCTGTCTGACTTCCAGTCGATTGTCCTTCTCTTTGAAAGGGGAAGTGATATAGACGCCACCAACAACGTTGGGCTTTCAGCTTAGGCGGTTGGCGTGGCTGGGTTGTAATGAACGATATTTGTGTGTACCTTGAATCCCATGGTGATGCGCAGGATGATACGGAAGACTAGCCCTCCCATCTCTCACTCCTTCCCCGTACTAAACAATTGGCTATGGGTGCACCGTATAGCGAAGGGAAGGAGATGAGAGGAATGGCACAGAAGGGTCATCGAGCTAGGAGCAGATGTCAATGCTCTTAGGTAATGGTGGCGGATGTATTGCATTACGCCGTGATTCGGACTGATTGACTAACGCTAATATTGAAGCTCGTTTAACCAAACGACCCCTTGGCACTTGGGCAGCGAGTGACGAGTACGTCTGACAGGAAGCTACTTCTGGCCCACGGCCGGAGCTCGAGGCGTGCATTCGTTGCGGGATATGGGGCATTGCATACACTGGTCTGGCTAACCGAGTGGCATTGGTGTAAACCTCTTGTCTAATATAATTTCGGAGACCTCGTTGGATCCGGTTAAATTCAAGAACGCGACACGCCCATCGATTGTCTCCTTGAAGAACGGGGCTGGATCTGATGACGAGAGCACGGATGACAGGAAAATGTTCCATTACTCAAAAAGCACCAGTCCACGCATGACAGAAGAAGCATATACAAGCAGATAGCAGCGCAAACATCATTGCCAGCAGATACTCACAAACGCATCCCTCGTAACACCACCCACCCCTTCCAAATCAAACTCCTCAATCATCGCCCGTAGCTCCTCCTCCTCCAACCCCGTCTCCCCAGCTCCCTCGCAACCCGCCGCAAATCCTCAAGATCAATGTACCCCTTCCCACCCTCGTCAAACAGCTCAAACGCCCGGAGGATCTCGTCCCGCGGATCCCGCTCCAGAATCTTAACGGCCGTCACGGCCTGAAAGGCCGACAGCGGCATGAGGAGGTTGGAAGGATGCTGGGGGTTTGTGGCCGGCGTCGCCTTCGACTGCGCCTGATGCTGCGCTGCCTGTGCCGCGGATTGCTGTTGTACTTGGGGCCGGGGGACGCCGTAAGTCGTGAGGAGGGAAATGAGTTCTTGTTTCGAAAGCGTGAAGCCGAGAGCGCGGAACGCGACGCGGAGTTCATGGTAATCTAGATGGCGGTCTCGGTCGAGATCGAAGAGCGTAAACTATCCACCACATCATATCATATTAGCTGGATCCTCAAGAAAAACATTCCCATACCCATATGCCTTGGTTCCGTCCGGAACACCGTCGCGGTAACCAGGCACAGGCACCGGCCGAAACGTATCAGATCCCTTACAGCTTCATTAATCTCCTCCCTCTGCTCCTCCGTCAACCGATTCAACGGATTCGAGTCCTGCGAGGGACCATGTGTCTGCGAATGCACGGGAGGTTGAGGCGCTGCCTGCTGCGTTGATTTCGCGGCCTCTGCGCCAAATTCGCCGGGGCCTGTCGCTCCCAGCCCGCGATGCCGAGAGAAGGACGACGCGCTGAAAGGGATCGCATTTGCGTTCACCGATCGATCGGGTAATTTGCCGCCTCCGTATGAGCGAGATCCGAACGGTTGGTGGGCCGATGAGGCCATGATGGCTGTTTGTTCCTGAAAGCGTGTCGCCAGGACACGGGCCGGTAGAGAAGAAGTTTTGCGCTGGTAGAAGGGAGAGTAGACTAGGAAGATATTAGACAGTAATTTTCGAGGCTATGGAAATCAGACAATGCTGTGGTGTTCTAATTGTGGGGTTTTGTTTCGTCTTTGTCTGCGGAGAAACGCGCTGGAAGCAGTCGCAGCGGCCAGACGCGAAGCGGTGGACAAAGCTTGTTGTTGTTCCTTGGGCGATCATACAACAGAATGTTAGGTATCAAAATGGTCGTTGCACGTCACTGGAGAATTATTCTAATTTATATTACTACTAGCACAGAGAATTGCAATCGCTTCAATCCAGTGGTATTGGTTCCAAAACTATCTTTGTCCTTTGGTATCGTGTAGCAAGGTTATGTCACATGTAACAAGATCCGCCCAGGTCCTCGTTTCAGGAAGCCAACTGGGTTGCAAAAAAAATTGTAGAGATCATAACACAATAGCCAACTGATTTTCCTGCAAGGAATCCATAGAGCAGAGCCAAAATACATTTGTTTCAAGATTTCGGTGTTCATATCGCTGCTGGGTTGTCCTGTGTGGGCGAATTCTGGCAGCAAAATGGTGATATTGGAGCGAAAACTTGAGCCGATGGCAGCTAATAGCTTCCAATCATACTAGAGTCAGCCGAATTGACTAACGTCGTTCCACCCCAGGAGTCGGTCGGGGAAGGGGTAGACCAGTCACCCAGCAGCGTGTTTCTTCCAAATGCGTCAGAGTCGGTGAGGCTTTCGTCGAAGGGATAAATCTGTGATAATTCTGCTTCCAAATTCTCCCAGTCGTCCGCACCGTCCGTCATCTGCGAGAGATCTTGAGGCTGGCTTTCGAGGAAAGGTGCGGCAAGAGTTGGAGACTCGAAACTCTCGTTAAGAAGAAACTCAGCATCGTATGAGACATCCGAAGACTGATAGGTTTGTCTGTGAATGTCTGTGGATGGTAGATTCTGATCAAAAGGGCGCGAACAGATTGCGACGTTGAAGTATTGACAGCAGGAGACTGGCGGGATATGTTGCTCAAAGGACACCTTCTTCTCGGCCTCCAGTTTTTCTTTCTCCAGCTTCGACCCGAATACGTGCGGGATCTTCTCCTTCACACAATAGATGTTGGAGAGTACCATGTTTGAGCGAATTTTAACATCAGCAAATATGCCAGCCATTGGCTGTGGCAGTTCGAAGCTGGAAAGGGCTTCCAGGACTCGGTGGTAGAGGCCGACAGCCACCCAAACTGGGTTGACGCAGCTTGCACCGCTGCAGTCATTCTTCATGCCAGCAGGCTCCCCGTCGTAGTCTGATTTCTGTTTGATTAAGCTGTAGGCTTCGGAACCCAGCTCGTCTGACAATTCGCAGAGACCTCGTAGGCAGAGAGCCAGCACGTAGAACATCACGATCCTTGTTTGTTCTAAATCAGTCGCTCGCACGTATACCTGCGTCTTGAAAAGGCATAGAATCGCCGAGAGCAGCTTGTGCATGGTCACAGCAGTCTGCACAAGAGAGCTGCCAGGGAATTGCGTCTCAAATTTATCCATCTCTTTAGACTGAACGCACTTCAGGAGCTTAAGAATTAGCTGTTGGCTCAAACCGCTGGAAGTGTTCATATTTGTAGCGTCGAGGTCAGCCGCATGCATGACCCAGTAATCTATCACTTCGCCGTTGCATTGACAGAAGCTGACCACAGCCTGGGAAGACGCACATTGAGATATCTTTTGTAGAGAAGAAAAGATATCTTCAGGTTTTGGCGTTTGGAACGAAGTACTGTCTTGGTGCATGTCCTGACAGGGAAGCAAGGACAGCTCTGCAGGTCTTCTGATGCACTTGGATTTGCTGTCTTGGCAACGAGGACAAGGAAGTTGCGGTTCGCAGGTTTTCTTCATGCGGTAACACCAGAGGCAAACGCCTCCCATTTCCTTGAGCTTCTTATTTTTCTCTCTTCTCTCGTCTGATTCCTCTTTGGTCTGTACTCGCGACTCGCGATGACGAGCTGGCCTTATTCCGTCCTCCATCACAAATGTAAACCCGGAGACATTGTCAGGAGATCGACGCTGCTGGAGTGACCGGGCTGGAGGAAGACAGTGGACCCCCGAAAGGTTCATGGAGCCTTGGGATGTGACTAGTTCGGTTAATATATGTACAAATAACGTGGGAAAGAGTCACTTACAGTCGGAAGGAATCCGATCGGCCGATGATGCGAAGTCATATACATGATGCTCAACCGGTGACACTGTGCGAGTTCCGAGGGTATCGTACGGCCAGGCGGATAACTGATGTTCCAAATTCACATTCGACGGTGGTGGATTCGGCGTTTGAATCGGTGTACCATAAGGGACTGACACTGGAGCGATGACGGGCCCGGGAGAAGGAAAACAGTTGAAGCCTTGGGAGAAGTTCACTGGATGGGCATTGGTAAGGTTTACCATGCCGTTTGGGAAAGTGTGGTGGTTTACCATGAGTTCAGTGGTAGGGCCGCGCGCGAACGGAGAGTCCATTTCAGCAACAGGAAAATGCTGTACACGATTATGATGTACATGCTGTAGTGACTGTACTTGTAGTAAATTGAAGCAGTGAGATGATGGGGTATCGTATGTAGCTTGGTGATGGATCATAGCTTCGTGTGATGATGACGCAGGACTCTCCATAGTGGGCTGGGGGCGAGTTAGTAAATACTGACTGAAAAGGTTCAGATATCTGAGCAGCGAGAAGAAGAAATGAGACATCCTCAAGCCTGGAACAGGGTTAACTTACACCTCCATTTGGAAGTTCTCTGCTCTGATGTCGAGGGTCAAAAGATGTTTGAAACGATCCAAACTGCGAAGGAAGGAAGGGAAGATCCGAGTTTGGAATATAAGACATAGTATCGGATTCTATTACTTTACGTGCGTAGTAAAGACGATCGAAATCAAAAAGATAGTGTATAGGTAGATTCAAGGCGGTCTCAAAGAGGTTCGATAAGTAACGAAAGACGTAAGAAGAGAGATGGTGGATGATGAGTTCAGGAGACACTGTCTGAAGAGGTCGAGGTGTGTTGTCGTCGAAGTATGACGAGAAGGTAGGAGTCACAGTAGACCCAAAGTTAGGGCAAGGCCAGCATGACGACAACAAACCTTCCACCAAGCAACCACCATCCTTCAGCAGTCTGCAAGCAAGAGCGACAGCAAGCAAGACGGACAAGGCTGAGTGCTCAGTACATGAGCAGAACAGCGACTGCTCTCTGGTTGAACCATCAAAGCCAAATAAGACCAATTCCTGGCAGTGTCTGCGCTGGAGTCGACTGGACACAACTGGGATTGCAGCCTAAGGCAGAAAGCACTTCTCGACAAAAAAGCTGTAGGTCTTCTGACCTTCCCGTCGTTGATTATTTACCTATAGCATCATCAGTTGTTCATGGGAAGAATGGCAATGTTTAAACCAACTCAATATCCGTTGGGGAGAGTAGATGACCCTGCCAAGAAGTGAAGTCGGAAATCGCCCATTAGCTGTCCCCTAGGTTGCGATTGAAGAGGAACTGCTACTTGATCAAATTCGCTTCTTGATTCATACAGGAAGCGATGTAATCACTTCAAGGCTCCAGATGTTGTTCATCCCGAGCTATAAGATCAGGGTCAATCTTAGTGCCCAGATCTCGGTCTTCAAGAAATTTCCGGCCAAGTAGTTTCTCTGGAAGGTAATCTTGCACTACCTGACCATCGAGGTAATTCGGGTTGTACTTGTACTCTTTCCCATACCCCAACTCCTTCATGAATCGAGTGGGGGCGTTTCTCAGATGGATCGGTACTGGCAAGCCCGCAACCCCCGGCTCCCCCAACGCTGCAAAAGTATTGTTCAAGCCGCGATACGCTCGAGTACTCTTTTTAGAGAGCGCCATGGCTACTGTAGCATGTGCGAGATTGATGCGTGCTTCTGGAAGGCCGATCTTTTCGACGGCCGAGTGAGTAGCAACAGCAAGTGGCAGCATACTGTTGTCTGCCAAGCCGATATCTTCTGAAGCCACAACAACTAGGCGACGTGCAATATACAAAGGGTCTTCGCCAGATTGCAGCATGCGTGCGAGGTAGTATAGAGCAGCATCTGGGTCACTGCCCCTGATCGATTTGTGGAAGGCCGAGATTGTGTCATAATGTTGATCCCCTGCGCGGTCGTACACCAAAGTCTTGGTAAGCGATCGCTTCAATTCTTCTTTGGTCATGCCGGGACGTCCCGACAAGTCCATAGCCAGCTCCAAAAGGTTGAGGGATGTTCGAGCGTCTCCGTCAGAAAAGCGAGCAAGGTATTCAATCAACTCATCATCTACGATTGAGGACGGTGAATAGTTGGGACCCTCCACTCTCAAAGCTCGGTCAAGGATAGATTTGACGTCCTCATCGCTCAGTTTTGACAATGTGAAGGTCCTGCATCTGGAAAGGAGAGCGCTCTGGACTTTGAAAGACGGATTCTCGGTCGTGGCGCCAATGAGTGTGATTTGCCCACTTTCTACAGGGCCTAAGAAAACATCCTGCTGTGACTTGGAGAAGCGATGGATCTCATCGCAGAACACTATCGTCTTCCTTCCAGTCAGACCGAGCTCGCTTCTGGCTTCTGCGAATATCTTTTTGCATTCCGCGACCCCGGTACTGGTACTGTTGATTTCCACGAATCTGCTCCCTACCATCGACGCGATGACTCTTGCAATGGTTGTTTTACCCGTCCCCGCATGCCCCAGAGAATCATACTCGGGACTCGATCTTGTTCAATTAGTCCGCGGAGTACACCATTCGGCCCAACGAGCTCCTGGCCACAGACTTCATCGAGAGTCCGGGGCCGCATACGCTCAGCCAAAGGTGCTGCTTTCTGAAGCGCGTTCACCTTCGGCTTTTTCGGATTAGGCTCTCTTTGCACTTCATCTTGATCCGGCTTGTTCCCGTTCAAGACAGACTCCTTCTCGTGTGTAATCGTTCGTTTCCCGTTGACGGGTCGTAGCGGTGAAGGTGCGGACGGGGAATCACTTTGCGGTATGCTTTGGGAGGCGGCCTTTCGGGCAGAGGTCGGCTGAAAGAAGCTAGGTACTGGAGTCTTCTGAGAAGATCCTGGCTCCCCCGTGCTCGATGTCGGCTCCTCAATGTAGTTCTCACAATTGGAGTCGATATGGTCGTTGATCTTTAGGGACGGAACGGATTTCCCGCAAATGGGACAGGAAACCATGATGACTGGCCCATAAGCGATGACTACTTTTGAATGGGTGATCAATCAGACAAATTTCGTGGAGGCACCATGAAGAATGAATGAGAATCACTGCATCCTGGCCCTAACTAACCATTCAGTGTTTGACGCGTGAAACGCGTCTGGGCACCTACGCTGGACTGTGTTTAGTAATCCGGGCTTCTTGAAATGACGCACATTTACAGCCTTAGTGCCTGACAATGTTGCTTCTTTGAGGATATAGAAGAGCAACACTGAAGAGAAATGAAGCACAGCAGAAATTATAAGCAGCCAGTAAAAGCCTCATGTCAATCCTGCCCAGAACAGTCATCTACGGATAATCATACTTTAGTCTTGTGGCACAATGCCCTTAAAGAATGTAACCTCCGATTGAAGGCGGAGCACGCAATTGTGCTAATCGGCAATCACCGCCCATGGATGTAGTCAGAAATGCCCCATACTGCCCCCCCCCTCGACCAGGAACCCACTGTTCTTATTTATTTGTAGGCTGGCAGTCATAATCTCCTCCTTGTCCATATGTTCCTTTCTTCTCGTAGTCCTGCCTCGTTAGCAGTCCTTCACAGTTTCAGAAGCGCATCATCATTATCAGTATCCGCATTCAAAGCTGTACCTCCCCGCCTTCATAGCCGAACAGTGAGAGCGATGTCGGCGACAGCAGCGAGACCAGATCCATTTCGTCCGGCGAAGAGAGTTGCGGGCCAGAGGCAGGATGTCTGGTGCGTATACCTTTTGCGGCACTTTGGACCAGAGTGGAACTATATCCTAATGGTGCAACAGGTCAATTGTCAACGAAGCCGCTGCCGCTTCGCCGGTCCAGCCGATTGTGAACATGGGTCAAGGCTTCTTGTGAGTGACACTTCATTCGGAGGAGTAGGGACGAAAAACTGATAAAAATTTATATAACAGCGGCTACAACCCTCCTCAATTCGCTCTTGATGCAGCCAAGGAAGCTCTCGACCGGGTCGAGTGCAACCAGTATTCGCCCACGAAGGTACAGCACTGCGATTCAGCGAACTGGCAATTGGCTTTCGGCTTATAATGCGATACAGGGCCGTCCCCGACTTAAGAAGGCCATTGCCGACGCATACTCTTCCTCCTTCGGACGAACCATAAACCCGGATACGGAAGTTTCCATCACCACCGGCGCAAATGAAGGTTGGGCGCAATAAGACATCTGTTTGGATGTGCTTGCTGACAGCGGACCAGGAATGTTGAGTGCTTTCATGGGATTCATTGAACCCGGAGACGAGGTCATCATCTTCGAGCCCTTCTTTGACCAGTAGGGAACCTTGACCCTGTGCCTCCGATCTCTCTAACGCGCTGTATAGATACATCAGCAACATCGAGATGCCTGGCGGTACAATTCGATATGTCCCCCTTCATCCTCCCAGGGACGGTGCGACAAGGACTTCGCCTGCGTCTGAATGGACGATAGACTTCGAGGAACTGGAGAGGACGATCAATTCGAAGACAAAGATGATTGTAAGGAGTATCATTCTTCCTTATTGAGACAATAGCTAACTCGCTCTGTAGGTCTTGAACTCACCGTGAGTGAGCCAGATCAATTGCATTCGTATGAAGCTGACAACCGCATCAGACACAACCCAGTCGGAAAAGTCTTCTCGTGCGACGAACTTGAACGCATTGGTCAGCTATGTGTGAAGCACAATCTTATTATCCTCTCCGACGAGGTGTATGATCGCCTCTACTACGTCCCTTTTACTAGAATTGCTACCTTGTCCCCAGAGCTCTGGGAGCGTACTCTCACGGTTGGCTCCGCCGGCAAGGCCTTCTACGCTACTGGCTGGCGTGTAGGATACCTCATCGGACCGGAGCATCTCATCAAGTATGTCGCCGCTGCACACACGCGTATTTGCTACAGCAGTGTATCTCCCCTTCAGGAAGCCGCCGCCGTGGCTTTCGAGCAGGCGGACAAGGTCGGATTCTGGGACCAGAGCCGGACGGAAATGAAGCAGAAAATGGAACGCTTCTGCGAAATATTTGATGAGCTCAACATTCCCGTGAGTCTATTGCAGATGGTCCAAGAGAGCTACCGTTACTGATTACTACTAGTACTCTGATCCTGAGGGTGGCTACTTCGTCCTTGCAAACATGTCTTCCGTCAAACTCCCGGAAGATTACCCATTCCCTCCCCATGTCGCCAGCCGTCCTCGTGATTTCAAACTTTGTTGGTTCCTGATCCACGAAGTTGGGGTGGCAGCCATCCCCCCGACGGAATTCTATACCGATACGAATGCCCACATCGCCGAAGACTACCTTCGCTTCGCCGTCTGTAAAAACGATGATGTCTTAGAGACAGCGAAGGAGAGGCTCCGCGGTCTGAAGAAATACATCTCGAAGTAAGAACGCTCAGAATTCGGTGGATTCTTCGGTGAAATGCGCTGCGAACGACGGATGGACATTCCCCGGGCTTTGTGTGCGCAGAACTTGCGTCGCGTTTATAGGGGCTGCAATGAAGCTTTCTGGCAGGCCGCGGAGGACTTGAAAATCTAGATTAGCGGGTTTTCGTTCTGTCTATTGTATCTCAGATATCTCAGCGTCTTGTTGTTCTTGCTTCAGGACATGTCAATCTAGCCTTTGAAGAACATATTGGCATCATCATTGCATATCATTTCTGCAGATCGCTCTGAGGCTTTCGGCTGGGGAAAAGAGGTAATATGGCGGAGTATTCATTATGCTCATAGTGGAAGGAACTGACCAGAGATGACTATCTACTCTTACATCCAGATTCCTATGTACTCTCACAGACCACCATAACCAAACCCTGGAGCGACTATCTTCAAGGTGAAAATCGCCAAGACAAATCACGACAGTCTTTAGTCGTCAGAGAGACCTTCAAGCATTGATGCCTTCGATTTCCATAGGTCCAGTTTCAGCACCGTCCCATCCTTCTCCGCGCTGAAATACCCTTCTATCTTCCTCCGCCACGGCCTCGAAGCCCTCCCCTCTCATGCGCGCATGCACGTCCGTCACATCAGGATGAGTCGTTCTTGCAGCCCGCAAGATCCAAAAAGATTCTTCTAAATGATCGACAGTCTGGCGATGACCATTTCCTCCAACCGAACCGAGAAGACGACGATATTCACCGCGGCAGACGGCATCCGGGCAGTGGCGACGATTGCTACCGGTCCAGTCGGTCTCGCAAGCGTGTCTCTCACCGGTGATATCTGGCAGTATGTTGATTGCGAATTCAGAGTGGATCTGATACTTGAGCATGTTCTCGACCTCGGGGGACCATATCTCCTTAGACCGCAGATCGTCCCTGATTAGTCGGTACATGTAATCGACCAGTTCGTGGACTTCGATAGTCACTGTGATGAAGCTTCGATTAGCAGGCAATCCCAGTGGCGCGCGTGGTTGATGATCATGACTCACTGAAAAGACATGATGCGAGGATGCGTCGGAATCTATCCTTCTTCTCCCGATCCTCGAACTTGATTGTGTAGAGGACCCGATGGGAACACCTCATCTCGAGATTGTTTTCGGGAAAGCCTGCTTGCGCCCAATCTGCATAGTCTGAGAAGACGAAATAATCTCCTTCACGAATATTGACGTTGAAGTACACGGCCTGGCGATGACGCTCTGGGGTATCATAGGGATGAAGGCAGGGCACCAATGGTGGGCCATCTCGCACGTCTCGAGGAACTGAGTTCTCGCGACAGGGCTTTGTGAAGGTCATTTGTCCGCAGTAGATCCAGTGCCATTTGATATCCTGGAGAAGATGCTCTTTACAGCAATAACGAACTTCGGAAAATGGTCCACACTTAGGGCAGATGACAGTCCTTCCGTCCCAGAGATTGCATCGCTTGTCGCAGCTGCGTTTTGCGCACGGAAATCCATGGCTACTGAGTTGCCAAAAGAAAGCTTCTGGTCTCTGACTGGAGACGTTTCCGTGAGCCTCGGGTGTGGAGAGCGTTGAAACGTCACTGGCTGCCGGGGGCGACGGATGAGAGTGACTGTTGCTGAAATGAGGTGATTCGTGGTCTTCAAAATAAGGGGTCTGCAGCGAGCTCTGCTCAATGTCAAGGTTAGTAACGCTTGAAAAGTCCTTCTCTGACCCCGGCTTGCCCGGGACGTTTTCGTCGGCCGTCAATATCGTGCTTACAGCCTTAGATGGAGAGGCGTCTCGAACCAGCGTTCTGGCTAATAGGATTTCGCTTCTCACTGTGGAAGTAGACGCATCGGTGCTCAGGGAATCCTGTGTAGCTTCGCTTGTGGCTTCTTCTATGGGAGGCAGCCTTTTCTTTGCTGAATTCGCGGGTCTGCGACTGTCTTTGTTGGCACCAGGATGTTGAGAGGATGGCACAGGAAAAGCTTCTCCACCCGAGATCACTTTGTCATGCAGTGAAGTAACACTGCTACCAGAATTTTCTCCCAGGTTAAGCATGAGACTCGAAGGCTTTTCGACAGTGCCGGGGCCCGGCTGCAGGTCTGCGTCACCTTTTTGAAATTCACTTTGGGATGGAGCGCAGTCTGCAGAAGTCGAATTGCTCTGAGACATAGCAGGGTCAGGCGGTTCTGGCGATCTCATCTGCTGGTTGTCCTTCTCGCCCTGGGCTTGAATGTACGAGTCCACATTGGGTCTGACATGAGGTGTCTGGCGCATGTGTGTCTGGTTTCCATTGCCAGAGGGGCCTTCGCCCACAGATTCTTGGTTGTTCCCGCCCCTATTCCTGTTCCTGGTCTTTTTCTTCTTCTTTCGCGACGTTGGTACTGGCTGCATGGTGATAACTGAGCTGGGATTTGACTCTGCAGAATGCGCACTGGACGAGTGAAAACGGTCGCTGAATGGGCTGAAGGTGTCCCCAGAGGAGAGGGACTCTGTTGGAGACAAGCGAGTGATGGTTCTTGCGCGTATCAAGTTAATTGCAGATAAGCGAGTAATGAGCTGCTCTGGGCTGATATTCTGCCTTTCTTCCACTTCTTTGCATTAGTTAGCGATGCGTTTACCTGCGGTTGAGAGACATCTGGAGAACTAGGTGGAAAGAAAGTGAATGCTAGCCCACTTACCCACGTCACTGGTCTCAGTTGGAGAATGACTTTTACTCATCTTCACTGGGGAGGTGGGTGAGTTTGTCTCTTTGTCACTCTCCAAGCTATTGCCAATGAGACAGGTGGAGTGGTACATCAGCATGTAGTTTGCTAGGTGTTTGACACTCAGTTCCAGGCTGCTCAGGTTCAGTGGATCAGAGAGGCTTCTAGGGCGTTGGTGACTGAGGCCCTCTGCATCATCGTGGGCGAACACTCTGTTGCCTCGAAAACCCAGCCCTCTATGTCCTCGGTTGCCATCCTATTTCCGCGGGCTCCTGGGGGACACAGAGAGCTCCCTCAGGACGTGATATCATGGCGCGTTACCTGCTTTTTTACTCAGCGCTGGTAAAATTCAGCGTAAATCTGATGGGATATTGATATTTCTCTCAGTCTTGACAGCGCGTTGACCTCTGGTATCTCAACAAAAAATCTATGAATCCTTTCTCCTTGTAGAGCGGATGCTCTTCCTAAAGAGGGTCTCTGAAGGAGCAAAAGAGATGAAAGAGTCTACCAGAGAAAGGGTCCGTGTTCTTGTTCACTAAAATCGCCATGGCGATGGTGACCAACTGATTTTCCGGTAGAGTCTGTCTGAGTCCTACCTTTCTCTCCTGTTTTTGAGTACACATAATAGGTCTGGGGAAAGATTGACTGTTGTGATGAGCTTAGCTGGCGGTAAGTATCTATCATTGTCTTCTTAACAAGTTTTCATGCTCAATAAGTAACCTTCGAGTCCTATAGACAACTGTGACCATAGGAATATACAGATGCAGAGGTTGGATTGTGGATCACAGCGAGCAGCCCTTCTCACGATCAAGCTTCTTGATTCTAAAGGGACAACGTTTATCATCCGAGTGTTAAGGCTCATGTCTCAGATATAGGACAGCGCATATTAGATTTCATGATATGCCTTCATCCCATTCCCATATGTTTATATAAGTCCCAGAGGCCTGGATGCCAACGGATTATCTGGTTGGTCCTAAGCAATTTAGCCAAACCTCGCGTGTCCATAACCCTCTTAATTCCTCCTATAAACTGTGTTATTCTGGTATTGAATGTCTAAGATTTCCTGGTTATACGTGCCTATGATCACGTGGTGGTTGCTTCCTTCAGTCACGCTCGCGAATGCAATTGCTTCATCCTACAACTATCGTCCACCATCTTGAGATTTTTCTTGCGGAACAGCACTTGTTATATATCCAGTAGGAGATATAAATAGCTCTCTCGCAGCATTTGTTTCCGTGTCGGATTACTCGCTCTATCTCTCATATCCAGTCAAATGATAGATGATACCCTAACCCCTGGCAGGCCAGCGGTAAATGGAACAAGAAGCGTCTCTGCAGATGTCAACAGCAAGCGAACAAAGAGCCCTGGTTCTTCTTCCTCACTTAACCCCACTAAGCAGATTTTTATTCATAATATCTAATTGACTGGCTGACGTTTTGCTGCACTACTTGAAGGATTGGTTGAGCGACCTTGGAGCCTAAGCGCCGGCTATATTTGGCCTGCCAGCGCTCTTAAGAAACCACTGAGATGAGCCGCTCAACATCTCGCGCAAGATGAAACGACCCGAGTGCAGAAACCTTAGATCTATGTTGATCTATGGACTAGCAGCTGCTTTTTTCGGTCCTCCTGGTTGTGGTCTGCTCGATGGCAGGCTTCTGAATGGATGTCTCAGATTTCTGCTCAGGTCAGAAGGAGAACATTTCCATTGCAATAGGAAATAGGCAACTTCTTTGCAGATATAAATTCTATTCGCCCCGGTTTTCTATTCATTGTGCTATATTAAGTCATTGTTCCCTTTCCTTTGTTGTTGTCTTGACAAGCGCTACACTTGTACTCTTTGTCGCGACAGCCTCTTTCATTCACCTTTAATAGACTCGAGTATGCGTCATGAGATCTCAATAGACTGATTCATTTTCCTCATTTTGAAGTCCATAGTTGCCGGTCAACATTTTCTTTGATCTTTGCGGATTCCTCTATATTCTCGGCTTCGTCTTCACTTCCTTTCTCTGCACATTCTTTCTGCGACTACGTACCTCAACCAGCGCGCCTATCGCTCAACGTTGTCCTTCATACAGATTTCAGCATGTTATTCTCAAGATCTGGTCGATCGATATTTCCTCTTCTGCCACCTTACGCAGCTCACGCCCCGAATCCGAATCAAGGACATATCATCACATTGCCTCCGGACGGCCTGACACCTTACCTTGGCCTCAGGGCTCGCTTATCGCAAGTATGGATCAATCGATGGACGATCCTGCTGCTTCTTGTGCTCGTCAGAGTCTTGCTGGCTGCTTCAGGTCTGCAGGCAGACATGAGCACAGCGAAACGGGAAGCCCTATCGGCTTGCACGAGCGTCGAATCCATGGGTAGCTCGATGGCTTCTATGCCCCATTATTTATCCCAAGGTGTCAACGAGCTAACGGCAAGCGGAGTCGAGAAGGCTGTGAGCGGGCTCAAATCGATGCTGATGCTTACCATCACTGGTGTCGAAGAATTGGTCCTCTTCATCATCAAAGTGCTGTACCAGACTTATCTGTGTCTTTTCACCCTGGCGGTTAGAGGCAGCGTACATGTTGCAGTGGGCGTGATTGAAGAGGCCGCGGACTTTCTGAATTCCACAGTTAAGGAGGTCGGAGACGACATTGGCAAAGCCGTCAGCACGTTCGAAAGCGCATTCAATAAATTCCTTGATGGCGTGAACACTGTCGCCAGTGCTTTTGGAGCCAGCGTACCAACACTGGATCTCAACAGCTCGATCAGCACGTTGGAGAACCTCCAGCTGCCTTCTTCAATCGATCAAGGGCTTGACAAGCTCAATAGCTCACTTCCGACCTTTGATGAAGTCAACAATTTCACTCAAACAGTATTGCGCACGCCGTTTGAAGAGGTCAAAAAGCTCGTCAATGAATCTCTCGGAGCATACACTTTCGATCGATTTTTGCTACCGGTTCCAGCAAAGGAACAGATGACGTTCTGTGAGGGCAACAACGGCATAAACTCGTTCTTCGACAGCGTGACGGATTTGGTCATGACAGCGCGCAAGATTTTCATCGCTGTTCTCATCGTTGCGGCAACGCTGGCTTGCGTCCCAATGGCATGGCAGGAGATCCGCCGCTGGCGCTCGATGAAGGAACGCTCCCAACTAGTCAGGAAGGAAGCGCACGACCCCATGGACGTTGTCTACATTGTGTCTCGGCCGTACACTGCCGCAGCCGGCATCAAAGCCGCGAGCAGATTCAGCAACAGCCGCAGGCAGATCCTTGTGCGCTGGGCGGTTGCTTATGCAACAACACCCGCAGCGTTGTTCGTCCTCTGTCTCGGAGTAGCCGGACTACTCTCTTGTCTGTGTCAATACCTGCTTCTGCAAGCCGTCGAGAAGACCGTGCCTGAGCTATCGACGCAGGTCGGCGCGTTTGCCGACAAGGTCGTCGGCAGCCTACAGAATGCATCAGCGGAGTGGGCCAACGACGCCAACGGAGTGATTGGACACATGAACCAAGACCTGAACGAGAACGTCTTTGGCTGGGTCAACACCAGCACGACCGCGTTAAACGATACGCTGAACACCTTCGTCGACAAGACGACCGGCGTCCTCAACGACACCTTCGGCGGAACCCTGCTTTACGAGCCTCTCATGGACGTATTCGAGTGTCTCATTGGACTCAAGGTCCAAGGTATCCAGAAGGGACTCACCTGGGTCCATGACCACGCGCACATCGACTTCCCCCTACTTCCAAACGATACCTTCTCCCGCGGGGCGGCAGCCAGCATCTCCAGCAATAGCTCCAATCCCTCAGACAGCTTCCTCGCTGACGCGGGCGACCAGACCTCAAATAAGATAACCGAAGTAGTCATCAGAGTCGTCAACAAGGTCGAGGACGGTATCCGCACAGAGACAATCATCTCTGCGGTCATCATCCTCATTTGGGTATTCATCGCGCTCATCGGCATCGTCCGAGCCCTAAGTCTGTTCTGGGTCCGAGACCGAAACCGCGGCGAAGGGGGAGGAGCCCGCGTCAACCACCACGACTCAGACGCCGGAGGATTCATCGACGTACCCTTGACGGCTATTCCAAACACAAACGTAGATGCTCGCTCGATGCCTGCACCGGCTCCGGCTCCTCGGTATGAGGCTTCCACAAGCACCGTGGTGGCTTCACGTGCTGTCCCCGTGAGCAGCAATCACCATGAGGATGAGAAACTGGGCTTTGCCGGGGAGAGACAATACGGGTCTGCGCTCAAGGTGGACGGCGCTGCGGACCTGCGGGGAAGTAGCTATGTCGAGTATGACATGGAGAAGCGCTAGCTGGGTTATACGGATTTTGATCCGTTGACAGTCTCGTTTGTCGTCTTTTCTGGTCTTTTTTATTTGTATTGTAGCATCTTTGGCGTGAAGCGTTGCTATCATACCCATTTATGCACGGTATTCTACTTTGCACGACATTCGTTTACATCATGTCCCATTGAAGACATCTGCAGTACAGATGTCATCCCTTCAGTCTAGATTTCACAAGATAATCAACATACTGAGACATTAAACTGAATATAAAGAATATTCAAATACGATAAAAATGCAGATCGCTGCGCCGCGTCATTCATACACTACTATCATCGCTGTACAAGCGTCACAACATGCAATATATGTAGATCTGTGCCCGGGAATATAACAAGAAGCAGAAGCCTTAATGCCATGCGTAGCCAAAATGTCGTAATCATAACCCCTCCCTCTCATCCATAGACAACAATCAAATCGCGACGAAGAAACTCTTCTCTCCTTCTCGAGGCGTGACCCTCACTCTCTCAATGATGGGATCCGCACAGCTGACCCGAATGCGCTCGGGCGTAGCCGGGCTCTGCAAGCTAAGCACTTCATTGACATTCCACTGCTTGCGCGCAGCTTTGAGAGCATCCCGAATAGCAAAAAAGACAGCGCTGCCCATGAATAGCGGTGGTTCACCAACACCCCGTGACCGCTGGATGGTGCGGAGGTTCTCCCACTCGACATCCTTCAGAAGACTGACGTTGAAGACTTGTGGAATGTCTCTAAAGCCAGGGATCTTGTAATTTCCAGGGCCCTTGGTGAAGATCTGGCCCGAGGCACGATGCCAAAGGCTCTCTTCAGTGGTGAAGAGGCCCTGGCCTTGGATGAAAGCGCCCTCAATCTGCCCGTAATCGATGGATGGATTGATGGTGCGTCCGACGTCCATCTTGATGTCGGCGCGCAGAGGCGTCCAGTCACCGGTTAGAGTGTCAATCTCTACCTCCGCGGCTGTCACGCCCTGCGTGAAGTAGAAGAACATTTGACCCTTGTTCTCTCCCCAGATGTACCCTATATCGGGGGTACGGTAGAAGCCCTGGGCGGAGAGGTTGACCCGATCGAAGTAGGCTGCATGGGCGAGCTCCTTCATGCTGGCCCCGGGCATCTTCTCACGGTACGGACGCAGGCGCTCGTTCAGCTGTTCGCATGCGTTGAAGATGGCATAGCCGTTGAGGTCCGAACTGGCGGACGCTGCCGTAGAGGATGTGTTGGCGACAGTATTTGTAGCTGTCTCCGAGATGAAGACGTCGGACTGGGGAACACCAAGCGCTTCTGCTGCAATCATTGTCATCTTTGTATGCAGACCTTGGCCCATTTCAACTCCACCGTGGGCGACCAGGACGCTGCCGTCGTGATAAATATGGACCAACGCGCCAGCCTGGTTCAGAAACAATGCTGTGAAGGAAATGCCAAACTTCGTGGGAATGATGGCCATTCCACGCTTGGACCATTTGTGTTTCTTGTTGTACTCCTCCACGGCTTTGCGGCGTTCCGCGTAGGCACTTTCCTCCAGTACTTGATTATACATCAGGGGAACATGCCAGTCTTTGAGCTCCTGGTGAAAATGAGTCTTGTCTCCCGGCTGATACATATTCTGCAACCGGAATTGTTCGACAGGGACGTCAAGATGATCCGCAATTTCTTCCATGAAGGATTCGGCGAAGAACATGCCCTGGGGGCCACCAAACCCACGGAAGGCTGTGTTGGAAACAGTATTTGTCTTGCAGACACGGCCACGGACGTGAACGTTTGGTATCTTGTATACTCCATCGATGTGGGAGAGACTTCTTTCCACAACTGCGCCAGACAAATCTTGCGTGTGGCCTCCGTTGGCATACACGTCGGCGTCAAGTGCGAGGAGTTTCCCTTCTTTTGTCACGCCGACCTTCCAATGACAGAGGAACGGGTGGCGCTGCCCAGAGGTGACAATATCTTCATCCCGATTCAACATGCATCTAACGGGTCGTTTCGTCTTTGCGGCCGCTGTTGCACAAATGCCTGCTAGTTGAACCGACCGCGTCTCTTTGCCACCAAAGCCACCGCCAAGTCGTTTGACTCGAGACACAACCTTGTTGGCTGCCACTCCAGTGACCTGAGCAACATATGCCTGGCTATTTGGGGGTTAGCTTGCATTAAGTGGGATGTAACAAAAGGCAAAACTCACGTTTCTGTGGGATTCTGAGTACTACTCCAGACCTCCATCTCCCCATCCTCTGGTTTTGGAATGGCTACGCAAGCCTGAGTTTCCAGATAGAAATGCTCTTGGCCACCCATTCTTGACACTCCATGAAACACGCGATCCGCTTCCTTGAAAGCTTTATCCGTGTCGCCGCACTTGATAAAGCGGAAGTGATCAAAATATGATTCAGCCTCGATTGCCTCCTCAATCGTGAGGATTGCGGGCAGTTCTTCATACTCAATCTTCACAGCTCTGGAAGCCTCCTCGGCAATTTTAGCAGAGCTTGCAAGTATCATGCCAATGGGCTGACCAGCAGTCATGACTTCATCCACCGCAAAGAATACTTCATCGCACTTTGGAGCACCCCACCAATTCGCTTTGGGGTTAGGAAGGTCCTTATGGTCCACATAGTCATAGACTCCAGGGATATCCAATGCGGCTGTCGTGTCGACACTGACAATCTTCGCATGAGCCTTGGTCGAGAGGACCAGGCAACCGTACAGCTCATTCTTCTGCACAGGAATATCGTCCGTGTACTGCGCTTCTCCAGTAGCTTGCTTCAACGCAGACACATGAGGCGTAGCTTTACCCAGAATCCTCTGCTGGTAAGCCTTCGAGGACTCGTGATCTTTCTGTCCTGAGGAAATGGCTCTCTCAATCTCGGCAATGACATCTTCGTCAATATCTGTATCTCTGACCTCAATCTCAGAGAGCACATCGTGATAGAATCGGTAGAAGAATCCAAGGGCTAGAGACCTGCGGTAAGTTGCCATCCCACCAGGGACGCCAAACTTTAGGTCAAAGTCCCGTTCCAAAGCACTCATGGTCCCCTCGAGCGTCGCAGGGTTCGTGAATTTCTTGCCGACCAAGAACGACTCTGCATTGCGCGCGGATACCGTCATAGGTGCTAGGCCACCAAAAACGAGGTTCACGCTCGTCACATCATTCGATGGAGAAAGTGACACACGCAGAGCAGCGTTGACGATGGCGATGTCATCATCCTTCCTCTTTGACTGTTTATAAGCCCGAAGGTATTCTCCCTGTTTGGACGAGATCGGAACACGCAAGCTCGCAATTACGGCATCTTCTGGAAGGGCAGTCAACCGGTAACCTTTGAAGAACTGGTCCATAGGGATCTCGATGTCCCCACTCAAAGACTTGGCGATAAGAACAGTGTTAGTAGCGACAAACACTGGATTTAAATCGGAGATGGGAGATGCCGTGGCCAGATTTCCCGCGGGAGACGCAACATTCCTGATCTGCCTTCCTGCGAAATACCGAAGTTGTTTCTTGATGGCCTTGAACGGCTGACCCTGTACCGGGCCGTACTTTTCAACCGCTTCGTCGCAAATTGACTCCAAGTCCGTGAGAGAGACATTGGCTCCGAGTTCAAGATGGTCGTCTTTGAGAGAGTATTGACGAAGTTCTGGAATGTCGCCCACGTAGACCGACGCGCTGTACTTCATCGCCTTGAACTTCACTTCAATCTGAGTCTCCGTACTTCCACCGATGATTTTGGACGCAGGGTGTGCGTTTTTAATCTCCAATAGTTGCTGCAGGGTGACTGGCCGGTACCACTTCTTTTTCTTGTTGCCGAAGACGACGGGTCGAAACTCGTGCTTCTGGAGAGCCGGTGGGAATATCAATTCCGTCTCTGGATCGTATTTGATAAAGTCAGGGGTGTAAACTTCGGAGAACTACCATCGTTGCTCTCATCGTTTGACAACTCTTTGCAGCACCCTCCTGCACCATTCTGTTTCTCCATGCAGCAACCTGTTCCACCATTGGCACTTGCTTTCCCACATACACTTGTGGCTGTGAAACTGTGGGCGGCGTCCAGAATCGGTCTGTACCCCGTGCAGCGACAAAGGTTCCCGTCAAAAGCTTCTTCCACCGCATGTTGCGAGGGCTCGGGGGTATTGCGAACGAGTGCATAAAGGCTCTAGAAGAACGATCAATCAGGTCAGCCTAATCGACAGAGCTATTGCGGTGTACGAAGATCATACCATGACGATTCCAGGTGTACAAAAGCCACATTGACTGCCATTTCCAATCGCCAGCCGCTCCTGAACTGCGTGGGGCTTCTTCACATTCCCGATGCCCTCGACCGTTATAACATGCTTTCCGTCCACACTTATCACCGGTGCCAGGCAAGCATTGACAGATGCGTGGTAGATCTTCTTGGTTGTTGGATTGATGTGGGACACGACCTGTAAGGAGTAAGAATTTCTGTCGCAAAGACAGACTCAGATGTCGATGTTGTCCTGACTTACAACTGTACAGGCACCGCAGCCTCCCTCTGCACAACCCAGCTTCGTTCCCGTCAACCCTATCCCTCTCAAGTATTCTAACAGAGTGAGCTCTGGATCGACATTGTCGAGAATGACTTTTGTGCCATTGAGGTAGAAACGAATTGTGTCATCCCAGTCCTCGGTCAACTGGGCCAGGGATATAGCCTTGGAAGGCAGCTCCTCCACCTCCGGCGACGTCAAGATCCCAGGCGCCATTATAGACTCAAACGAGGCTCAAAGTCTGTTTTTTCTATCTGTAATGCTCTCAGGAGAGCTCTCTCAGCTCAGGCGTTAGCTTCGCTTGTCTAGAGTCAAACGGAGAAGCTGGTATGCATGAGTCCAGCGGGCGATAGAAGAGACGGATCAACAATCACAGAGATCCGGATTATTAGCAATGGTAATGATATTCGTGATAGTATTTCAAGTAGCAGCAGATGAATCCATCACCTAAAGTGATATGAAGGATATGTGCGCAATGCCTCAGAACTGTGATACACAGACTAAGTAAAATAGTTTATCGCCTCTTATCACACTATGTGGCTCTCCACCCCGCTTGGTTATCGCGCCCTTCGCGGGGATCGCCACCATCCGATGAGCGACGCACCTGGACAGCGGAAAGCAACGGTCTCCGTCCACGGTTGGAGTTCCTGCCAATGACGAGCAACACTGCGAGGGCAAAGCCGAGGAACACTATTCATAATTTCTGAGATTCTTAGGCATGTGTGCATATCAGATCAATTGAACATCATGACCCTTTTCATTACTAGCGGGAGACTACGAGAGGTACAACTGGAGGAAGACTGGATACCATTCCTCAGGCAGCAACGCCAATCCATATGCTTCGCCCGGTGTCACGGGCTACCACCTATATAAACCCAGATATTATAACACAAGAAGGTAGAAATATATCTCGGAAGTAAGGATCTTCCCAAGTATCAAAGGACACACGTGCCAGGAGACAATGTCCAATATTGAAAGACAACTTTTCAATTGGTCCTCTATTCTCTGACCTTGGCACCAACGAAATCCTCCTCTTCTTCCTCCCATTTCTTTCGCTCAACGACGCTTCGGGCCCTATTTGTAGCAAAGTTTGTCAATAATAAAGTGTCTCCTAGGCATTGGGTATAAAGGGACAAGGAAGCACGTACCGATAAGCTCTGACGAAGCGCCAGATTTCAGTGTCCGCCAGGTTCCAAGCTTCAGCCACGTCTTTGATGCCAATCCTGTTGGTCGCCTTGCTCTTCAAGACTTCCCTTGCCTTTGTGATTAGATCATATTCTTTCTCAATGCCCTGTTTGCTTGGGTTGGCGTTCTGCATTGAACCTTTGTTGGTATTTTGCGCAGACTCTTTCTTTTCGCCCTCTTTGTTGGTTCCGGTGGGGCCACTGCGAGGGATCTTGAATCCGAATTGCCATTCGAACTCGTCCAGAAGCTCCGAAGGCAGGACCTGGCCGTTGTTTGCTGGCAAGGATTCCACAGTCATCCACAATGAAGTGCCGACTGCCGAATCGTCTGCAACGGCCTGCTTCAGCACGACCGCTCGGGCAGCGCCTCCAAACTCACTACTCAATCGGTCTTTAGTCACTTCCGTCAGCCATGGGTCGCGTTCGGTTTCGCGGCGAATATGTCGAGTTGTAATTTCTTCAGATCCCTGTTGCAGGCTAATCAGAGTGTATGGGTGGGGGAGAGTGCCTATCGTAAAAACGTGTGATGAGTTCTTGTAGGTAGCGGGCTGACTGATATGCATCGGCCGCTCAGGGTTGCACGGATGGCACTTTTGCAGATTTGGAGGGCAAGATTCGGGGATGGGCGAGCTCGGGCATTGGCCGAGAGCTTTGGCAAGGCGCAGGGCGGGTTCCACTAGGGCGGTTGTATGCTCAGGGAAGGGCTTCAAAACAGCAATGCCGGCCTGGAAGGAGTTCTGGAATGTGTTATGTAGATGTGAGTTGACCAGCTCGACGAGTGCCAGTCTCCCAGCGGTCGGCGATGAAACGATCTTCTCTGCGAGTGTTGGATAGTGAGTGGTGATGGTCGCAGAGGTGTAGAAAGCCAGAGCGCTCGGCTGTTCGACCTTGAAAATTTCGCCGGGCATGATGTCCAGCATGGATCTCGCCTTTTCGTCCACACTCTTGAGGGCATTTTGTACCACAGTCTTGAGTACATCGTTGATACGTGTCTTCTCGCCAGCGAAAAGTGCACTGCCAATGTGGTCGAATCTTGTAATCTGCGCAGGATCGACTCCCCGGCGAAAGTAAGACAGCAGCGGATCATCATATCGCGCCATTGGGAAACAGCGCCAATCGGCGAGTAATCCGGTGCCCATACGACCCCAGGCAAGCCATCTGAACAGATCATACTCAAGATCTTTATTGATTTTCAAGGTCTGTACCATCTCGAAGAGCTGATTGTCCATCGCCTCGCCGCGGCTGAGTACAACTGGCGTAAACCCCTGAGCGAACCAAGCCCGACGCCAGGCGAGGAGAAGCTGAGCATCAGCATTCTCCGCATCCTTATTGTCACCGTGAATCGGTTCGTAATAGGTGTAGATGTAGGGTCTCTCTCGAAGCGGAGGCAGTACGGAACGGTTCTCATCGAGAGTGATGGACGACGAAAAAGGGTTGATCCATGCAAAATTGCTGAACCATTTCGACTCGCCGCTGGTACTATTCTTCTGTTCCGGCGGTTTATGGGAAGCTGGCCGGAAGAATGGCAGGTGATAGTCGCTCAGAGACGGGAGCTTCGGCCGGGGTACATATTTCGCTGGGCCAGAGACCGGTTCTTCCCCAGAGGATGATGCCGATGCTGCGGAACTGGGGGAGGAGGAGAATATTACCAGTACGAGGGCGACAAAAACGATAATGGTTAAGAGAGCGGTGCTTCGATGTGGAATCATCTTGCTCTCTTTCTAGGGAGAGAGCAGATTCTGAGGGTTACGACAAGGGTTGGTATCCTGTAGTAAAGTGCGTAAAGAACGACGTTGCGCTTGCGATCGCGGTACAAGTGGAAATTTCAGAAAAGCAGATCCGCATCACAGTTACATTTGCAACGAGTCAACAGTATAAACAAGACGAAGGCTCAGGTCATCGCAAGCAATGAGCAGAGGTGAACCAGTGCTGATACTGTGAAGGCCATCCGTATCTATACGGTGTAGGTAGCCTGACCTTGACCAAGGCCTTTGGTTACTACCTCATCAATAACTGAGGTACTTTGGACCCTGGAACAGTATGGTCGTATCCTAAACGAGTTAGGTACCAGGTACCTGCACCGCCGCATTCATGAGTAAAGGACAAATAGAGAGTATCTACACTAAGCCTATTGCGGCGAGGAGTAGTAGTCCAGAGACCTTTGTGCCTAGGTGCCTTACTGCCTTAGAGCCTGAAACCCCAAAAGGCGGTGACGGCGACAGAAAGACGATCGTGGGGCCTGGGGCAGCGAAATCGGCACTTTTCTTGTAGATGCCCCTCTTGACTCATACTAATATTCTTCTGCTCTGTCACTCAATATCCAGCCCCTGTTGTGAAAGTCGAGTGCCCAAGCAAGTGTTTCGGGCCTCTGCAGCGCAATAATGGGCGTTGAAACAGCCTCCTTACAAGATCGCCTTGAAAGGTGGGCGCAGAGGCTACAAAATTTGACAGTCTCTCCTCTGACCCGCGACTATCCCGAGAACCAAAAGGCGGATCTGAAGAGAGCAATTGAGGCCTTTGAATCCCTCAAGCTGCCAAAGGATGTGCATACCGGACTGCAAAAACTCTCTGGATCATCATCCGGATTCATTGCTTTCCTGACTGCTTTTGTTGTTCTCGTAGCTCGTCTGACCGGCGATGAGGATATCGCTGTTGCGACCAGCTCAGCAGAAGATGGCCGGCCCTTCGTCTTGCGGGTCTCAATTGATCAGTCGGAGACTTTCCAACAGCTCTACACTAAGGTCGAGAATGTATGTGGTACTGTCGTTCATTGTTGGCCATCTCTGACCATCTAACAGGCTTTCAACCAAGGAGCTGCCGATATAGTTCCGTTGGGTAGCCTACGGTCCTACATTCAGGAAAAGACCAAGTCAGAGCGTGCCCCGATTCTGTTCCGCTTCGCTGCCTACGATGCCCCTGCCTCATCACAAGAATACCCCGCCAATACCTTCGAAACCACCGACCTGGTTGTCAACGTTGCAAACGCGAACGGTTCCACGTCGGGGACGGAGCTTGGTGCATACTACAATCAGCGTCTGTTCTCAAGCGCCAGGATTGCTATCATTCTGAAGCAGCTTGCACAGATTGTGAAGAACGCCTCTAAAAGTCCTGAAGAGGCAGTTGGAAGAGTTGACTTCATGACGGAGGATCAGCGGTCACTGCTACCAGACCCCACATCAGATCTGCATTGGTCCAACTTTCGCGGAGCCATCCATGATATCTTCGCACGGAATGCTGAGAAGCACCCGGACAAGCTTTGTGTGGTGGAAACCAAGTCGGAGCAGTCTCCTCACCGTGAATTCACCTACCGGCAAATCAATGAGGCGTCGAATATCCTAGGCCATCACCTGGTCCAGGCTGGCATCGAGAGGGGAGATGTTGTCATGGTTTATGCCTACCGTGGCGTTGACCTTGTGGTAGCTGTTATGGGTATTCTCAAGGCCGGTGCAACCTTTTCGGTCATCGACCCTGCCTACCCGCCTGAGAGGCAGTGCATTTACCTTGATGTTGCCCGCCCGCGAGCACTCATTAACATCGCGAAGGCCACCAAGGAAGCCGGCGAATTGACTCAGCTTGTTCGGTCTTTCATCGATGAAAACCTTGAGCTGCGGACGGAGATTCCCGCGCTTGCACTGCAGGATGACGGCACTTTGGTTGGAGGATCTGTTGAGGGTCAAGATGTCCTCGCTAATCAAGTTTCTCTGAAGTCGACGCCGGTAGGCGTCGTGGTCGGTCCCGACTCGACCCCGACTTTGTCATTCACCTCCGGTTCTGAGGGTAGACCAAAGGGCGTCAGAGGACGTCATTTCTCTCTGGCGTACTACTTCCCATGGATGTCCGAGACCTTCAAGCTTACCCCCAATGATCGTTTCACTATGCTGAGTGGTATCGCTCACGATCCTATTCAGCGAGATATCTTCACACCACTTTTTCTGGGAGCCCAGCTGTTGGTCCCGGCTCGCGAGGATATCCAGAACGAGAGACTTGCGGAGTGGATGCGCGAGTATAGCGCTACTGTTACTCACCTGACACCCGCAATGGGTCAAATTCTCGTCGGTGGTGCCTCTGCGCAGTTCCCTGCTCTTCATCATGCTTTCTTCGTTGGTGACATTCTGATCAAGCGAGACTGCCGTTCTCTGCAGGCCTTGGCTCCTAATGTCAACATTGTCAACATGTATGGAACTACTGAGACTCAGCGTGCCGTCAGTTACTATGAAATCCCCAGCTACTCTAGTCAGGAGGGCTTCTTGGATACTATGAAGGACGTCATTCCGGCGGGTCGCGGAATGGTCGACGTGCAGATGTTG